TAGATTGAATGACAAGCTGCATGTTAGACCTTTTAGAGTGCAGGAAAGTAAAAAAAACCTCTGGTGTGGGTTTCTCTACATTTATGACGAACACATTCAGTGTTAACATCAAACAAACCTGAACTCTCTCATTCATGAACAAATAAAACCCTTCTCCTCCTTCCTTAGGCCGACACACTGGTTGTCTGCATGTTCTTTGCTCATTATCTGAAGTTAATGCATGAAAAGGTCTCAAACCTGAATGCTGTTGTGTTTTTCCTTTACTGAGCTAGAAACCAGAGAAGGCCCAAGCCACCCCCCATCTTGCCCTACTGAGCTGCAGGGCGAGTAAGTGATTTAGCAGGCCTGCTCTCCCCTTCTCTCCCAGAGCGTTTGTTCTCCACTTATCCTCCACCCATCTCTGTCCTCTGTTTCCTTCAGAATGCATTACGAGGTTAACAGGAGGGTTCTCATGTTCCACGGCAGATGGATTAGGCAGGACGGAGTACAGCAAACACTTTCTCCTTATTCTTCTTTTGTCCTTTCATCAGAACCATTTTCCCTTTTGTAATTATTTCATAAACTCGGTTATGTTATGGTATTTGTGAATATACATTTTAACTAGATTTCAAACTTTTGATCTGTTTTCCTTGAATACAAATGAAATCACAGAGCCAGTTTTATGGATTATTGATTAAATAATAATGTTCCTGGGATTAGAGGTGCTGTACTTGGTTCCCAGGCAGTCTTGGACCGGAGGCAGGAACTTGGCTAAAAAAAGTAACGGACTTGGGGGGATAATGCCAGTGCTTGGTTGGGGTTCAGTCTTGTGCTGCAGGGCTGCTGTGCTGAACATGAATAGAGTTTGTCAGTTGCAGTTCCAGGCCACACAGTTGCTCTGAAAGCAGGCGGCTGGAAATGAGACCCTCCCCCCTTTTCAAACCGTCCCACAGATCCTGTGAACCGTTGATGAGAGTTCCCTCATTGTAAACTTGAGCGTGCACACAAAACACATCCCTGAGTCGCTCAATGACTCACCCATCCACTGAAACTTTAGTTCACTGGCCAGAACAATCTGGATTTATTTAGTCTTAGCATCCAGTGCTGCTTTCTGGGGTAACGGTTGGCTAATAGTCACGTATCGTTAGCATCTAGCACAGCAAGCACATGTGTGATATTAGATACGTCGAGGCTCGTTCCGAAAGGAAGCACACAAAACACAACAAAAGAACGAGCTCTGCACAAAGAGGCATCAATTAGGATCATTACTTGTAGCTGTCAGTGTTGGAGAAAAGGAGGGAGGAGAGGGGAGGAATGGGAGGGAGGGAGAGGGAGACAGTAAAACCAGGATTATTTTCACCCAAATACACTTTCTCTCCGAGGTGATGGAGTTGGACGGTGTGAGAGAAACAAATGTGACTTCTGATGAAATGAGAGGAGAAGTCAGAAGGAAGACAAAAAGAAAGAGTAAACCATTAAAAAGGAAAGCTCTGAGCTAAAAATTGCTGACTGGTAGAATAAAAGAAATTGTGGTGAGAAGCAGAAAGGAGTGACTTGACACATCGTATAAAGGCAGTGGAGCGACGCTGACAGTAAAGAGAATAACAACTCTACAGGAGAGGAGTTATTTGTTGCCTTGTTCCTCTGAATTTATGGGCTCCAAAGAACGGGAGAGCGTTATTCTGGCTGGGTCAGAAAGGTTAGCGGGACTTCTGGGCAGGGTTGGAAAAGAATTCACATCAAGATCTTGGAGCTTAGAGTGATAAACAGTTTTATAACATCTAAAACCACTAACCTAATGCCGAAGCCTTGAGCGGAAGGGCAACCTCAACCGTCCGATCGTGGTGATCCGGCCCTCATTCCCTCTAAAACATAAACATTAAAGCTAAAAAACCCCGTTAACATGGCAGCCAGTTCAGTGAGACCAGGACCAAGGTGCTCCCACTTCTTCAGCCCACTAATTATTCAGCAGTGGTATAACCCAGCATGTAAGGAGTGCATTTGGACAAAACAAAAGCATGCATCACGTTTCCAGGTTTGTCTAAGAAAGTTTCAGTCTAATCCTAGTCAGGCATCAAAGCTGATCAAAGCACAACCTGGCTAAAGCAGCACCCAGTCCCCACCCAGGGGGGCATTCCACGTAGTGAGTTTAGAACACTGAGGCTGTCCTGATAAATCCCCGTTTAACAAATCACACCTGTTCACTCCAGGATTCGTCAGCTCCACCAACGACGCTCAGGTTGATTCAATCCTCTCCAATTGAAGCGAGGCTCACACGCATTCACAAGCAGCCCGTTAATCGATACTAGATAAGTGAGAATGGAGGGAAAGGACAGAGCCTCATTCTTTTCCCAAACAGAGCAAGAATGATTCATTCATGCCTGCGAGGACTGTAATGGTATCAGAACTAAAACAGAGACCACCAGCTGCTTGATTAAAGCCATGTAGCTAGAGCTATTTTCAATTAGAACGCTCAGCGGTTGCATGTTTCCATGGCAACGCCATTAGCGCTGTTTCTCTACATACGTTTTCAACATTTACGTGTCCTTTTCATGTTTGGTTCCAGAGTCTGGATGTTTAGACTGGAGGACTTTGTTTTTGCTGATTGGCTGTGAGTTTTAAGAACATATGTTTGTGGCGGTCACGTGACCCTAAGGTTAATTGTTTGTCACAAATACACATTTAGTACACATATTACACACCAAGGACAAAGCATCACGTGTCATTTGGAACAAATATTACAGTGTTTGCCACGTGTGACCAGAGTTGCATAGTCACATCAATAAAGTCATTCCTTATGTAGTATGTTAGCAATTAGATGTAGTATTTTAACATATTCATAAAGAGGACAGCATGTTAATTATATGGGTCCATCCCAGACTAAAGCTGATATATTATAATTATTAATAATGCTAACGTCAGGAGCAACATCAATGGAATGAAACGCTCCTAAAACGCAAAAGTTAAGACGCAAATCCAATTACAACTCATGTTTAAAAGTTTAAACTCGACATTTATTATTAATTAAGCCATCAAGAACAAAGCTGCAGCTGCTGCAACCGCTGTGGGCCAGAGGTGGCGCTAATTCACCACCTCGTAGCTGCCAGCTGCTGTAAAGAAAAATGGGACGCAACATGCCTCGTCCAATCAAATTCACCAAGCTTCAGTGAGCCTAGCTGCTAGCCAGCCATGGAGCAGGTTTGTTCTCCAGCATGTGTTACCATGGTGACAGGGAGGGGCTTCAGGTTACCCATGTTTGTGGAACCAAATTTGGGCAAATTAAGCCGAGATTTTCAAAGAGAGACTGGATTTTGGAATTATCTTGCTTTGTGGAATACCCCCATGCTCATAAATAAACAAATAAATAAACAAACCATGTAAATAAGGGGGTAAACAATATATTGTCCTGGTAATTTATCTAGATATCTCCGGTGTTGCTGTTGCTTATTTATTTGTTTGTTGACTTATGTTTTAGGAGGATAAAATCACTTGAGACTAACCATCTCATTGTGGAGTGGGTCCTCCTACCTTACAATGAACAATGGACAAAAATGCAAGTCTCAGACATAAAACACAAACAGACAAAAAAACCTACAAAAAAAACTGCGGTTGTTCGTTTCCCTGCTTATTTTTTAAACTGAGGAATTATTTAAAAAGTTGGTAAGTATTCTGAATATGATACTTATAATTGATGAGTACTAACAGTCTTTTCAGATAAAATGGAAATAAAAAATAAATGCATTTGAAAATAAATGACAGCCAATGAAATTTTCACCTGGCTTTTAAGGAGAGCCAGGAAAGGCAATCATACATGTACAAGTGGTGGGTTCTGTAAGGACAATGCAAAATCATAAGCCATACGCTATTACATATCAAGAGATTGAAGTCATGCAACTGTGGAGTTCTGGTAAATGATATCAGCATAATCTATAATTGGAAACAAAAGTTGAGATACAATGCGCTTCCTCATTGTGAAGTCAATACAACTGATTGATTGATATTGAGATTTTAAGCAGAGTGTGGTCGTATGTGAGATTATTAGAATAGAAGTTCTCCAACCATATTTTTGTCAGAGGAGTGCAACCATGAGGAGCATTTCTTTGCAAAAGGCGGGGAATACAATTTTGATTTATTAAGTTTATTTTGAACCAACCAATGCTGCACTTTGTGCAAGTTAAACTGAAGTGTCTCCTGAATTTCCATTTTGTTAGGCTTCAAGCAATATAAAATTACATCATCAGCATACAGGTGAACTCAGCAAGAAGTACAACAGTAGCAGATCATTGAAAAAATTTAAAAATAAAAAAGGCCCCAGTGCAGAACCCTGGGGGATACCTCTAACCCTGTAAGTTTGACTCCCACCTATTAAAGAAACACATTGCCAACAATGATGAAAAAATGAATTAAACCTAAGTAAAGGCAGCCTCAAAAAGCCAAAAGAATACAGTCTGTCTAAAGCAAATAATGATCAACCAAATCAAAAGCTTTGGTAAAATCAAGAAATTGGGCTATTGTCATATCCAGAATAAATGTCGTTAGTAAGTTTCAACTGAGCTGTTGTTGGAAAAATGTTTTCTAAATTCTGATTGGCATTCAGATAGTAAGTTGTTGTATCAAGATACATAACTGATCAAATACCAGCTTGTGCATCACAGTAGGAAAGTTGTGGAACCAGGTTTGTTTTTTTTCTTGGCTCATTAACAGTGATATTTTATTGGGAATTTACCAGATTTTAGCTCAGGAAAAGTTTTTTTTTTGATACCAGTAGCTACTGGATGTTTTTAGTATTAAAGTATTAAAGTGTTACAGAGTTTTGGTACCCAGCCCTGAATAAAAGTAGTTTACTGAAGGAAACCTCTGAAGTATGGTAAAAGAAATGTGAGGATCTGTGTGAAGGATCCGAGTGAATACCTAGTAGACCTAGTAGAAAAGTAAGTTTCTAAATAGGTACATTGTCATTTTGTGTCCATCTTTTTCTGTTTGTAGCTAATGCCTCATTCTTTTCTCTGACTCTCTTTCAGGAAGGTGTTATAATGGAATGGATCTGAATATGGGGAAATGGACAGGCATGCAGGCTCCTCTCCTCAGCCTGGCTCTTCAGCTCCTCCTGATTTTAAAGCCATCAGCCGGCTATGACCAGAACACCCATGAAGCTCCTCAGGATGAAGCCAACTTCAGCTTCACCCATTCTGTTTACCATGCAACGGTTTATGAAAACTCAGCAGCACGCACCTATGCCAACAGTAAAATTAAAATGGGCATTCACCTTTACAGGAGATCCTGGGAGACTCGCTACAGAATCACCTCAGGAGACGATGAAGGACTTTTCAAGGCAGAGGACTACGTATTGGGGGACTTCTGTTTTTTGCGCATAAGGACCAAGGGGGGCAATGCTGCCATCTTGAACCGGGAGATTCAAGACAACTATGTGTTGACAGTGAAAGCCTATGTGAAGGGTGAAGCTCTTCTTGAGACCTGGACTAAAGTCAGCATCCAGGTCTTGGATATGAATGACCTACGTCCCTTATTCTCACCAACCACATACTCTGTTACTATAGCGGAGAGCACTCCCCTCAGGACTAGCATAGCACAAGTTACTGCCACAGATGCAGATATTGGCTCCAATGGAGAGTTTTACTTTTTTTTCAAAGAGAAAATGGAATTGTTTGCAGTACACCCAACCAGTGGAGTGGTTTATCTCAGCGGAAAATTTAATATTGATGAGCAAGACAGATATGACTTGGAAATCCTGGCAGTTGACCGCGGCATGAAGCTGTATGGTAACAATGGTGTTAGCAGCACAGCCAAACTTTTTGTTCATGTAGAGCGTGTGAACGAGCATGCTCCAGTCATAAATGTGGTCACCAGAAGCCCGTTGAGATTGGATAAAAACCTTGTTTATGCAGTGCTCACTGTTGAAGACCTAGACGAAAATTCAAATGGAGAGACTGATTCTGTAGTTATTGTAGATGGGGATGTTTCAGGACAGTTTTTTGTTGAAAAGTACCAGGAAAGTGAATTTGCCATTAAAGCCATTGAAATAGTTAACTGGGAAAGTTTCCCATATGGCTGTAACCTAACCTTGCAAGCTAAAGACAAAGGAATCCCACAAAAACTGTCTGCTGCCAAAGTTGTTCATATTATGTTCCCTAAACAGCAGACAAGTGAATCTAATTTTGACCACCTGCTGTATGAGGTTAGCCTCAGTGAAATTTCCCCACCAGGCACAGTTGTAGGCGCTTTTAAAATTAGACCAGAACCCGATGATGCCGAGTATATCCTGATACCTTCTACAGATTCTAACTTTTTCAAAATAAACACCTTAACAGGTGTAATCTCAACCACTCACTGGTTTACTCGAGTATCTCAGGATGTCTTTAACCTTGCTATATTGGAAGTTGACAGTAATCTTACAGCTAAAGTACAAGTAACTATCGAAGATTCCAACGACAATACACCAACATTTGCCCAAACCTTCTACGAAGTCTTTGTCAATGAAAGCGTTCCAATTGGGACCAATGTTTTAACAGTTTCTGCATTAGATGAAGATAAAGGTGAAAATGGATACATAACTTATAGCATTTACAACCTTTATCCACTACCCTTCAAAATTAACCAGTTCTCTGGTGTCATCAGCACCACTAAAGATTTGGATTTTGAATCTTCACCAGAGATCTTTGTGTTCATTGTCAGAGCTTCTGACTGGGGGTCACCATACAGGCGGGAAAGTGAAGTCAATGTAACAATCCATTTAGAAAATGTTAATGATAACCAGCCTTTGTTTGAAAAGGTAGCATGCAAGGGGGTCATTTCTGCAGATTTCCCAGTAAATGAAGCAATTACCACAATATCTGCAATTGATATAGATGAGTTAGAGCTTGTAAAATATAAAATAATATCAGGGAATGAGCAGGGGTTCTTTGACCTCAGCCCTGATTCGGGAGTCCTTGTGTTGCGACGCTCTCTTGCCATGCTGAGTCCAAAGAACGACATCTTTAGTTTAAAAATAACTGCTACAGATGGTGAAAACTTTTCTGATCCTATGTTTGTCAATATTTCAGTTGTTCATGGAAAATCTCTTCCCAAACATTTAACATGTAAAGAAACAAGAGTGGCCCAGAGGTTAGCTGAAAAGTTACTCAGAAAGTCCAAAGCTAGCATCAAACCTAAAATTGAAGAAGGTTTTATTGACTTGTTCTCCATCAATCGGCAAACACCCCAGTTTGACCAATTATTTCCCACAGACATAGCAGTGCAAGAAGACCTTATGGTTGGTTCAAGTGTCTTCAAGGTAAATGCTTATGATGGCGACACTGGTTTTAATGGGCAGATTGTGTACTCTATTTCAGATGGTAACACTGACAACTGTTTTACCATTGACATGCACACTGGCCTTATCAGTGTTTTTCTGCCTATGGACAGAGAAAAGAGAGATCACTATCTACTTAACCTAACTGTCTATGACCTTGGCGTTCCACAAAAAACAACTTGGCGTTTACTCTCTGTCCACGTAGATGATGCTAATGATAATGCACCGCAGTTTTTACAAGACGGTTATAGAATAGTCATCCCTGAAAACACTGCCATTGGTACAGATGTCATCCAAGTTGAGGCCACCGATAAAGACTTTGGACCCAATGGTGAGGTTGTGTACTCACTTTTGACAAGCACCACCCAGTTTGGCATCAACTCCTCTAATGGGATAGTGTATGTTGCCGGTCATCTAGATCGGGAGGCAATTCCTACTTTCTCCATCAAGATTAAGGCTCAAGACAAAGCAGACAAAGCAAATCAAAAGTTTTCTGTGACCACATTAAAAATAATATTGGAGGATGTAAATGACTGTCCCCCTCTTTTTATTCCTGGAGTCTACAAGACCAGGGCTCTGGAGGATCTTCCGGTGGGAACTATTGTGGCCTGGCTGGAAACCCAGGACCCAGATCTGGGACTAGGAGGCCAAGTGCGGTACTCTCTGGTTAATGACCACAGTGGTTGGTTTGAGTTAGACCGGAACAGCGGAGCTATTCGCCTTGCAAAGGAGCTTGACTATGAGACCCAGCAGTTCTACAACCTCACTGTGAAGGCCAAAGACAAGGGAAGACCTGTTTCTTTACTCTCTGTCACCTCTGTGGAGCTGGAGGTCATAGATGTGAACGAAAATCTCTACGCTCCATACTTTTCCCACTTCGCCTTAACAGGGTTAGTTAAAGAGAATGCTCCTATTGGAACCACTTTATTCCAAGTCAGTTCTAAGGATGACGATGTTGGTAGAGATGGAGAAATCCTCTACTCCATTCGGGATGGGAGTGGACTTGGACGGTTTGCCATAGATGAAGATACAGGTGAGGTTTTGAAAAATGTCATAAGATTTTGGCATCTGCCTGTTAGATCCCGGTGGCTGCCTGGTGGGGTCTGGGTCCCTGGGCTCTGCTGGGTCCCGGGAGTGGTCGCCCCTGGGTCCCGGGTCGCTGGGTCCCGGGCTCGGCCGGCTAGGGGGTGGGAGGCTGCGGGCGGGCCTGTGGGCTTGCCGCTGATATCTCCAGGGACTCTGCCGGCTGCTGGTTGTGGCCCCCCGGGGCGATCCTCTGTGCCTCTCGAGGGGGGCAGGGGCCTTCCTGGTTGCAGTCTCCTTGGGGTTCCTGCGTTCTGGGGCAGCGCCTGGATCTCTGGGACTTGGAGCTCCCCCCGTCTCCTGCGCATCTTTGGGGGGCGGATCTGTGGTCCCTCACACTCTCTGTTGGGCGCTCCTATAGAGAAACCTTAAATAAACAAGCGCGTGTACACACACAGGTGCTCACATGGTGCTCTCAAAAGTATGGGCTTGGGCACGTTAAACACAGGTCTTAAGACTATGGTGGGCACTTAATGCGTTGTGATTTATTATCGTGATTCTTCAGTTAAGCAATATTGATTATATATATATATATTTTTTCTTTTCATCAAGTTAACGCAGTGATAGGTAGATCTTGTTGTATTGTTGTTGTGTCCCTTTTTTTGTGTCCTTTTGTTTGTTTTTTTTGTCTTTTTTTTCTGCAGGTCTAGAAGCAGACTCTTGTTCATTTTTGTTTATTTTTGTGGAAACCCCCCCCCCCCCCCCCCCTCTCTCTCTCTCCCCACCTTTTCTTTTCCTTTCTCTTTCACCTCTGTCTCCGTGTCTGGTCGGAATTACAAAGCATTCAACAACAATAACAATAAAGTTTTAAGTATCAGGCGTGACATTAAAAGCAAACGCTTTGATGCTCCACCTGAGAATAAATCTGTAAGGCTTGTCACCAGCATTCAGACATCAATTCTGCTTGCTTCACAGCCAGACAGGACACGTAAAAAAAAAAAAAGAAAAAAAAAAGAAAAATGTCATACTGTATGTTTTATCATTTGTTTTGATTGATAATGAGAGGCAGAAATATGATGAAGAGGAAAAATCTGACCGTCTTTATTAAGGGCATCCCAATCAAGATGCTTTTGTTTCTGACTAATGTAAGTGTCCTTAAATACTGGGTCTTAAGTTGACTTACAGCACAAACATGCAGACCACATACCATATGCTGTTGTTTATTTATTGTGTGGATGCTTTTAACCAAAGATTGTACAGAATAGAATAGAATGAACTTTATTCATCCCATGGTGGAGAAATTCACTCGTTACTTCAGCACAAACACTTAGAGAAAAGAAAGAAGAAAAATAAATAAATAAAACACACAAAGGCAGTAAATTATTATTGTAATCTTCAACCAATTAAAATAACAAATAAAAAAGAAAAGTTGGGATTCCAGAAGTGTGCAGCATAAGGGACACAGACATACTAATGTACATATGGTAAGAACAAATAAATATAGCAATGAATGGTGAGCTCAAATGTTTGCTACGCATAATGCATTCTGTCAATCAAATGGAAGTATTATGTGTTTTTTAACAAGTCAAGTAGAGCTCTTCACCCATTTGACCGATTGGGTGGGTTCTCATAGGTCAGATGCCCACCCCCGAGGCGGACGACACTTAATTTTGATGGGTAGCAAACGTCTGAGTTAGCTTTGTTCTGCTCTTTCTGCTGATTCTGCTTTTCCCGGGGTCCACTGATTGCCTTTTCCTGTTCATTTTCTTTTTCCATTTTCTCACATTTTTGCTTTTCTCATTTTTATGATTTTTTTTTGTCATTCATTTTTATTTCTTTGATTTTGATTATTTTTGTTCCTGAGTTAAGTTTTTATTTATCGCACATAATATCGTCATCACAATACAGCATATCGCAGGTTTTCCTAACATTGTGCAGCCCTAGATGTCATGGTCCCTTTAGCCTCATCTACGACCTTTAACTCTAACTAGGAAGGTACACAGCTGATGCTGGGATGAGGTTCACATCCACTTGTTTTGTCACTCTCGCTAGTGATGTCACATTTCAAGCCAAGGCTTTGAAGTGTGTACCGAGCATTAAAAGGCACAAAAGAGGATTTGAGGCTTGTTTTGTTTCACAGAAAAGGTGTCACTGGGGAGAAACGAGAACTTGTTTTAGGTGGATCACGTGACTGGTTCTTTTCAAAATGAAAGCAGCCAAAACCCTTCATCCTTTGTGGACTGTTTTAGCGTGGTTCAACTGCCCAGCGGGGTTTTAAGTAGTTGAGCTTGTAGAAAGGAATGCTTGATGTTTGATGTAGTTGTAGTGTCAATAGCAATTTCGGTTGTCCTTAGCTCTTGTTTTAATGATTAGAAATGATAAAGGACAGAAGAGCCATAAAACATACCATCCACTCATTTAAAGTACAGGTTAGACAGAATTTGCTACTAATGAATTGACTGTGATGGTTCAACTCCACCAGCAGATGTCGCTATGTAAAGCTGATTAAATGAGGAAATAAATTAAGCTTCCAGTAGTGAACTTTAGGCAGCTTTGAACCTTATTGCTTCATGAAGCTTCACCATCACTATCTCTCGCTGCTCTTGCTAAATGCTTGGAAAATACTCAATGTATTCACTTAATGCTGATGTCCACTCAATATGTTGTGCTGTCTCTATGAAAGCAACAGCCAGCCATGTAAATCTAGGAGGAGTTATCAGTGTCCAGGAGAGCTGCACAAGTTTTATTACAGTTATGAAGGCAGACATCCTGGTGTTTGAGCAAATGCTAATATTAACAACGGCCGTGTACCACGCAGCATGCACACACGAAGATTTGCTGAAGCAGACTCAGATGTACAGATTAATTAGTATGCTCCACTTGGATCTGTTCTGTACTTATTACTGAGGTGGCTGTATGCATCTCTACAATACATAGACACAACAAACAAACATCGTATCATTGCTTACAGGACTGAATAATGCAAATAAGATCCGTTTGTTTCTCATATTAACAGATACAGCACACAGAGAAGACTGAAATGAAAGAGTTGTGCTTGCTGAGTGTGTTATCAAGGACCTCCACTCTCCTGGATCAGAGCAAACTCTAACCACTGTCCTAGTTTATGTTCTCATAATTACTGCATGAGCCTATATCTCATCTTCTGGCTAATACATAAAAACACAGTGGCCTTCAGGGCTGTGGAATACTTTACTACAATTAGTGTCATAGATGAAGATGGCTTTGCTTTTTTAGAAAGTGGTATATCTGGTGTTCTTAATGTTGAAAAGGCTGGTGTGATCCATACAGTCCACCTACAGTATCCCAAGACATTCCCTGACCAATGTTGAGATTTAACCCCTCCAACCTCCCCTGGAAAGACCCAGGGGACTCCGACCGGCAAGGCCTTCCCGAAACAGCTCCCTTGTGAGACGTCCAGATATCCTTCCCAAATGCCCCAAAGCTGGCTCCTCTCCACATGAAGGAGCAGTCGATCTACTCCCAATCTCTTTTGAATGTCCAACCTCTTGAACACATCTCTAAGGCTGAGCCCGGCCCCCTCACCTGGGAATCTCATTTCAGCTGCTTGTATCGGTGATTTTGTTTTTTGGACATTACCCAAAGCTCGTGACCAGAGGCGGGCATTGGGACTAATCCTCCTGCTTGCCGGCTGATGGTGGTTGGAGGAACCGGTGGAGTCAGTGTAGGACAGCCTAATCTCTCAGTGTTCCCCAGGGTAGCCGTGGCTAAACTGTAGCTCATCACCATCAGTGTGGGGATGTGTGGGAATGTTGTAAATTGCTTTGGAGTCATCTGACTCAGAAAAGCACTAGTGCAGGTCACTTCAGCTTGCTAACTGAGGCCTGTGGAGTCTCAAATGGAGCGTGTAGTGTTTTTGAGGTTTCTCCAAGTAATGGCCACTTATGCCACTTCACCATACGGCCGTTCCATGTTGGATGGAATTGGGTCTGGGTCCTACTCTGGTAGGGTTTGTTCACATACACTTCTCAGGAATGTGTCTATCTCTGAGCACGTGGGCGAGACAAAAGTCGTGCATAGGAGTCCTCTTTGTCTCCCAAACAAAGGCGGCTGTGAGTAGTGTTACTTTTGAAGGATCTGACTCTGATGTTGCATCCAGACTGGTGTGTGTGTCCTTGCGCAGGCAGCTCAAGCCTGGCTGCGCTGTCTGTGCTCCTCAGACAGAGACAGCTTCAGTCAGAGGAGATGTTTCCTTCTCAGTATCGAGAATGATAACGAATCCCTCTCCCTAATGGTAGGCATGAATGTGAGCCGGCCAGTCGGTCAGCAGTGGACCAGTTTGGCCTGAAGCAGACCACCTTGGGAAGAGGACTGAAAAACCCAGTCTAGCCCGATGTGAACACTTCCAAGTTCCTACCGTATCTGGGCTGAGTAGAGCGGGCCAGGTGATTTTTCTGGGAGGTCTTAACCCGTTTTCCTAAGTAGAGCCATGGAGAGCTGGAGTCTATCTCCACCAGTCATTGGGTGAGAGGCCAGAGACACACCGGACAGGTCTCTACTCCACCACAGGGACTTAAAAAGACACACAACCATTCACCCACTCACTCACACCTAGGGACAATTTGGTGTCTTCACTTAACAAAAAACATTGTGTCATTTGTCAAACCAGTTGTACTAGATTTAACTAGTAAGCAATGTTTTCACTCCTTTCATCTCCTTCCCTGACAGGCATGATCTACACCACAGATTTATTGGACCGGGAGACCAAAGACTCTTATTGGCTAACGGTTTATGCCAGTGACCGTGGTGTGGTCCCTCAGTTTTCTGCTATCGAGGTGTTCATTGAGGTGGAGGATGTAAATGACAACGCTCCATTGACCCCTGAGCCATTGTATCGGTGCTCAGTGCCTGAGAATTCTCCCCGAGACGTCTCAGTAATCCAGATTCAGGCACAGGACCCTGATGTGTCACCTCCTATGGCTGCTGATTTGCTCAGCTTCCGCATCATAAGTGGAAACCCACAGAATTTCTTCACAATCAACACTCGCACTGGTAAGTAATCTATGTTAGTTTAAAAACATTTAAGCAGAATGACATCTTTAGGTCAATAGAATAAAATAAATGATCTAGAAAATATAGATGCTCGAATAAATGGAAATTTGAAAGTTTTAAAGCTGCAATAGCAAATCTGGAAAAAGAAATTAGCTTAAAACACTGTGTTCTAACATAGTGGAGCTTAGGGCTGGGCGAAAATCAATATCACAATATATTGAGGATTTCACATCGATAATCAAATCAAATCAAATACTTTATTAATCCCAGAGGGAAATTAGAGTTTCAGTACACACAATTCAGAGATCAGACATACATGGGCAAGACACATGACAAGAATTGGTGACTGCGGTCATTCGCAGCACGAGTCGCGCTACCTTAATAGAGATAAGAGGAAAAGGGAATTACATGAGGATAAAGAGAATAAATTGGGGGAGGGAAAAAAAGGCATACCAGAGTTACTCCCGGCAGGGCTTAGCTTTGCTGTGCAAAAAACGCCTCAAACATGTAAGCAAGAACATCACAATTCACATCAAGAGATTCCGATAGGGGGGCTGGGATCCTGTTTCCCCAGCGGGAGCAGCCCTGTATGGCGCTCAGCCACTGTAGCCACTGGTGGGAGGGAGATCTTGGGAGGAGCGCAGAGCACATTGAAACCTGCAGGTTGTGGGTTTTCACAGCATCTGTCTGCATTCCTTCGTGGGGGTTTGTTGTTGGCATCTTGAAGGCTGCCATGGCGTCAGATTTGGATAACAAGACTTTGTTTGGGTCAGGCAGAGATAATTTCCCTTTCTGCCTTCAGTCTGTAACTGATCATTCAAGTCCTCCAGTGAAACCAATTTAGGTTTTAAACATCTCCACACCGTCCGGTGACCCTCTCCGAGATGACATCCCTTTTGCGCACTAACACCGGTAACGCAGCTAGGACATTGTCCAGCTTACGATTCACCTCGAGTAACGTCCCAGTCTGTAAGGTCACCGCCCGGGCGGTGCTTTCCGTGGGTGCGGGTCGCCCTCCAATCGCTCCCGTCTTCCCAAATTTCCAGAAAACCAGATATCTTCCCACTCCAATCAGAAGAAATCCAGTGATCATCAATCCAAATACCCACACATCTTCGACATCCTCATTGGACAACTGAGAGAGGCATACGATCTTCCACTCCTTCCAGGAATCGAGCATATATCCCGCTGCGTTTGTCCCTTTCGGACAAGTGGGAGCCCCCTCCTCCGTTCTCATCATAGAAAAAAATCTTATCAATCACGTTGAATGACCAATTAATTAAATCCATTTCTAAAAAATAGGGTTTCTCAGAAGAAATGCAGAAAAGCGCTCTGTAGGCAGACAGGACAAAGAGCCTTGGGGAAAAAAGATAAGGGAGCAAAAGCAGAAGCGTCTGTACTCTGCGAGTGCCAGGAAGAGATTTTACATAACGATAAATGGACGATAACTAGGTATGCTAGGAAACAAAAGCTACATGTATTATATTGAGTCACATTTTTATGTGACTCAAGGTGGTTACAGCTTCTTAAAGGGACATGAACGTTGCCAACATACACACATATTTTCATTCGTTTATCATTAAATTTATTGGCATGGGAAAAATTATCTTGATAAGAGTCAGAAATTTCGATAACGATACATTTTCGATTTATTGCCCAGCCCTATTGGAGCTATATATATATATTGTGGCGATAAAAAAATAAATAAAAATAAATAATTAAAGTGGTTTCCTCGCATTTGTCTGAAAACTGCCAATAACACGTTTCAGACCAAAAAGCAACTATTGGACCATCCAGTTGTCGGTCTCGCTTAACTGCCGCACTTCCCTGGGTCCTCCATTTGTTACATTAGACACTTAACCCACCTCGCCTGCTGGTGGTGGTCGGAGGGACCGTGACACCAGTGCTCGGCAGCCTCGCCCTTGTCAGTGCGCTCCAGGGCAGCTGTGGCTAGATAGCAGCTCATCCCCACCAGCGTGAGAATGTGTGCGTGAATGGGTGAATGACTGGTTGTGTTGTGAAGTGCCTTGGGGGATTGTAGAAACCTAATATGGTACTATAGAGAGCCTAAGTCTCCTCCCTTTCCGGTTGGCTCATGAGTCCCCGGAAGAAAGAGAAAATGAATGCAAGTCAACGGGGCTAAACGCTATTTTCTAACCCGCTTTGCCTTAGACCCTGGATCACACATATGTTGTACTGTAATTCAAATGAAAACTAATGATGGGTGTTTCGACCTTGCCAGACACGTAATTTCATATTTATCAGGTTATAAATGTTCGTAATTAGCATGACTACAAATCAAATGTCAGCACGTCGCATATGTAGGGCTGCAACAACGAATCGATAAATTCGATGAAAATCGATTACTAAAAGCGTTGGCAACGAATTGCGTCATCGATTCGTTGTGTCGCACAACTCTTCCAAAAGCGCCCCCCCCCCCCCCCCTTCCCGCCCGCCGTTGCGCGCAGACCAGAGCAAGTCAGATCAGCGCGAGGGAGAGCCGGCAGATCAGCGCGAGGGAGAGCCGCAGATCAGCGCGAGGGAGAGCCGCAGATCAGCGCGAGGGAGAGCCGCAGATCAGCGCGAGGGAGAGCCGCAGATCAGCGGGAGGGAGAGCCGCAGATCAGCGCAAGGGAGAGCCGCAGATCAGCGCAAGGGAGAGCCGCAGATCAGCGTGAGGGAGAGCCGGCAGACTTGCGCTGCTGCGAACCGGTTCCGCATTGTTGCACAGCGATCCAGGCAGCTGCTTCCAGCGCACGGTCCATTCTCAAAGTGGCGCAACCAAAAAACTATAATTAGCACACGATTGTTCATGTCCGCACATGTTCTCTATTTTCTGTCTTATTTGTGCCTGAAGCGCGCTACTGCGGAGCTCATCACCTGTGCTGTGGTGATTTCACCTCACGCAGCATCGAAAACGCGCTCTCCGCTTTATGGTCAGGAGATCCCTTTGATCTGCTCAAAAGTAACTGATGAGGTGAAAAGGTAAGAATCCAGGCAGCAGTTTTTCTGGAGAATTAAGAGGAGATGCAGGAAGATGAGAGACAGACAGGACAGGAAAATAGTTCAATAAAAACAAGAAAACAAAACAAAGTGTTGAAAAGTAAAATGTAGGTAGATTTATCTCCACTACACGTTTTTACCAGTAAAAAACAACAAGTTATACACATGTAATATTTATACATCTGATACAATTCAGATCACCTTCAAAACTCAGTCACACACCCAGGGCCGTTTCAAGACATTTTGGGGGCCAAGGCAAAATGCCCCCCCCCCCCCCCACCCCAATAACTGGGCTCCCCAGAAGCCTCTGTGTAATTCATGCCCTCTCCAGTGGTGTTAGTTATATGGTGTTTATAAAAGCCCCTCAGACATTACTGACATGTTCTAATATTATCAGATGAAAAACTAAATTATCAGACATGCTGTCTCATCAGCTTCTTTTATAAACTTGCAAAAAGTAACAAAACCATTTGAAAGCCACTATTTGTGGATTCTCTGAAAGTTTCCATGGAGTGTGTGACAACTTATTTTTTCATTGATCCTATCGTCTAATCTCACAGCTGAAACAAGCATCCTTAATAATCTGTGCACAGGAAGCTTACCGATGCTGTAGTAAAACAAAAGGTATTATAATTTATTATTAATAAAACCTTGTTGCAGCACTAAAGCAGAAAAATTAGATTTTGCATTAAATATGCAAAATATTTACATATGAATTGTTTTAGAGCCCTTTAATTGGCAGAATCTGATATTAATTTAGTTCTTACAAAAAATGGGTCCCAACATGGTTTGTGTGGCGTTGCCATAGTGTGACGTCATAGGCACAGATCCCTGTCCTCTTGTTTGGAAATGGAAATATGGTCACCCTACATTAAACAAACTGTCCACCCGGGCTTTTGCTCTGCACAGAGACGCTTCGCTGCCTACGACTGAACGTCAGTTGAGAGTCAGTCGTAGGCAAGAAGAGAGGGCCTCAAGTTAAGACCCTTTCCTCATTGGTCAGTCCACACAAGGTGGGTCAAAGGTTACTCTGGGCGGGTTACGTGTTTTCAGGCATTCAAGTATTGAGTATATTTACTGCATATTACAGTAAAATATTCTGTATGTGACCACATTATGGTGATCCTTGGGTCGTGATGATGGAGCCCTTGAATATTGTTGCCCAGGGTACAACAAAGTGTTAATCTGGCCCTGGTTCCGCCGTCACATTCCCGCAGAAACTGGTTGATCACACCGGGGCCAGACTAGCATGTGGTTTTACAACCACAATGTCCTCAGAAGCAAAAACGCTTTTAAAAGGGAGGGAGGAGTCCTAACTGTTGCTGCAGGCATGTTGTGTGAGAGTGCAGTTATATACTGGTTAATATATTTTTGGGTTCAGTTGCTTTCATGTGGCCTAATGTGAGTCTATTTGGGATCATTGGAATGATCAGCAGCATTTCTTGATGTGACTTTATGGCAGTTGCCCAGGGCATCATCACAAGGAGGATGGCATTGATTTACTTTTGTTTTATTTGGTATTTTTTCAGTCATTTTTGGAAATAGTGATAAATTTTGATTAATTCACGGCCTATGTTTAATTACATTTAAAATAAATGTCAACAGATGAGATCAAACAAAACAGATGAGAATTGCCCTTAAGCTGTTTAACTTGGACCAAGCATTTTAGGTCACAGATAGATGTAGCTTAGGGTCTCTGTCTATACACCTTATAAGACAATTTAGGTGATGGCATGTTGTTTTTCTGCTATTGAACTGTTTTCTAATAATGTTGTGTTAAATAAAGTGAAGGAAGGAGAGAAATAACGTTTCCCTAGCAGTTTTTAAAAATTTCCCCATGTAATCCGATTAATCGATTAATCGTGTCGAGACCCCATCCGATTAATCGATTATCCAAATAATCGTTTGTTGCAGCCCTATATGTGACATCACCACAGAATCTCTTCTCCCCTAGTGTAGCTGCTACTTACCACATGGCCAGATTTATGGTGGTTCTTTCCTCCTGCGGGAAGTTTGCTGAACTTACAGCCATTTTCCCTCAGTTTTTTCCGTGTCTGGTTCGATGACGTCACTTTCCTGAAGCGCATTTGTAGTCCTGGACTTATTTTCACACTAAACCTAAATTAGCGCTTCCCTCCGTTTGAAAATAAGAGCGTTCTTGGTATCAAAATGTGTCTTTAAAATTCACGGACATCATATTTGAAATCCATGGTACATAACAAGCGGAATTAGAAAATGGCGTTTTTAGTCCCATGATGCAGAAGTAGTTGGGAGTGACTTGGGTTCCCTATACAATTACAGGCCATTTGCCATTCACACACTTAGCAGCAGAACATCACTGGTGTGAGATGTTCTCCGCTCAAGAATATCAGAAGGAGAAACAGCCGGCTGCTACTACTTCAGCTTTAGGACAAACCACCAGAGTCCCAAAAAGAAAAACTCCATTTACAGTCACAAACAACTGAAGACGTTTGGATGTAGAAAACAGTGACTGGTGTTTAGCGCTCTATTGTTTTTCTTTGGAAATGTTGGTTTCTGGTTCCGGTGGATGAGGATCCAGGGAAGAAACTCGAAGGGAGGGGTGAGTGTGCTGTGATCGTGTTTACATTCAAAACCTAGCTTGTTTCCAGATTCGCTGTAATGCATTATTTTATGAATCATAACAAATCATTTATCAGTGTGAACATTTTCAAATGAAAAGTATTTAAAAGCACACATTGTGCATAAAAATACAATAAAATAGTCCATTACCATGAAATCAAATCAAGGGGTTGTTATATTAGGTGAGAAAGACAGAGTTTATCTTTTTTATTCCTGGTAAACAGGCATCACCAGTCCGTCTTATTAACACCGTTTTAAACAGCAGTCATTACCTGCGAACATTTTTTATTGATTTTTGTGGCATTTGTTAAACATTCCTGTAAATAGGAGTTATAACCAGGTCCATTAGCATTTGCAGACGTTGAGTTTATTCAGCTGTTTTTAAAAACATTGTTTCAAGCTGTGTTTATGAATTCATTAGAAAACAGTGTCTGTGAAAGCAGCTGTGTGTTTTCTGACCCGCAGCAGGAAGATAGAGTTCTGTGCAAAGGATTTAGGTAGGTGTTAAAAATGCTGTAAACAAAAAATGATTTCAGAAATCATTTAAGAAATGCAAAGTGAGTGACACCAAACATGCAGCCGAAGTCCTGCAAGTGGTGGTCTGGCTCTTCGTCATGGAGTGTGTCTAGGATTACACGAAGAGACAGAAGGATGCGAGGAAGCCTACGTCCACAGAAGATCTGTGGTTAGTTCTCAAAGATGTTTGGAACAACCTACCAGGCCAGTTCCTTCAACAACTGTGCTCAAGCGTAGCTAGATGAATTCATGCTGTTTTGTGTAGAGAGCACTTCCATATTTGAAAGCATTCTTTGTTTACAGCATGTTTCATGCTGATTAGATTCTTATTCATGTCAAAGTGGAGAATTGAGGATTAAATAATGCAGAATAAAAGGAAAACAAACTCACAGCTTTGAAAGATGGAACTTGTCACATTTTCTTTGGTTTTGGGTGCTCTTTATTTCACATTTCCCCCTTTTCACCCCTTGTTGAAGTTGGGTACATTTTAAGTCATTGGTTAAGTAGGAGTATTCTCATTAAAAGAGGGAAAGATCCATCCGTCCATTTTCGGCCGCTTATCTGGGGCCAGGTTGCGGAGGCAGTTGCCTAAGCAGAGAGGCCCAGACTTTCCTCTCCCCAGCCTCTTGGGCCAGCTCCTCCGGGGGAATCCTAAGGTGTTCCCTGACCAGCTGTGAGACTTAGTTTCTCCAGCGTGTCCTGGGTCTTCCTTTAGGCCTCCTCCCGGTTGAGCGTGGCCGGAAAACCTCACCAGGGAGGCGTCCAGGAGGCATCCTTACTCGATCATCTGGTAAAAGAAAGAAAGAGATTCTTTTAAAAGAGTTTCCTATTGTTTTTTGTTTTAGGGTTGATCACCACAACTTCACGGAAGTTAGATCGAGAACAACAAACAGAGCACAATCTTGAGGTGAGGAGAAGTTTTCTAATTAGAAGATTCTTGATACCTTTCCTTAACTCCTTGTCTTGGGTTCTTGTCAATCAGCAAGGTCACCACTGCATCCAGAAGGTGAAACCTGAACCGCTTTCATGCAAGAAGGAACCATGTGGTCAGATGAAGACATATTCAGTTGCTGTAACCAATATTTATTTCTGTTGTTGCAAAGTCAAGAAAGTCAATTTGGTGTTTACCTATGGAAGGCTCCTGTGGTGATGATATGAGAAATGAGCCTAACTTTAGACTTCAGTGGTAAAAAAAACAACAACGTGGCTTTCTAGATTGAGCAGTGAGCTGACCTAGTTTGCTTGCAGTCTAGATACACGCCCCTCCAAAAAGTTTGGAACAGTGAGATCCATTTCTTTCTTTCTGCTGTTGACTGAAAACCTCTGAGTTTGGCATCGAGAGATGAACATGAGACCAGAAATCAACATTTCAGCTTCTATTTTCATGTTGTTACAGCTGGACGTGATCCACAACTTAGAAATGGCTTTTTTAAATTACAACAGCTAACGTTAAGGTGAGCATGAGTGTTGCAAAAGATTGAATTACATTTATTAGCTATTAATAAATATTATGCGTGACTCTCTGACATCATCACTCTGTGACGGACGGTGTTCGGGCGGGGAGTTGCAGTCTTGAACATGACTCTTTTTTTAAACAATCTCTCCTCCTGCCTAGGATGATGGTGCTCAGTGCACAGAGCGCCTCACAGAAATTGTTTTTTTAAAGGTGCATTATGTAGAAAGAAAGTAAAAATGACACCCTGCGGTAACATTTGGTTACTGTAACCACTTCAAACAACTCTGGAGCTCTTTGCCGGCCGTCGTTAACTTACAGTAGTCAGCGCTGCAGTATTAGCTCGCAGGAGACACATCAACCCCACGCTTGCTGATGGTAAACAGTTACGCCCCTCCTTCTTTTGTTTTGAAAGGAGAAAACTGACCAGCCCACCGCCAACTGGATATGAAATGTTTCAGTATAACCTTCCTTCCAAAATGAATGAAACATCACACTCTTTTGGGATTTTCTCACTGTAAAAGTCTCACTATATTCTTAAATACTTAATTAGCACAGTGCATGATGCGCATGGGCGGAGCGCCAGCACTGGATATAAAAACAAGTTGGGTTTACACCCTTGTCTGTTAGTGTGGCCAATTGAGCAGCAAGCTGTTACCATTTTGCTACTAAAGCAACACAAATAAAACAATATAAGGCTACAAACTAGCTTGTTTTGGACTTTTAACAGACAGAAATAGTTCCCTTGAAATGCATCACAGTGAAAGATGCGTTCCCATTAGTATCACGACATCACGTTTAGTAGTACTCATGTCGGTTCTGTGTATTGTCAAGTACTCAAAAGGAAGTACTTGTACTTGTATTTGGTTCGAAAGTATCTGGTATTCGTGCATCCCTACTATTTACCATTTGTAACGTCAAACCCAACTGTTTTCAGTCTTCAGCAAAAGTAAAGTAATCTTCCTTTTAGAGGAGAGAATAAAGGGCACGTCACGAAAAAGACAATAAGTCAGCAAAAAACACTTGTGGCTGAACTTTAGAGTCCTTCGCTAAATGTAAGCTTGAATTTCTTGTCATTTGAAACACTGGAAGGAGATTTATTGGAGAAAACTGCCACCAGTCTCATTAGGACTCAGCTGAAGCCGTATGCACTGGTTCCGTGTTGATGGTCACATTGTTATTTTACGAATTCTAACCCAAATCTATTATAATCAAAGATTGCAATGCAACTTAACACTCTGAAGGTTGTGATCCCTTGAGGAAAGAGTACAAATCTGGTAAATCATTGTTTTGCCTTCGCAGGTGCTGATTTCAGATGGGGGTCCGACTCCCAGGAAGAGTACCGTGTGGGTAGTAGCTGTGGTTGTAGATGAAAATGACAACAAACCCACATTTCATGAAAAGGTGTACCAAGTGAAGCTACCCGAGAGGGAGCGTAGAAAGAAGGCTGAGCCTATCTATCGAGTGTTTGCCTATGACCTTGATGATGGACCCAACAGCGACCTCTCCTACAGCATCGTGGATGGAAATGAGGATGGAAAATTCTTCATTGACCCCAAGTCAGCAGTGGTATCATCAAGAAAGGCCTTCACCGCTGGAAGCTACGACATCTTGACTGTAAGAGTCAGTTATTAAATATGTTGGCAAGATTTAGGACAACTGAAGACAACTAACAGAAGTGTAAACAGGAATGGTCCTTTTGTGCCATCTTAGTATTTGCATGTTTATTTCAGCAGATGACCTGAACGTAGTATTTCTGTGCTTTTGTGTGCAGATCAAAGTGTCAGATAATGGCCGTCCCCAGAAGTCGTCAACAACTCGACTTCACATTGAGTGGATCCTTCGACCATCTCCATCAACTCAACCGTTGCGCTTTGATGAGCCGTTTTATAATTTCACCATTATGGAGAATGATAAAGTGGCCGAGATTGTCGGTGTGGTGACTCTGCAACAGAACACGGTCCCAGTGTGGTTTGATATTGCAGGTAAAACCCACTTGCTTGTGACAGCGTTTCTCTTTAAAGGGTTCTGCTTTTGTGAAGTAGACCAAGGCTTTGTGCACGGTGTACAAAAGATTAACAGTATGTAATGTAGTTTTATCGTGACTCAAAAAGATTTTCTTTTTAAAGTAACACCACATCTTTGTTAGGACTTCCGGTGGGCTTTAACATGAACCTGTCTAATTACTGGAAAACCTGCTTTTGACCAACATGCTTTGTTGCGATTATCAGATTTTCTGCTCCGTTTCATATCAGACTCAATTCAATTCAAGTTTATTTATAAAGCGCCAGTTCACAACAAGAGTCGTCTCAAGGCACTTCCCACAGTAAACATTCCAATACAGGTCAGTTCAGTAAGCCAATGAGTAAAAAGTTTCCTATATAAGGAACCCAGCAAATGGCATCGAGTCACTGACTAGTGTCAGAGTCTTTATAACAATCATCATACTAAGCAAGCATGCAGCGACAGTGGAGAGGAAAACTCCTTTTTAACAGGAAGAAACCTCCAGAGGATCCTGGCTCAGTATAAGCAGCCATCATCCACGACTTACTGGGGATGGAGAAGACAGAGCAGACACACACACACACACACACACACACACACACACACACGCATGCATAGAACTCTTAGAAGGCATTTACATCAACTTACAGAGGCTGTAATTTCTAGGGGTGTGCCCATCGAGCAGCTGCAGGTCATTATCGGCCAACTTCTGTGAAAAGTATGTGATTGGCAAATTCTGATCAGTTCCTTTTGGTGCCAGTCATACAAGCAGATCACCTGCAGCTCACACGTGTGCAGTTTGCCCATCCTAAAAACTCAAGTCTGCCATGTGGGAATACTTACACCACTTGTGAGAGATCCTGCAACACAAAGAATTACCGTGTGGGGTGAAGCTCGTTAAAGGTGTTAAAGCTGCTTTCCGGAGTTTTCCCTTTTCAGAAATGATGTATGATTTTTCAGAAATCCGTAAAAGTGATGATCTCTTCATGTACTGTGATAAAATGTAAGCAATATGTCTTTTTTATTTATTTATTTTGCTAAGCCCGCCCCCTGCCCCGCAGAGCTCCATTCATCAGGAAACTGAGTGCCGACCAGAACTAGCCAATAGCGTTAGACTTCCACTTTCTTGCTTCACATTTAAGGAATACTCGGCTGATGCAGAGTTGATGAACTGTTCACGGACAAGAAAGTCTCTAAAATATAAATATATGAGAACACAACATGACATGAGAATAATACTCGTAAAACAGCGTGTTTTAGCTGTTTGTCGGCTACAGAAGCACATTTATAAACAGAAACGTGAAGTTGCCGTCTTAAAAAAACAGAGGAATAGACTTTTTGTGTGGTATGCTTGTCAGCCACTAGATGGTGCCATCAGATAAGAGAAATGCTCCGGAAAGAAGCTTTAATACAAGAAAAAGCACTTGGCAAGGCGAGGTGAGATTTCATGGCTCAGTGCAGAAATTAAAAGACACGCAGAGCGGCAGCAGTGAGACGGCAGCTGGTGCAGCCTATACTCACCAACACTCGTCTGTATGAGGGTGACGGTCACAAGGATGAGTGAAGAGTAATTTTATTCATCGTGCTAGATTAGCAGCCTCTCTCGGAAGTCGAACACACCGAGCTCTGCCTGCTGCTCTCTCATTTTGGGCCTTGCTACTGGAACACACAATGTAGTGAGATTTATTTGTCTTTCCCCACTAAGGCTAAATGCTTTATCAGTTCTACACCTTGGGTTGGGCGGCTTAGAATGTGTGATCTAAAACACACGCACTACCTGTGCTGGAAGGTTTGTTGTGTGTTTTTCTTTTATAAAGCAAGTATAAACATGGTTTTGTCTAAATTAAGGCAATTTTGTGGTTCTTTTTTTCCAGATTATGTATCCATGAGCACTCATTGTGTGACATCGAATAATTCACGCCCAATCCAAGTGACCCTTGTCAGTTATCACTATCGATAATCGTATCGCTGTTGGTGGTCGGTATAGAGATCAGCAGTAAAATGTCTGATCGTAGCATTCCTAGTGTTTTGCACGACTTCTTTTAGAGATACTGATTGTTTAACACTGTTAAACGTTCTTCTGCACACCCCGCTACGACCACTTAGAGGGAGACCACAAGGATTCAATGCTTTACCTTCCTTGCAAGCAACACGAATCGAACCCAACAGACTCATAAAAACCTGATCGACCAGCTTTAAGGGACAGCTGCCACAAGAGGCTGGTCATTTTTCTCAGAGAACATTTCCTGTCTCCCTTCTTTGTCTGTCATCTTTTCCTTTCTCACATTTTTTCTATTCTCTCTCTTCAACTCTTCGTGCCTGGTAGGTTCCAGGCCTTTCCGTGAGATGTTCTATATTCTACAGAACGCTTGTCTCAGGAACTGTTCCTCTGAAGGTATTTTGCTTTCACCAGATCTCCATGTTGTGTTTCATCTTTTTTCTTTTCTTTTTACATGTTTGGTGACACCTGTTCTTGTGATACTTGTTCCTCTCGTAGTGTTTGCGATGAGGTGTCTGCATGATTTTACATCTGTCCTGTAAGTGTGTGTGTGTAAGTCCATGTTTCATTGTGATTAAATGTGAACTGGCAGCAACCAGTGCAGCCTGCTGCCAAAGACCGTTAAGCTTCTGTTTGTTTATTAATAATTTAATTAACAGAATCAGGCTGTTTTGATTAAACTTCAGTTGCACCACACGATTCATTAATGAAAGATGAATGAGTTGGATTTGAACTGAATTAGTTTCAACTACTGGATCTTTCTCGAAGATGCATCACCTCTCATCCCAAAGCCTCTGCGGGTGTGATAGGTTGGAGTTTTATCCCTCTCAGGATGAAAGTGTATCTTTCCTAAAAGTGGAGGAGTTCACACATCTTTATGTTGTTCCTTTGTTTAATAAGGTGGAGAGCGAGATGGACCGTTGGATTGTGGCTTTATCTGCAGAATTGCGGGCTTGGCTTTGGTCTGTTTGGGCGTAGACACATTTGAGTTGAAAGTCAAAGCTTTTGGTTCACAGACCCGTCTATGTTCCGTACCTCACCTCAGATTATAAGATTTGGATTGTGAGAGGATGAGTTGAACTTCCTCTGTAGCCTAACCAGGCTCAGCTTTAGAGATAAGGTGAGGACCTTCATTATCCAAGGTGATCTCAGGTAAAAGCTGCTGCTCGTCCTCATCAAATCGAGCCGGTTAAAATGTCTGATTTGGATTCCTCCTGGTGGCCTTGTTCTGGAGGCTTACTGGGATGGATGATACATCCTTTCTGGACTTTGAATGCCTCAGTAGTGTCTCTGGGTAGAGGGATGTTTTCCTTCTGAACATCTTACCCCACTGGCCTGACCTTGTACAAGAAGATGGATGGATGTATAGATGGAATTTAAGGATGAAATGCATTCAATATGCACATTTTTGGTCAGCTACATATTGCATGAGTAAGTGAAAGGATCATTTTCTCTCATTAAACAGGGAAGCATCTACAATACAGCTTTGGCTTTTCTTCACAAGCACTATGTTAGTCGTTCTTACCTCAGGAGGAGAGAAGATGATATACCTTTTAACTCGTTGGGTTGCTTTGTCCTGGAAACCAGAATCAAACCGCATCCTATATTGACAGCTCTCACCACTTCTGCATGTTTTGTCATTCCCAATGGTGATAGTGAGAAAGCTTTGAATGATCTGAGGTGGTAATCATGAAATGTGTCTAGATGGTTAGACATGTTATACAATAGAGCAAGTGAAGGAATTGCTGAGCTCACATATTCATGAACAGCTGCAACCAGACTACCTGCCAGCAGTTTTCCAGACAAACCACTTGGACCAGTATCAGTGACTGTCTGACTACTGTTCAGGTTTAAGTTTTGGATTTCAGGATAGGAAGCCTAAGGCTCCTCCCCTTCCTGTTGGCTCATGGGTTTCTGAACCAGGCCATACGAGTGTTTTTCTAACCCGCTTTGCCTTACGCACTGAATCACACGTATGTTGTAATTCTATTTAGATTGTTAATAATTATGTGTGTTTCGACAATGTCTGTCACGTAATTTGAGATTTATTTGCTTGTAATAATTTGTAATTAAAATTACTACAAATCACAAGTCGCAGCAGGATCTCTTCTCCCCCAGCGTAGGTGCTACTTACCACATGACCAGATTTAGAGTGGTTTTACACGTTTACCGCTCCTTCTGCTGTCCTGGAAGAAGGATGCGAAGCTTGCTATACTCAGCCATTTTTTTTTTACTTCTGTTCCTCTATGTCTGGTTTGATGATGTAAATATGGTGAAATGAGCAGTTGAAGTCTTCTACATGCTTTTACACAAAACCTAAAATAACTTTTGCCGCCTGTCAAAAATAAGCGCTTTCTTGGCATCAAAATGTGTCTTTAAAATTCACGGACATCATTTGTGAAATCTATGTCACATATCAAGTGGGATCAGGAAATAACTTTTATCGGCCCATAGACTGATGCTTATTTTTTGGGGCGTGGTCCAGAAGTTGATGGGCTCCATATGGTTAGATCTTTATTGCAGTGTGAGTAATGAGCAGATGGCTGAATTATTGCAAGTGTGATTTTACAATAAGGCTGTTGTTAACTCATTTAAAGGAGCAATGTGTAAGATTTCTACAATGATCACCTATTGTGTGACACAAAGCAGTCTAATGTCTCAATCATGTTGGAAACCAGGTTACATCAAAGCAGATTTCATTCTAAGCCGGCTTTCTACTTTCAGAAAACGAAAGAGGGACATGGTTACTGTTTACAATCAGTTTGTCTGTGAGGTTCCAGAGTCTACACCAAGCTAACGCTACAGCGCTGGCATTTGTAATTATTCACTGGAAGGCAAAAAGCAAGTAAACAGGAGAACAATACCAAAGCCAGTAAACAGAAGCAACCCAGAAGTTATTTCTTGTACCCCTAAGAAGCCACGTCATCCTTTTGTTTTACTCTATCAGGTGAAGCATGCTAGAGGCTAACGTTGAGCTAAAAATGCTAACAATGAATTAGAAGTAAATGGTCAGCTCTCAAAACAGCTACTTTTTCAAGAACCAACGACTCAATATTCCAGTGAAATGTATGTGAAATGAGCAATGAGTGGATTGTGGCATCAATGCTGGAAGCATACTACTGTAATAAGTGTACCGGGATGCGTCAATCTATCATTATTCTAGGAGGAAATGTAAAGGAGGACAGCTTCTTCAAGAAAGTTTGACAAGGATTGATTGAGACAAGTAGTACTGGGCACACGCAGCACGCCTTAAGGAAATAGTGGCGAGATGAGGTCATAGATTTACTAGACAGATTCCAGTTAGTCTGCTTCACCGGAAAGAGGCTGGAAAGGGCCAATTACCATTTACCAGAGTTTGTGAGGTCTTCATCACATGATCATCTCTGATCTGGTCTTCATCTGACTAATTCAGCCATTTGTTTCTAAAATAGCCAGTTCAGTACTTTGTATGCAGTACATACAAATGGTCAAAATGTGTTTTTACTGTTTTTAATTATTTATTATCCCATCATTTCAAACAGTAGTTATCAGCTTCTTTGTATTTGTTACTGATTCACTCCCAGTGCCTCATCCTCCCTCTCTTGTTTTTCCTTTGGAGCAGGTGGGAACAGCGACAGTGTGTTTGACATCGAGAAAGCTGCAGGGACCATCGTCATCGCCAAGCCTTTAGACGCTGAGCAACGTTCCTTCTACAACCTTACAGTTTTGGCCACAGATGGCACCAACACTGCGTATACACAGGTACTCTTTTAAAATACACTTGTTTCAATATTTTGTTGCTTTTTGGACACAATTTTACAAATTTTTAGTACAGCTGAAACTCAAAAAATTATAATTTGGTGCAAAAGTTTTTTATGTCAGTATTTAAACTTAAAGGGTGAAACTAATATATGAGATAAACTCATTACAAGCAAAGCCAGATATTTCAAGCCTTGATATAACTTTGGTGGTTATGGCTTACGAAAACCTCAAATTCTAGTTCTCAGAATTTTTTAATATTATGTGTAATCAATAAAACAAGGATTTTAAAAAGAGAGAGGTCAGACCTCTGAAAAAATATAACCGTGCTAAAGTGCTCAGTAATTGGTTTGGGCCTCTTTTGCTTTTGAATGAAATGAATTAACTTTTGCACGATATTCAAATTCTTCAAATTGCATCTGTAAAATGTATTTTTTTTTTTTGGTGAAACTAACAGAATTCAGCTCAGAATTTAGTTTAACCAGATGAGGAGGTGAGACCGATGAGAAGGCAAGTCATAGTGATGATGACAACTTAAATAGATCAGAAACAGTCACCTAAACATTTCAGAGCAGGCAGAATAGAAGTTAAGAACCAGTTTCACTAACAAACACATAGCAAAATTAATTCTTAGATTGTAAAGACAGTCTAATAAAAAAGGTCAACTATATCCATCCATCCATTCTCGTCCGCTTATCCAGAGTCTGGTCACGGAGGCAGTAGCCACAGCAGAGAGGACCAGATTTTCTTCTCCCTAGTCACTTGGGGCAACTGCTCCAGGGAAATCCCAAGGCTGGCCAGACAAGAAATAAAGTCCCTACACCATGTCCTGGGTCTCTCTTTAGGTCTCCTCTTGGTTGAATGTGCCTAGAAAACCTCACCAGGGAGGCATCCAGGAGGTGTCCTAACCAGATGCCCAAGCCACCTCAGCTGCCACTGGGCTGCTGTTTGTCTGGTCCCTCACCTAGGACCTGCTTGCCATGGGTGACCCTACCAGAGGCATAAAGCCTCAGACAACTTAGGCTACGTTCACACTGCAGGCAAAAGCGCATCAAATCTGCTTTTTTTCCCCACAATCGAGCCATATCTGATTTTTTTATGACAGTCTGAACGCACAGATCCGATTTTTTAAAATGCACCTGTGTCACTTGAATATGTGGTACTGATTCCAACACATATCTGATGTTTTTGAAAGCGACCGCAGTCTGAACGGTCGTGCCGCCTTAAATCTGTCTCCTACGTCACAGAGTCAGCGGAGGTGAGCATCGTGTGTGGATGTTCCTGAGGAGAAGCTCTGGCAGAAGGGTTCAGGAGTCTGTCTGGACATCCTGTTTTAGGTTTAGGAATTAGAAATACAAGAGAATGTAAATGGGAGCGGGAGGTGCGGCTGGAGCGAAGCGCTTCACCGGTCTCCGTGAAGGAAGGGGGGGGGGGGGGGGGGGTGTCTCAGTGAGAGGGGGATTCTCCGTAAATGAATTAAGACGGGAACATTTTCGGATAATAATTCAGGGAGACGGCGGGAACAAGGAGTAAAACAGTTTACAGTTTTTAAAACTCTTCCAGCCCAAAACGGAAGAATTAACAGGTGTGAAAGTTTTCACTGATAGTTTATCCACAGGATCAGGATGACATCACAACTCCGCCGCTCCTGGTTTCCGCTCCACTGAGTGTGACTTCTTGTCTTCTGCGCATGCGGGTCGCTTTGGTGCCGCAGAGCATTCACGCTGAAGAGTTTGATGTTGCATTTCAGTCACGTGTGAACGGCCACACAAAAAAATCTGATTTACTCAAAAAATCGGAATTGAGCATCAAGGCCCGCAGTGTGAACCTAGCCTTAGCTCCTAGGATCAATGGGAAATTTAATCCCCACCACCATGGTAAAGTAGCAGCCCAATGAGAGGTAACCTATACCATAAACTCTAAACTAGATGCCATGCCACTTTCAATCACCCTTGTATCAATAGAGAACAGTAGCAATTTAGCACTCAGTAGCAAAGTTAGGCATTAAAAAAAAATAAATTATGACAAAAAGCCCAGGTCAAACTTTCTGTGACGTGTTTAAACTCTGAATAATTTTTCTTCTGTCTACCTGTCTACTGTCTGCCAAGTCTACCTGAACTATGGATTTTGGAAAGGGGTGGGGCTTTCGCCGTAATTCTGTTGTGAAAGTGGAAATTGCTCACAGTTTTTCCGCTAACTTTATTTATTTCATAAAATGCATTGCTGCCAAAACTCACAGTCCACTATTATTGATTGAATGTTTGTTCCAAAGCGGGAATCAAAGGATGATGACATTAATAAAACTAGTTATCTTTCTATAGTTGTGAAATTATCCATCCAGATTAAGACCAAATCAACACACTTCAGTCATTCATGTTCTTATGTTCCAGATCCACATTACTGTTTTGGACAACAATGACAATGATCCCACCTTCTCCCAACCAGTTTATGAAGTTACTATATCGGAAGATACCTCACCTGACACAGAGGTGGTCCAGATACAGGCGTCAGACCGAGACCAGCATCACCTGCTCACCTATTCTCTCTACAGCTCTATAGATCCAAACAGTATGCATCTGTTTCGCATCCACCCCACGCTCGGCACCATCTACACCGCTCAGAGGCTTGACCATGAGGCTTGTGCTCAGCATGTTCTCACTGTCATTGTAAGAATTTCTTTTGGGTTCCTCTCGCCCTTTATTTGGCAGATGTGTGTAGTGTGTATAGCTGTCTGAAGATAAAAACACAGAACGGTCGGTGATTATCACATCATGTAATCAACATCCATTTATTCTTGTTATGCCTTTAGATAAGGATTACAATTACTGACAATCATTTATATGCTAATTACCAATTATTTATCGTTTTGTTTTTCATTGTTTTGTTTTTTTTAGGTGAAAGACCAAGAGTTTCCATACAGAAAGGATCTGGCTCGAGTCCTGATAGAACTGGAAGACATAAATGACCATGTGCCTGTTTTCACCAGCACTCTGTATGAAGGCTCAGTCTATGAGTCGGCTGCTATGGGATCAGCTGTGGTGCAGGTTACTGCCCTTGATAAAGACAAAGGCAGGAATGCTGAGTTGCACTACTCCATTGAAGCAGGTGAGTACTCAGTCATATGAGTGTGAGGTTTCCTTTCCACTGAGTTGACTGAAATGTGTCATTTGTTTCTACAGGGAACACTGGGACTGCTTTCACCATTGAGTCAGTTTTAGGTATCATTAGAGTTGCACGTCAACTGGACTTGTCCAGCATTGGCCATTATGTTCTCACTGTTAGAGTCACTGATAATGGCGCACCTCCGTTATCCACAACTACAGTAGTACGCATTGCTGTCACTTTCTCTGACAATGCTGGCCCAAAGTTCCCTCAACCCGAATACCAGACTGAGATCAAAGAGAATGCAATGGTTGGTACCTCTGTCACCACAGTCAGTGCTGTCAGCCAGTCCACGCTCACGTATGACATCAAGCAGGGCAATACTGAACAAGCATTTCAGATAAACCAATACAGTGGAGTCATCACTACTCGGAAGCCTCTAGACTATGAAAAGACAACTGCTTATGTCCTTATAGTCCAAGCTGCCAACATGGCCGGCATGGCCTCCAATGCTACACTGATAATTCAGATAGTGGATGAGAATGACAACCCTCCTGTGTTTCAGCAGTTTCACTATCATGGCAGCATCAGTGAGGTAGCGTCAATCAACAGTGTGGTCCTGAACTCGGATAGCTTGCCTCTTGTAATTAGGGCCACCGATGCTGACTCCAACCAAAATGCTCTTTTAGTCTACCAAATTGTTGAGGACACTGCAAAAATGTTCTTCACTGTAGACTCGGGAACTGGCTCCATTAGAACAATTGCTAATCTGGATCATGAAACTTTTGCCTCCTTCCACTTCCATGTTCATGTTAGGGACAACGGTAGGCCACAGTTAACAGCGGATAGTCCAACTGAGGTAACAATACAAGTGACTGACTCAAATGATTCCCCTCCTCTCTTCACCCAAAGCACTTTTGAATCAGTTTTGCTATTCCCTACTTATGTTGGAGTAGAGGTTTTGCAGGTGTCAGCCATCGACCCTGACAATGATGTTCCTTCAGAACTCACATACTCTCTGACTGATGGAGTCTTGGATAACTTTGCCATCAATCCCTCTAATGGAGTTATTGTAGTAAAAAACAGCAACTTTTCCAAAGAGATTTTTCGCTTCATTGTCAGAGTTTCAGATGGCAAATTCTCCAGCACTGCTTTGGTGACTGTATTTGTCAGAGAAGCTCTGGACTCTGGTCTTAGTTTCAGCCAGAGCATTTACTTCTCTTCTATTAAAGAAAATGTTTCAAATATCACCAAAGTGGCTGTGGTCAATGCTGTGGGAAACCATCTCAATGAGCCACTGAAGTATGCCTTGCTGAACGCTGGAACACTTTTCAGAATCCGTCCAACAGCTGGTGTCATCCAAACCACAGGAATTCCATTTGACCGTGAAGAACAAGAGTTTTATGAACTCATTGTAGAAACAAGAAGGGAGCATGATCATCAGCGTGTGGCCAGAGTTGTGGTAAAAGTTCAAATCGAGGACGTAAACGATAATGCTCCTGTGTTTATTGGACTTCCTTATTATGCAGCTGTTCAAGTAGAAGCTGAACCAGGGTCACCTATTTTCACTGTCACTGCAGTGGATGGAGACAAAGGCATCAATGGAGAGGTGTCTTATCATCTGAAGGAGGACTACGGTCACTTTGAAATTAATCAGCAGACAGGGGCCATCAGACTCAAGAAATCCTTTGAGTCAGATTTGTCTAATGTGGAGTACCAAATGGTGATTTACGCCAGAGATGGTGGGTTTCATTCCCTCTCATCCAGCACGGAGTTCCCCATAACGGTTGTCAACAAAGCCATGCCTGTCTTTGACAAATCATTTTATTTAGTTGCTGTGAATGAGGATGTGGATGTGCACACACCTATTCTTAGCATTAACGCTACCAGTCCTGAAGGTAAAAACATAATCTACACCATTGTTGATGGGGATCCGGCCCTTCAGTTTGATATCGGGTTTGATACGGGAGTCATAAGTGTAATCCACTCTTTGGACTATGAAGTAACATCATCCTACCGCTTGACCATCAGAGCTACAGACTTTCTGACTGGCGCTCATGCCGAGGTTAACGTAAATGTTTTTGTCCAAGACATTAATGATAACCCTCCTGTCTTCAAGAAAATGTCCTACAGGGTTGTTTTATCAGAAACAGCCATGATTGGAACTCCAGCACTTCAAGTTGTTGCCACAGATAAAGACTCAGAAAAGAACAATATTGTTCACTATCAGATATTCTCAGATGTGCAGAACAGCTCAGATTATTTCCACATTGACAGTAGTAGCGGATTAATCCTGACCGCACGTATGCTGGACCATGAAGTAGTCCACAAGTATGACTTTGTAGTCAGGGCCACTGATAATGGGTTTCCATCACTGAGTAGTGAAGTCTCAGTGACTGTTGTGTTGACCGACATGAATGATAATCCTCCAGTTTTCAATCAACTGCTTTATGAGGCATATGTGAGTGAGTTAGCGCCAAAGGGTCACTTCATTACCTGTATTCAAGCCTCAGATGCTGACATTTCAGATTTCGACAAGTTGGAGTACAGCATTTTATCAGGAAATGAAAGGATGGATTTTGTGATGGAAAGAAAAACAGGAATCATCATGTTGTCTAGTCACCGAAAGCAAAGGATGGAGCCCTCCTACAATCTCAATGTTTCAGTGTCCGACGGGGTGTTCACCAGCACTGCACAGGTTCATGTTAAAGTGTTGGGGGCCAACCTGCACAGTCCAGTATTTGAACAGAATGTTTATGAGGCAGAGTTAAAGGAGAACGCCCCTACTGGAACCAGAGTGGTTCAGGTTTGTGATTTTCAGATTCCACTTACATTTTTGTCTAAATTGATTTTTATAACAAATAAAATGAAATTGTTCTAATTCCAGGTAAAAGCAATGGATGCAGACCCGGGATTCTTTGGCTACATCACTTATTCCTTTGTTAATGATGTGGGTAATGATCAGTTCAGCATTGACGCCAAGGGTCAGATAAGCACCATAGAAAAGCTTGATCGTGAAGACCCATCCAACAAGGACATTGTTCTTACAGTCTCAGCTCAGGATTCAGGAGGTCGTGTCTCTTATTGCACAATACAACTTACTGTCCTAGATGAAAATGATAATGCTCCTCGCTTTATTGCAACAGAGTACAGAGCATCACTCAAATATGATGTGGCTAAGGGCTTTTTGATAACACAGATTCAGGCTCGTGACCCGGACTATGGCACCAATGCCAAAGTAACATTCTCACTTTACAGTGAGGCACATGTTCCTGTGGCAGACATTTTGGAAATCGACCCAGACAGTGGTTGGATGGTGACAAAAGGCAGCTTCAGCCACTTGAGGAACTCTGTTTTATCTTTTTTTGTGAAGGCCGTGGATGGAGGAAATCCAATCCGACACTCTTTAGTGCCTGTCTACATTCATGTTCTTTCTCCTGATGCTTTCTTCCCTTTGTTTAGTCAGCCATATTACACTTTTAGTGTACCTGAGCACACAGCTTTAGGGTCGGTCATAGGAACGATTCATCTCAACATTCCTTTTGAATACGCCTCCTTCTCTGTCAACTTTGCTATTGTTAATGGAGAGACTGCTGAAAGCAATAAAGATGGAGTTTTTGTAGTGGAAAATATGACAGGAGAGATAAAGCTTGATAAGCCCTTGGACCATGAAGTGATCAAAGGATTTTACTTCAAAATCATTGCCACAGCACTGCAGACTAAGCTGGATTCTGTGACCTCTGTGGATGTTGAAGTCAAAGTTTTGGATCTAAATGACAACAAACCAGCCTTTGAGGCCAGCTCCTATGTCACCACCGTTATGGAGGGAATGGCCGCCGGAACCAGGATCATTCAAGTCCAAGCTCGAGACCCAGACTCTGGAGCCAATGGCCAAGTAACGTACAGACTGGGAACACCAATCCAGTCAGAAGAAAATTCAAATGCTTTGTCTCGTACCTTTAGCATTGACAGTAATACTGGTTGGATCTTCACAAGCAAGGAACTTGACCATGAGACCAATCCATCCTACACATTTACAGTGGTGGCCTCAGATCTTGGAGAGACGCTGACTCTTTCCAGTACCACCACTGTCACAGTGGCTGTATCAGACATCAACGACAATCCTCCCAGGTTCATGGAGAGCCGCTACATTTGTTCAGTCCATGAGAGTAGTCCCCCTGGCGAGGTGGTAGCTGTGCTGAACACCAAAGATGATGACAGCTCTGCAGTTAACCGACACGTCAGCTATCTCATCACTGGTGAGTAGAAGTATATCTGTAATAATTATACACACATTCAGTGTGCTTGTAGGATCGTAGCCCTAGAGAACCAAAGTTCAGCACCAATTATCTACACTACACATTTTCCATCTCGACATTTATCTCTGGTCTGAGGGTGGACCTACCCATGCTTTCACAACTTCTTCCAGTCCAATTATAGGAGAAAGCAGACCATCGGTTTATGTGGTAACATTAGTTGCTTGGAGGGTTATTCTGGTAAAATCCACCAGTTGATGGTTTCTATCTCAACTTTCTTCTCCACTGTGTGTTATCCAGGTGGGAATTATCGTGGTGTTTTTGCTCTTGGACTGGTCCAAGGAGAATGGAAGATGTACGTGAAGAGGCCACTTGATAGAGAAGAGCACAACCGCTATACCATCAATGTCACAGCTAGCGATGGACTTTTCATCTCCCAGACAGTAGTAGAGGTGACAGTCATAGACGCCAATGACAACAGCCCTATCTGTGACCAGGTGATTATTGTTGTTGAAACTGTATAGTTCTGATTAAATTCAACCACAGAAAATTCAATGACACATGATCCTCTGAGATTTTATTTCTTGTGTGTGTATGTGCAGGCAATATACACTCTTAGCATACCAGAGAACCTTCCAGTCAACAGTGTGCTCATGAGGGTTGGAGCTACAGATGCAGATGTAGGCAACAATGCACAGATCCACTACTCTCTGCATGGTTCTGGTTCCCCGGATTTCACCATGAACTCAGATACTGGTATGGAGACACTGTGGTTTTTTTTATCTATATGAATGTGAGTTTGTACCACTTGGGTTTGTCCCCTTGACTCTTAACATGCCATAAGTTGTTCTTCTTACCTATTCAGGTGAGATCAAGTTATCTGTGTCTCTGGACCGGGAGATGACAGCTAATTACAGGCTAATTGCTCAGGCGACTGATGGTGGAGGGCGTTGGTGCCAGGCTGAGGTGCATCTGATAGTGACTGATGTGAATGACAACCCGCCCATTTTCACTCTACCACAGTACACCACCAGTGTGTATGAAGACACGGCCGTCAAGGCCCTTCTCACTCGTATACAGGCCATAGATCCTGATGAAGGTGATGACTTAATTACTGCTGCTAATAACACTACTGCCATCATTTCTCATATTGCTAAAAATCCTAGCTGGATTTTAAATAAACTAGGGGCACCTTGCACTGGGTTCAAGGGTGTCTGTGTTTTCAAATTGGTGGGTACAATTAACATAAACTTGAGTGTTGTTTAAAGAGTGCTGGTGACAATTGTCATTAAATATACATATGTAAATCATCAATTTGACATTTCATTATAAATTGCATGGCCATGTGTGTGTGTTAAAAAATATCTACCCAATCAATAACATTTGTCCATGTAGCATTTATTACGATTCTGACATTAATGTATGAGCGTCTGCAGGCAGACTGCTCCACAAAGAAGAAAAGCCCTCTGGAAAGCAACATGTGCTGCCTTAGTACAGCACAAACTTTACATTATTAAGAAATTATGGATCTCGGAAAATTATGTCCATGGCACAAACTCTGTGAAAATTGTCAACAAACAATCCGCAGTTAGTGGTTTTCAAATCTTTTCGATACAGGGAACTGCAAAATCCTTGCAAGTTTGGAGAAGCAGGTCAGTCAGTAAGTCTGAGGATTTTCTGTGCATTCATTCTGTGTGTTTCTTCTAACTGCATTACTTGGTTCTTTTTTTAACACAGGAAAAGTGTTGTTTTACCTTTTTGCTGACGTTTCGACCACCGCTGCGGTCTTCCTCAGAGCTCACCGCTGTTGGTGGCATCACTTCCTTCTCCAGTTTGTGGACATACAACCATGAGCAGAGATGGTGGGGTCTACACATTGGATTACGGATGGGACTGTGTCAGCGGTGAGAAAAGCACAGGCAACAGACGACACCGTTCTCTGCTGCCCACGGATAAATGGAGAACGAAGTTACGCCGCTCTGAGCTCTTGAGAAAGACCGCAGTGGTGGTCGAAACATCATTAAAAACAAAGAGGTAAAACAACTATTTTCCTGTGTTAAAGAAGAACCAAGTAATGCAGCCCGAGGATTGTAAGTTTTTATTGGACAATATTAGAATATGTTGGTAATGTCCGACTGTCCGGCGTGTTCTTGCGGACGCTAAGACCAGCATGCCTGGTGCCAAAATCCATGTCATGATCAAGTAAAGCATAAAATGAAGGAAATGAATTTGCGAGTTTGACAGAGAATTGCTAAAATTGTATGAAAGTAATTGCTGGTACCAGAGGTGTGGACTCGAGTCAGACTCGAGTCGTTATTTGAATAACTTCTAACTTGATTTGATAAAATCTATAAAGGCTTATGAATTGACTTGGACTTGAACGCCAGTGACTTATGACTTGAATCGACTTGCATCTGTTGACTTGATGATGACTTTAAATTCAATTCAAAAATACTTTATTAATCCCAGAGGGAAAATGATTGCTATAGTAGCTCATAATAATAATAATAATAATAATCAAGTCATCAAAGACTTATTGTATATTACAATGGCTGTTGGCAGGAAGGATCTCCAGTAGCGGTCAGTGTTGCAGCAAAACTGAAGAAGCCTCTGACTGAAGACACTCTTCCGTTGTCGGACAGTCTTGTGAAGAGAATGCTCAGGGTTGTCCATAATTTTCTTGATTCTCTGGAGAATCCTTCTTTGCATGATCTCCTCCAGTGGTTCCACAGTCGTGCCCAGAACAGAACCAGCCTTTTTATTAGGCTGTTGAGCCTTTTCAGGTCCCTGCTTCTGATGCTACTACCCCAACAGACAATGGCTGAAGAGATTACACTCTCAACAACAGACTTGTAGAAGATCTGCAGCATCTTGCTACAGACATTGAAGGACCTAAGCGTCCTCAAGAAGTGCAGTCTGCTGTGTCCCTTCTTGCAAATGGCTTGGCTGTTCTTTCTCCAGTCCGGTTTGTTGTCCAGGTGAACTCCAAGGTATTTGTATTCCTCAATCACCTCCACTTCTTCTCCCATGATGGAAACGGTGTTTGACTCCACCCTGTTTTTTCTGAAGTCTAAAATCATCTCCTTTGTTTTGTTCACATTCAAGGTCAGATGATTGTTTCCACACCATGCCATAAAGTGCTCCACCAGCTCTCTGTACTCCTCTTCCTGTCCATCTCTGATACACCCGACAACTGCAGAGTCATCTGAGTATTTCTGTAGATGACAGGTCTTTGATATGTACTGGAAGTCTGAGGTGTACATGGTGAAAAGGAATGGTGAGATTACAGTCCCCTGTGGTGCTCCAATGTTACTGATCGCCTGGTTTGATGTGCAGTTCTTCAGCCTCACAAACTGTGGTCTGTTTGTCAGGTAGTCTTTAATCCAGGTGATAGTTGAGTTCCCCATCTGTGTCTTCTGGAGTTTCTGGCAAAGTACATCAGGCTGGATTGTGTTAAATGCACTGGAGAAATCAAAGAACAAGACCCTGACAGTGCTGCCTGCTTTGTCCAGATGAAAGTGGGTTGGTTGAAGCAGCTGGATGATGGCATCTTTAACTCCAACTCCATGGCGATAAGAAAACTGCAGCGGGTCCTGATATGTTCTAGTTTTCTTATTCAGGTGGACCAACAGGAGTCTCTCCAGGACCTTCATGATGTGGGATGTCAGGGCAACCGATCTGCAGTCGTCATTGACTGATGGGCGAGTTTTCTTTGGAACTGGAACAAGGCAGGATGTCTTCCACAGGACTGGAACCTTCTCCTGGTTCAGCCTGAGGTTGAAGAGGTGCTGCAGAATTCCACAGAGCTGCTCTGCACCGGCCTTCAGTACTCTGGGGCTGACACCATCTGGACCTGCAGCCTTGTTCCTGTTCAGTCTCTCCAGCTGCCTCTTCACCTGACTTCTATAGACAGATAGGTGGGAGGGGGAGGTAAATGGGACAGCAGCATCTCCTGACTTGGTTGAAGACAGATTTATAGAACCAGAAGAGTCCATGACTGCGTTAGAGGACAAAAGGGCTGGAGTGTGACAGGAAAATGTTGGATCAGAGGAGGATGGGATGTCTGATTGGCTGGGGACAGGCGAGGAGGATGCTGGGTTTGTTCCTGAACTGAACCTATTGAAGAACTTGTTCAGTTCATTGGCTGTGTCCAGGCTGCCATCTGTGCAATCCTTCCTCTGCTTGAAGCCTGTGATCTTCTTCATCCCTGACCAGACATCTCTGATATTGTTCCTCTGTAGTTTGTTCTCCAGCTTCTCCCTGTATGCCTCCTTGCTGTCTCTGATCTTGAACTTCAATTGCTTCTGTATACTCCTCAATAATTCCCTGTCTCCCTCCTTGAAGGCTCTTTTTTTCTCATTTATCAGATTCTTCAGTTCACTGGCGATCCAGTGTTTGTTATTAGTGAAGCATCTCACTGTTCTGCTGGGTATGATGTTGTCCACACAGAAGTTTATATAATCAGTAACACATCCAGTCATGGCATTGATGTCATCTTCATATCCTTGGCAGAGAGTCATCCAATCTGTTGTCTCAAAACAACCCTGCAGGGCTTCTTCAGCGTCCTGCGACCATTTTCTCACAGTTCTTCTTTTCACAGGTTGCCTCTGAACAAGTGGTTTGTATTCTGAGCAGAGAAAAACAAGATTGTGATCTGATTCTCCTAGAGGAGGTCTTGTTTTGGACATGTATGCATTCTTTACACTTGCAAAACACAAATCCAATGTCTTGTTTTCTCTGGTGGAGCAGCTGACAAACTGTTGAAATGTTGGAAGTGTAGCAGAGAGCGAGGCATGATTAAAATCACCAGATATAGCCACAAATGCATTGGGGTGCTGGGTTTGTAGCTTAGCGACAACGGAACTGATGGCATCACATGCACTTTCAGCAATGGCTGAAGGTGGAATATAAACGGTTGCCAAGACAACACTGGTGAACTCTCTTGGCAAATAATATGGGTGACAATTTACTGCCAAGAGTTCAACATCTGGGCTGCAGAGATGACATTTCACTGAAACATGACCTGGATGGCACCATCTGTTGTTGACAAGCACTGCCACTCCAGTTCATCCATCTTGTTGGCCAGTGATCTCACATTGCCCATTATGATTGATGGAAGAGATGGTTTGAATTTCCTCTTTCTCTGTCTCCGTTTTGCTCTCGCTCTGCACCCACGCTTCTTGCGTTTTAGCTCATTTGGGATTTGTGGCTTCAGTTGAGGTATTATTTCAGCCTTTCCAATGTTAACCAGCTGCTCCTGATTGTAAACCAGCTTGTTGCCATGGTTATGCATCATAACAAATGCTAAAAAAGTGAACAAATAGCAGTAAAAGTCCTCTAAGCTTCACAGCACCAGAAACAGAAAAGTAAAATGTCCAAAAAAAATACAGTTTTTCTTGAGAAACTAGAAGAAAAAAATGCCCAAAAAAAGGCAAAACTTGCATATAGTCAACAGAGCTACGCCAACATGCAGCCACCCAGAGCAGCGCAGTTCCGGAAGTTGAGCATATTTGATATTTTAGCGCAAAAATGGCATGACATGAACAAAAATCATAAATCATTCTTGGTTCTGGGTTTGATCTTGTTCTGCTACATGCAGCAGCACCTTGTTTATAATCAATTTCAGTTGCACTTTCTGCTTGTTTGAGCAAGTAAATTAAACTTTAAGAAGCTTTATTTCTGGAATTTATTTATTATCATCGTCATTAAATTGAAGTTTGACAGATGTGTTGATTGTGACTTGACAATTCAAAGTTAAGGACTTGGACTTGCCTTGGACTTCCAATTCAATGACTTTGTACTCGACTTGGACTTGGTTGTCTTTGACATGGACTTGACTCGAGATTTGACTGGGAAGACTTGTGACTTACTTGTGACTTGCAAAGAGGTGACTTGGTCACACCTCTGGTTGGTACCCCTGAAGAAATTATTGTTTCTGCTTCATAGTCATTCTTCTAAGTGTTTCATTTTATTTAGTATCAAATGTACCTTCCAGCTTTTTCATTATTTACATTGTGTTCAAAATTATCATGCAAATGAGAAATTTCTCTGATTTTCCTTTTTAATTGATGCAAATGACAGTTTACATCATTTTCAAGTCCTCGCCTGTTAGTGTATTGTCTGAATGTCCCAATGATTATGATGTTTTTTTCTAAAATAAAAAACTTAAATGGGACTTTTTGTTACAACCATTTATATTCTGTCTTTCACTGAGACAGTCAAAGTGTGTTTAACTCTTTTTTCTTTCAGCAGGTCACGGTCGAGTGGTGGTCTATTCCCTGGCTGACTCTGCTGGAGGATTTTTCTCTGTTGATAAGATCACAGGCATAGTGGTCCTGGAACACACCCTTGATCGGGAAGCCCAGCCAACTCATCAGATCACAGTTTGTGCATCTGATCAAGGTGCACCACTGCCTCTCTTCTCACTCGTTAATGTCACAATCACAGTCCTGGACATCAACGACAACCCACCGGTGTTTGAGCGACGGGATCAGTTGGCGACAGTACCGGAGGATGTACGAGTAGGCACTGAGGTTTTGAGAGTTTACGCTGCCAGCAAAGACATTGGGACCAATGCAGAGATCACCTTCAGCATCAGGTCAGGAAATGACCACAGGAAGTTCCACATCCATCCACTGACTGGTGAGTCTAACTACACTAACATACCATTTCATTCCTTAGTTCACTCTTTTTCTTTGGTTCACTTTTTTATACTCGACTCAACTGAACTCGAACTTTATTCATACAGCACTTTACAGACATAAACATGCTACCAAAGTGCTGTACAGACATGTATAAAAAACAATACAAGAATCTAATACAAGTCAATCAAATGCGGGCAAATAAAATAACAATAAAAGGTGATAATACAATAGCAACATTATCAGTCACTCCACCGAGGTAAAAGCCAGATCATAAAAATAGTTCTTCCACTTTGATTTGAATACCGCTACAGAAGAAGACTGCTGAATGTGTAATGGAAGCTCAGTCCAAAGTTTTGGATCAACCACAGAAAAAGCTCTGTCCCCCATCGTCTTCAGCCATGACCTGGGGACTGAGAGCAACAACAGATTTTCAGAATGGAGCACCCAACAGGGAATATACAACTGCACCAAGTTAGCCAGGTACACTGCAGCTAAATTATTCAATTATTTAAAACAAACTATGAAATAACTTTAAAATATATCCTAAAAGAGGCAGGGAGCCAATGTAGTGCTGCAGATATTGGTGTAGCATGATCAAACTTTCCCTGTCTAAGAATCTCCATGCAGCCTTCTGGGCAAGCTGGAGGCAAGCAAGGGCACTCTGACTCACTCAGAATAAGACAGTTACAGTAGTCCAGATGTGAAGTTATGAATGCATGTACAACGATTTCAAGGTTGCGTCTAGACAATAATGATTTAACCTTAGCCAAGCGTCTTAGATGATAAAAGGAAAATGCTACAACTCTATTTATGTGACAATTAAAACAAAAGGCATCATCAATCTTCACCCCCTAAATTATCAATCAAATTGCTCATGGGGATTAGTTGACCTCTGGACTTATCCAAAGAAATATACTGTCATCAGTCATCAGCATGTAAGTGAAAAGCAATACAATGCTTCTTTAGGACATCATCCAGTGGCATCATGTACACACTAAACAGCAGGGGTACCAGTATCGAACCCCAGTGGAGAAACCTCTGTACACATACTATAGTGTTGGAGGGATTGGACCAAAACCAATTTAAAGCTAGGCCAGTCATTTATACCTTTATTACACCATCACTCTGACACTTCCTCTCAGTTCAATCATAAAGAAATCACAATATGTCATCATGATTTGACCTTTGTTAGAGAATAGGACAGAATGATTGGAAATGCTAAAAAAATCAATCTCTTATTTGGGTGCTGTTCTGCTCCTTGTTTCCATCTCTTCACACACACTCAGGCTCCATTTTAGTAGCCCAGCCTCTGGACTTTGAGACCTGCAGAGACTACTTCCTAACGGTGGAGGCTCGTGATGGTGGCACACCAACTCTGAGTGCAATTACCACGGTGAACATAAACCTAACAGACGTCAACGATAATGCACCCATGTTCAGCCAGGATGTTTACTCTGCTGTGGTGTCAGAAGATGCCACTGTTGGAGAGTTTGTCCTCAAGGTAATGCCATGCATCACTGATCAAGTACTGAGCACATTTGTTAACTGTGTACAGAAGAAACCTAATTCTGTATTAATTTCATTACATACAGTATGTGTTATCCATATTCCTCAATACTTGCCTCTGATGGGTGCAGTTTGTTTCTTTTTGTTGATTTAAACTAGATTTCAACAGATTATGGAGAGATACATTGGAACTGTATTTTGTTAACCGTAAAGGTCTCATTCGCTAATATCTCAATTAATCTGCTTTGGTCTCTGGTATGAATGAATGCTCTGTGATTCATTGTCTGTGGGGAAAAGCCATATTATATGTGAATAAATAGTCTGGCCACAACCCAGTCGTGGGGCAGAATCTATCGTTGTCTTTCAAACTGTTTCAACATGCTATTGGACAAAGAGGCAGTCTAAATAGTCCAGAGTTGATGCCAGAGCCATTTCTAAGAAGTCATCAACATTATTGTTATTTTTTTTTAATGCTCAGTCATAGTAACTTCCTGCCCACCAAAGCGTTGAGGTTTGCAAGACACAAGAGTGGTCAGGCCTGCTGAGGCTCTAATGGAGTGTGGCTGGATCGACCTGCAAAGCAAAATAATTGTGCTTCTGCTATGGTCTGTCTAGATTTCTAGGCTAATGTTGTGCTCCTTTTTCAGGGGGTTAAATATATATTTTTGGAGGAGGGGCAGAAAACAATGGGATTATAAATATTACTTATTAATGTAATCATTAGCTTCTACCAGCCAAGGAGTGCTCTGCCTTCCTGTGGTCCTCAGCCTAGGTGGGTGAAGCCATGAATAATAATTTTACCTGTGATGTAATTAGACTGGCTTTTTATGACCTGATTGTTATATTGTCCATTTCTGGGGCTAACGCTGTCACGGCGAGGCACACCAGAATAGATCCAGATGCAGGAGGCAGAGAGAACTCGGTTTAGGTCCAGAGATTTAATAACACAAAATCACCACACCAGTGGGAAACTCAAAAAGTCACTCGCAGAGGAATCACAGCAGTACATCCACAGACTCTAAACAGACTATTTAATATAACGCCACACTGAGTACTGGACCCAGCTGCTTATATAATAGTGGTTGCAATCTAGTGAACTGCAGTCAGCTGCGACACTCCCAGGTGCTCCACAGAGGGGCGGGATACTCAGGAGCCACAGCCGACCTGCACAGAAATAGAAACAAAACACTTAACACAGAAACAATCAAAAGGAGAACACGTAATATATAAATAAAACAACCAGAAGGAGCAGCCCATAACAAATGCAGGCAGTGGTAGTTGAAGAACATTTTCATGTTCTGCATGCAAGTGCAACTCAGAGTGATCGATGTATTTCAAATAGAACAAGGATTATACAGTTTCTCAGTGAACCAAATCTTTAAGAACTGGAGCAGATCACGGTATTCTGTAGTAATACCAAAAGGCCCTTTGGTTATGTGTGCTTGCAGGTGGTAGCAGAAGATGCTGACAGTCTTCTGAATGGCGCAATTCTATACTCCATTATCAGCGGAGACCAGAACAACCAGTTTTTCATTGACCCAATAAGTGGTGTCATCAAAGTTAACAAGCAGCTGGACCGCGAGACAGTAAGAACACACGTGCACACAAACACTTCTGGTCACAGGTCATTAATGGCAGTTTCACATCAGGGCCAGCACAGGCCAAGCTGGGTGGCGTCGGTCCGGGTCCCGCACCGGTAGATGTTGTTCACACACACTTCTCATGAATGGAGAAATCTCCGAGCACGTGGGTGGGGCAAAATAAGTGTGGAAAAGTCTGTGGTTGAATCTATTCTGTCGGAGGCTTCCCCTAACAGTAGGTGTGAATGTGAGCCGGCCAATCAGTTGGCAGCGGGTGTGTTGGACCAGTTCAGCCCAAAGCAGACAGCCTTGGTATGAGGACTGAAAAACCGACCAGTTAAGCGTGAAAAAATACAAGGTTACCTAGATGTGAACGCTGAAATGCTATCCAGTCTGGTCCATGCTGGCGATGTGAAAATGCTAAGTAGCCAAAGCATGCCCAGGGTCAGGCTCAAAAACAGTCTTGTTCGAACCCAAATTCACTCATTACATGTCTGTGGAATAGTTGTATTTTACCTTCAGGTACTGGAGAAGGTTCTCAGTCATCCTGGTCATGGTAATCTAAAAGGGTTTAGATAAAGGCAGCCAAAGAAGTCCAGCCCATTTTTACATGAATCAAGGTGGTACAGCTTCTTAAAGGGACATGAACGTTGCCAACCTACACACATCTTTCAATTTTTTAATTATCAAATTTATTGACATGGGAACATCATCATGAGTCAGAAATTTTGATAACGATAAATTTTCAATTTATTGCCCAGCCCTAGCTTCATGTGTTTATAATGATCTACATTTGGAGCTACAGCCTTTGCAATCCTTATAGCAGTTGAGTTCAACAAAACTTCCAGGAGAACCAAAGACCTTCAGTGAGTGAGCTTATTGTTGAATCCTTACTTTAATAATCAAGAATAAATTGAAATGTAACCATTTTATTTTTAGGTCCATTTTTAGCATCATTACAATAACCAGTGTTATGTAAAGCGGACAAAAAACATTTAGATTTTGTTTCACACAGGTTAAAGGGGACAGTTGAGACAAGATGGCACCTGTGTGACTGGCACTCCATCAACTACTGCCCTTCATCTTTTCTCTTTCTATTGTTTTTAGCCAGGGTTCGAGCATATCAGCTTCACACTGTCGTATGATCACCAGACATTAAAATTTACATCATCTGTCAGAAGTTTTAGCTTGCCTTGCTAAGGAAAGACAGGACTCTATACCTCCTTTTCTAGAGACAATACCATCATGCTTGCATCCCATCCCACTGCCACCATCCACAAAGGAGCAACAAAACAGGCATGGCATTCATGGAGGTTGACTTACTAAGTAGAGAGTCTGTACCTTTCTCATGATCTCTCCATTTAGCACTAATTTCCTCAACTTCTAGTGCCATTACATGTTATGGACTCTATAGATGCCTGATTGGTTCCTATTTGCCAGTTCCGAGGTTTCCTCTTCAATCTTCGTCAACGTCTGCATTGGCGGGAATAGTAGACCTCCAACGTGTGGCATGGGTTGTTGCTGCCCGGTTTCTATCAGGTTGGGTTTTATAATTTCCAGATTGGTGGCAAATAAAACTTTTATCTTGAAGGATTTATTTTTCTTTCCCATAAATTGGATCTCCTCTGGAGAGGGTAAACCTTCCTACATATCATATTGTCTGAATATATGGCTTAAATTCACCATGTCACCATCTCACCATCATAACCAATCAGAAAAAAGGCGGAAATGCCAACTGTACCACGCGGCGCTGTAGTTTTTTTAGTTGCAGTCAAAAATGGCGTCTGGCGACGGCGCAAACATCTTTTTCATTAGCAAAAAGGCTTTTAGCGCTTCCACTTGTTGTGGTTTTAAAGACACGTTCAAGTAATTTAAAACAGAGGAGGAAGCTGCAGCGAACTCCGCCACTGTCCTTGTTGTTTATGAAAAACTGAGCGTCGCTGTGAATGACTGTGTGTGACGCTGTAGTTTTTTAGCTGTAGTCAAAAATGGCGTCCCGGGCCTTTTTGACTCTAATGTGCATCCGTTGGTAAGGTCTTACTTAAACACCAAAATACAGCTTGCTTGCAATGATTTAGTTATCTACTGCCCCCTATAGCCAGGAAAAATACACACTGTCACTTAAATAGATGGCAAGCAATTCAATGTATGTGACTAAATATCATGGCCAAGACCTATAGAAAGAGTTTAGTTGTGGGGTGGGTTCGACGGTGTTCTTTCACATGGTCTATTGGACAACAAACAACATAACATACTCACCTCTACAGATATCAGTCACCAGGGAAGTCTGCCATATGCTGTCAAAGAAGATACAAATGCCGTCGTTGTCGTCTTTCTCCGCTTATACGGGTCCAGGTCGCGGGTGCAGCATCACAACTAAGGAGCTCCAGACCGTCCTCTCCCCGGCCACCTCCACCAGATCCTCCAGCAGGACCCCAAGGTGTTCCCGAACCAGATTGGAGATGTAACCTCTCCAACGTGTCCTGGGTCAACCCGGGGGCCTCCTGCCGGCAGGACATGCCCGAAACACCTCCCCAGGGAGGCTTCCAGGAGGCTTCTTGACCAAATGCCCAAACCACCTCAACTGACTCCTCTCGATCCGGAGGAGCAGCGGTTCTACTCCAAGTCCCTCCCGAATGTCCGAGCTCCTCACCCTATCTCTAAGGCTGAGCCCGGCCACCCTACGGAGGAAACTCTTTTCAGCCGCTTGTATCCATGAGCTTGTTCTTTCGGTCATTACCCAAAGCTCATGACCATAGGTGAGGATTGGGACGTAGATCGACCGGTAAATCGAGAGCCTGGCTTTCTGGCTCAGCTCCCTCTTCACCACGACAGATCGGCTCAGAGTCCGCATCACTGCAGACGCCGAACCAATCCACCTGTCGATCTCCCGATCCCTCCTACCCTCACTCGTGAACAAGACCCCAAGAAACTTAAACTCCTCCACTTGAGGTAGGACCTCTCTCCCGACCCGGAGTTGGCAAGCAACCCTTTTCCGGTCGAGAGCCATGGTCTCAGATTTGGAGGCGCTGATCCTCATCCCAGCCACTTCACACTCAGCCGCAAACCTACCCAGCAAGAGCTGAAGGTCAGAGCTGGATGAAGCTAGGAGGACCACATCATCCACAAAAAGCAGAGACGAGATTCTCCTGCCACCACACTCGACACACTCCACACCACGGCTGCGCCTAGAAATTCTGTCCATAAAGGTAATGAACAGAACTGGTGACAAAAGGCAGCCCTGGCGAAGTCCAACCCTCACCGGGAACAGGTCCGACTTACTACCGGCTATGCAGACCAAACTCATGCTCCTCTGGCAAAGGGACTGAATGGCCCTTCACGGAAAGCCACCCACCCCATACTCCTAGAGCGTCCCCCACAGGGTGCCCCCTGGGGACACGATCATAAGCCTTCTCCAAATCCACAAAACACTTGTGGATTGGTGGGGCAAACTCCCATGCCCCCTCCATCACCCTTGCAAGGGTATAGAGCTGGTCCACAGTTCCACGGCCAGGACGAAAACCACATTGCTCCTCCTCAATCTGAGATTCAACTATCGATCGGACCCTCCTCTCCAGTACCTTGGAGTAGACCTTTCCAGGGAGACTGAGGAGTGTGATCCCCCTATAGTTGGAACACACCCTCAGGTCACCCTTCTTAAAGATGGGGACCACCACCCCGGTCTGCCACTCCAAAGGAACTGCCCCCGATGACCACGCAATGTTGCAGAGACGTGTCAACCACGACAGCCCTAAAACATCCATAGCCTTGAGATACCCAGGACAAATCTCATCCGCCCCCGGTGCTCCACCACTGTGTAGTTGTTTGACTACCTCAGCAACTTCTGCCCCTGAGATTGGACAGTCCATCCCCAGGTCTCCCGGCTCTGGTTCCGCCTTGGAATGCGTGTAGGTGGGATTGAGGAGCTCCTCAAATTATTCCTTCCACCGTCCGACTATAGCCCCAGTTGACGTCAGCAGCTCCCCATCCCCACTGTAAACAGTGTGAGCGAGTTGCTGCCTCCCTCTCCTGAGGCGCCAGACAGTTTGCCAGAACCTCTTTGGAGTCGATCGATAGTCTTTCTCCATGGCCTCACCAAACTCCTCCCACGCCCGAGATTTTGCCTCAGCAACTGCCACTGCTGCACCCCGCTTGGCTATCCAGTACCTGTCTGCTGTCTCCGGAGACCCACAGACCAGCCATGCCCTGTAGGCCTCCTTCTTCAGCCTGACGGCTGCCTGAACCTCTGGTGTCCACCAGCGGGTACGGGGGGTTGCCACCACGACTAGCACCGGCCACCTTGCAACCACAGCTAGCAACAGCTGCCTCAACAATCGCAGAGTGGAACAAGGCCCACTCGGAGTCAATGTCCCCCACTGCTCTCAGAACGCGGTCAAAGATCAGCCGGAGGTGGGAGTTGAAGACCGTCTTGATAGGTTCTTCTGCCAGGCATTCCCAGCAGACCCTCATTATGCGTTTGGGTCTGCCAGGTCTTCGCGGCATCTTCCCCTGCCATCTGATCCAACTCACCACCAGGTGGTGATCAGTTGACAGCTCCACTCCTCGGGTGTCCAAAACTTACGGCCGCAGGTCAAGTGATACGACTACAAAGTCTATCATCGACCTGCAACCTAGGCTGCCCTGGTACCAAGTGTACCAATGGGCATCCTTATGTTTGAACATGGTGTTCGTTTTGGCCAAACTGCGGCTTGCACAGAAGTCCAATAACGAAACACCACTCGAGTTCAGATCAGGCGGGTCGTTCCTCCCAATCACACCCCTCCAGGTCATGCTGTTATTGCCCACGTGAGCATTGCAGTCCCCCAGCAGGACAATGGAGTACCCTGATGGAACACTATCTAGCACTCTCCCCAGGGACTCCAAAAAGGGTGGGTACTCTGAACTGATATTTGGCCCATAAGCACAAACAACAGTCAGGACCTGTTCCCCGACCCGAAGGCGCAGGGAAGTTACCCTCTCGTCCCCTGGGGTAAACCCCAACACACAGGCAGAGAGTCTTGGGGCTAACAAAAAGCCAACCCCAGTCCTCTGCCTCTCACCTGGAGCAACTCCAGCAAAGGAGAATGTCCAACCCTTCTCAAGTACTTGGGTTCCAGAGCCAGTGCTATGTGTCGAGGTGAGTCCAACAATATCTAGTCGGTACCGCTCAAACTCTGCCACAAGCTCCTCCTCCTTCCCCGCCAGCGAGGTGATGTTCCATGTCCCAAAAACCAATTTCCTTGTCCAGGGATCGGACCGCCAGGGCTCCCGCGTCAGTCTGCCACCCGATCCACACTGCATGGGACCCTTCATGTTCCTCCTGCGGGTGGTGGGTCCACAGTTGGATGAGCCCATGTATCCGGTTCGGGCTGGGCCCGGCCGGGCCCCACGGGCGAAAGCCCGGCCACCAGGCGCTCGCTCACGGGCCCCAACCACAGGCCTGGCTCCAGGGTGGGACCCCGGTAACTCTCCGGGCCGGGTACTCAGACTCCTTGATAGTTCATCCATGAAAGATACAAATGCATTATTTTCTAAATAAAGGGCTTAAGTATCTTTATCTGCTCTTGACTCAAAGAAAAGCCCAAGTCTACAGAGTCCAACATTGATGCCAAAACCATTTCAAATGAGCCGCCATCTTTGTTGTTACGTCACATCATCCCGCTCATCAAATCAATAGAATGCTGTGATTGGCAAGACACATTACTGATCAGGCCAATGGTAGACCTGCTGATGCTTTAACGGAGCATGGCCAGACTGACATGCAGAGCAAAATCCTTTTGCTTTGGCTACTGTCTGTCTAGATTTCTGGGTTACCAGCCTTATTTAGGCCTGATTACACTCTTTTAGTCCATCTCGAGTCTCCTAGCACCCCCAGCCCAGGAGGAAGCAGGGTTTGTTTTAATTAAAAGGAAATGATGTAACGCTGCTCCATTTTATCCGTAAAAGATGTGACCAAGAGACATAATACATGGGGGTGTAACAGACAGAGGAAGGGGACTGGCTGTGAGCTCCCAGAAGGGCTAATGATCATATGATGTCTTTAAAATGTCCGCACAGGCTGGGAGTGGGAAAAGCCAAGCACTGGCCCAGAATCCAAACAGACCCCATTGTGGCTCATTTACTGGGTTGGAAGTGGGCCACAACTGAACTCTACAAATCTTACAGTTTAGTAGAAAAGAGTTAGATGTGCAAAGTTAAGACAGCTAATAATGCCTTTAGCAATACGCTGATTGTTGCTTGTACGTGTTGAGGAATCTGTTTGAGACTTAACGTAAAATCTAAGATTCAATTTTAAGAAAGAAAGTAGCCAAACCAAAACTCATCCAGAGCTCTTATTGGATTCCACGTCTCTTCTGCCCCATAGAGGACACCAGAGGACATTGTCTCCAGTGATCAGTGTCACCAAAGAGCTCTAACAAACTCTTTTATTTGCTTTCTGTCTTTATTGTGCTGTTAAAAATTATATCTAATAGATTTCTTTTTTTACCACTTAAATGTTTCATATCAGCAAACAGTAATGACCTAAAAATACATTTTTCTAATTAAAATTGAATTTATTAAAGGAGCAAATTGGTTCAAACCAACCTGGTTCCATGTAAAAAATAATCTGACCCCTTAACCTAACCCACAGGTTGTAACAGCCATCGAGGCAACAACTGGAGGAGTTTTGTCTCACTCTTCTTTTAATTCAGCCCCAATGGAAGGTTGTCCTGCATAAACAATCTGTTAAAGGTCAATGGTCAGACATGCTTCTTCAGGATGCTCTGCTAAGGAGTAGAATCCATGGTACCATATGTTACAGCAGGTGGTCCAGGTCCTGAATTAGCAGAGCAGCCCCAGACCATCACACTACCAATACCATGTCTGACTGTTGTTGGTGATGTTTTAGTGTTAGTATGACTCCAGATAGAACAAGACACACAACTTCCAAAGGTGTTGGTCATCATTACGATGGCACTCTGTAATGGAGGCCACTTTGCCTGGTGGTATCCCAGAATATTTAAAAGTAGGATGGGAGGCAGCTATCAGGCTCCTCTCTTGTGGAACCAGCTCCCAGCTTTAGTCCATGAGGCAGACACCTTGTCTACATTTAAGACTAGGCTTAAAACATTTTTGATAGGGCCTAAGGTTCAAATCTGATGTTAGCTTAGATCTGGACAAGTGGGGGAGTAGAGGGAGGTGCAGTGTACAGTCGGTAAAGACAGCTCTCCCTTGCCCTGCCTCCCAACATGCCTCCATCTAAAAAAGTAGGTTATCCAGACTAATCTCTGTAGTTATGCTGCTATAGGCTTAGACTGCTGGAGGACATACTGACCACTTTCCACACTTGACTGCTTTCTTCTACAATTTGCTCTTTAACTGTATTATTTCCTGCAATTTCAGCTGTTAACTTTATTTTTCTCTAAGTGTTTTTCTCCCCAGAAGAAGCTACAATGATGTTCTGCTGAGCTGTGGTGGCCTCATGGAGGGGGCCATCGTCTAGCACACTGCTGCTAACCAATTAAACATTCTCCCTCTCCTGATAATAACTTTTTACTTTCCTTGACGCTGGATGTGCTAATACTAGTTTATCCGTTTAATTATAGATCCACTAGGATAAATACAATAAAGTTTATCTTTCACCAAATAGAATATTTACTAAGAAATCACAATGTAACCATAGACACATTACTTGGTATATATGGTGTGTGTGTGTGTGTGTGTGTGTGTGTGTGTGTGTGTGTGTGTGTGTGTGTGTGTGTGTGTGTGTGTGTGCGCTGTCTTCTCGATCCCCAGTGAGTCGTATACTGAGCCAGGATCCTCTGGAGGTTTCTTCCTGTTAAAAGGAAGTTTTCCTCTCCACTGTCACTGCATACTTGCTTAGTATGAGGATTGCTGTTGTAAGAATTTAATATACATATTATTTAATGAACCATACGACATGAGATTCCATAATAGATATGAAATCAATCTTATGGATCTTTGGGTACTTTTAACCAGAAAATTGGAACTTTTTATTGCAGGTAACAACTTCGTATTAACTCAGAGACAACAGAAAGAGAGCCAAGTTTTAAAAGTTTAAAGATTTATTACTAAACAAATTAAAACTAGACTAACTTAAACACTAAATGTATGGTGTAACTAAGGTGAATTGAGATGGAGAATGGTGTAGTGTGGAATGTTGTTCAGAACCAGCAAATCCGGAGAAACGATTCGTTCTGATGGGAGTGAAGGTGAGGTTTCGCACTAAGCTTTGATTTGGAGATTCATAAACACATAAGACGCCATTCTGTCGGCCTGCATGCCCTTTCGGAAGTCCCTGTTAGATCAGGAATGTCGAGGTCCAGCTTGACCCTCTCTGGAACCGAAACCGTTAGGAAAAGCAGCGGTTGCCGACCAGACCAGTCTTGAGATACTTCCGGGTCACGACAGTTTTGTTGGCATCTAGTGAGACCCAAAACTGGGTCATGATGGTTCAGCTTTTATTCTGAAAGGAACCGTTGCAGCAGTTGGAACAGCAACAGATTTTATCCGGCTTGTCGTTGGTTCTTTTGGCTGAAGAGGAACGTTACGTATTGGCCACTCCGACAACTTCTCTAGAACGCTTTGAACTGGCGTTAAAGATGACGTGGGCAGTTTTATAATTTGGATGTTTTGATTTGCGGTCGAATATAAAGAAGACAGATTTACCAAGCACCACCAAAACCACGCCTCCATCAGATCTGGCAGATTTTGATTGGATCAGTAAAAGCACTAGATGTCTTTAGTGGAAACATTTAAAGTCATATTACTTATTATATTCTGTAGGATTATAATATCAAGTAATTAATATTTTCTTTCCACAAATTGGTTCACATTTTATTATTGACTAACACTTTGTTTGATTAGCTTACTAAAAATAGAGTTCTTTGATTTATTAAAAAGAAAGAGTCCTTTGTCTTCATTCTTTTGGGCTGGAAAGGAAAACATTTTAGAAGCAAATGCATGAGACCTTGAACAATATCTCATGCAGATTAGTTCTTGCTGAGGAGAGGGGGGAAATGACTCTTAGGTGGAAAACAGTCATTTCGTTCCGTTACACTGTAAAGTCACTGACACTAGTCAGTGACTCGATGCAACCTGCTGGGTTCTTTACATAGGAAATTTTTACTGATTGGCCTAATGAACTGACCTGTTCTGGAATGTTTACTGTGTGATGTGACTTGAGACGACACTTGTTGTAATTTGGTGCTATATAAATAAACTTGAATTGAATTTGCCTCATGCACATTTTGTTTTCCTTTTGTTGCTGAACGACTTAAATGGGTTTGTTTTTTAGGTTTCTGGCTATTCCCTGGCAGTCAGAGCACTGGATACTGGAGTTCCACAAATGTCCTCCGCCACGCTGGTCAACATCAATGTCTCTGACATCAATGACAACCCACCTACTTTCTCCCCAAACAACCTCTCTGCCGTCATACAAGTAAGCAAATTGCCTCCATTATTTTCAGTGAAACACTAAGAAGAGAAATCATCTTATTTTAATGTTAACGGTTCAACAAAGAGCTACATCAGTCAGAATAACAGCCTCCTAATTTCATGTTTGTAGAAAATTGCTCAAACCCTGCAGCAGCTCTGCATTTGTGCAGTCTTTGTACAATAAGTTGTACAAATGTGAGGGAAAGCACATGTGTCAGAGCATTTAGTCAAAATGTTTGTAAAGCTTTACTGACCAAACCCAAATGTGCACACATCTCCTGATAGGTTAGATCAACTCCACTCCTCCTGCTCAGATAGCGGGTATGGAAAATTATTCATGATTAAATTGCAGAGAAGTTTCTGTTTCTGCTCACAAAGGTTTTTGTTTAATGACCAGTGTTTCAACGGCACACCAGCAACTAACCTGATGATTGGACGGTACATGATGATAAGTTAGGCAGGACTCCGACCACCTCCAGCAGGCAAGGAGGGCGAAGTGTCTAGCATGGCCCGACTGACACCGACTGAGCCATTGTTCAGACCGGAGCCATTGACCCTGTTGCTTTTTTTAAAGGTGTAGGAGAAATTGGTTTATTCTATTCTCTTTTATTTTTTGCATTTTATCCAGCACCTGGAGAGAACCCACTTATGCACAGGAGAGTCTGACCGCTGCACAAAGCCTTCTCCAGCACATCCCAAAGATTCTCAATGGGGTTCAGGTCTGGACTCTGTGGTGGCCAATCCATGTGTGAAAATGATGTCTCATGCTCCCTGAACCACTCGTTCACTATTTGAGCCTGATGAATTCTGGCATTGTCCACTTGCTCGTGCCATCAGGGAAGATGGAATAACCTGGTCATTCAGGATATTCAGGTAGTCAGCTGACCTCATTCTTGGAGCCGATCATAGCACAGGCTTGTACAGTAGGCACTAGTTCACTGGCTGCCAGTCAACTTCAGGGTTCATTTCAAGATCCTGGTTCTGGTCTATAGGGTCTTACATGGACAAGCACCATCATCAGGCTAAAGACCAAAGGTGACAGATCATTTGCTGCTGTGGCCCCCAGACTCTGGAACTCTCTCCCCCTGAGCCTGAGATCAGTGGACTCAGTGGTCTCCTTTAAAAAGCAGCTGAAGACTCACTTGTTCAGGCTTTGGCGTGAACTTCATCTCCCTCTCCTTGTTCTGCTCTCCCTGCCTATTCCACCTTCCTCAGGATCCACTGATTTCCCTCTTTCCTATTCACTTTCTCTCTTTTTCTTTACATTTTTAATCACAATTGTCTATTTTTTGCTCATTTTTTATATATTTTTAATCATTTTCTAAATTCTTTTTTCTATTTAACATTTTTTGTTTTTGTGAAGCGCCTCATGATTTGTATCTTGAGAGGCGCTATAGAAATGATATATTCTCCTTCTTCTTCTTCTTCTTCTTCTTCTCTAGGCATGATGGTGCATAACTTTAGCTGCCTCTCTTCTTACCCTGATGCACCGTCACTCTGGAACAGGGTCCATCTGGATTCTTCAGACCACACGACCTTTTACCTCACTCATTACTGATTTTCTTACGGCTACACAGCTGTTCCCAATCCCTAGTGATACCTTTGCATTGTGCGTGTGCATATGCTCTTACTTTCACTATTAAACATAGCCTTCAGTTAGACTGTTGTTTTTCTGTGATTTGATTTCACTGTTTAGGTGATCGCTGATCACTGTCACTCAGGATTTATATCCGGTCACGTTTCTTCCATGATTATGATGGGACCCCACTGTCCTTCCAGTTTTTCATAATGCGTTGGGCAGTTCTTAACCCAGTTGGGGTTAAACACCTTGTTGCAGCGGAAAATCCATGCAGTTATCCAATAGGAGAGTCCTACCTATAACCCTGTGGGTTTGTCCACGGTTTCCACGGTGACCTGCAGAGGTTTACCCTCAAAGAAACAGGCCCTTGTTTGAGTAGAATATTCTGGGTCCCTCTGAAAATCCATGTAGATCCCATTAAAATCTATGTGAGCAAAACTTAATGTGGGCAAACTCCTGCGGGGCTACCATGGAAGTTGTGGACACAACCTGTTGGCACCCGTATGGTTTGCTCGTATCCGTATGGGTACCACCTGTGTGTGCTGGAAGGAATCACGTTCCACTGAAGAAGCTAACATGATTGAGCCTCCAGCAACTTAGCTGCCTATGTTGGTTTAAAGGAAGAATCACAGGTTTACCGATAGGTGTGCTCCGAGAAATACAAACAGGAAGGAAATGAAATATCCAGACAGGAAGTACTTAGATTTTCAGACGTGCTTTTGTTGTGCTTTTTACTGTTTATTTCTTCAGGATTCCCCGCTGACATGTTACTCTGTTGTTGCTTTGTCTCATAATCATTATTTACTCCCATCTTCCTGATGGCCCCCAGGAAAACAAACCTATTGGCACCAGCATCCTGCAGCTGTCCGTCGTCGATCAGGACTCGTCTCACAACGGCCCTCCATTCTCCTTCAGTATCCTGTCTGGAAACGAAGGGGGAGAGTTCATTCTGGAGAGAGGTGGAATGCTCGTGGCAAATCAAGTGTTCCGAAGGGAAATAGCAACCGAATATGTCATTCTGATTCAGGTAATCTACAACAGATCTGCTGCCATTCAGTACAAACACCAGTTCATGTTATTTGTTTGTGGGTGGGAAGTGAAAACGTAAACTTACACGTACTCAGATCATGTTTTTCCCTTGTCCTCCAGGTGTCTGACTCCGGGAAGCCGCCTTTGTCCTCCTCCTCTGTTCTCACAGTCAGAGTGATTGAAGAGAGCCTCCATCGGCCGGTGGCCTTGCCGCTGGAAATCCATATAGTCACTATGGAGGATGAGTTTCCTGGTGGTGTGATTGGTCAGCTGCACGCCACTGACGCTGACCCTTACGATGCACTGACATTTGGACATGCGCTTCCAGCTCAGCACAGTCTATTTAAGATCAGTCCCCATGATGGAAAGATCATCGCTCTTGGTGGGCTGGATACGGGGGAGTACTTCCTCAACGCTAGCGTTAGCGACAGCCGCTTTGTGGTGCCTGTTCCTATACGTGTGCAAGTAGAGCAGGTGACGCTGGAGATGCTGCGGGATGCCGTGACCGTGCGCTTTGAGAGTGTAGCGCCGCAAGATTTTGTAGCATCGTATCTGAAGAGTGTGTTGAAAGTGATGCAGCAAGCAGCCACATCACAACAGCACGATAAGTTGCACCTGCTCAGCATCCAGCCGGTTGGTGGGACGCAGCAGCTAGACATGCTCGTCTCGGTGGAAACGGGTGGAGGCGGCTACTACAAAGCTGCTTACCTCACTCAGAAACTCAGCACATCTCGGCAGAAGCTGGAGGAGGTGCTCCGCGTGTCAGCCATCCTGGATAAGAACTGTTCAGGGCTGGAGTGTCGCGGTGCGCAGTGCGAGCAGAGCATCATCCTGGACTCACACAACCTGGCCACATACAACACTCCGCGGGTCAGTTTCGTCTCCCCTCGCTTCCACCGGACCTCCCGCTGTACATGTAGTGGTGAGTGGATTTAACAAAGGCTGTCCTTTTGTTTCAACCCCAGAACGATAACCGAGGAGCATATTCTCTCATGCTGCGGCATGTTTCTCTGCAGCTGAATGGGTCTGAGCCAGTGGCGTGTCCAGATCTTTTAAAATGGGGTGGCCCAGGTGAGGCACAACTTTGTGCATGGGTGGCACCAATGGTTATGCTTTTTTTGTTTTACCTCCAAGCCTTTTGTGGAAAATGAAAAGCCTATTTAAAGGTAAATTAGTGTGGTGGCACCTGGGGTGGCCAATCAGATTCCAAGGGTGGCATGTGCTACCCCAGGCCACTCCCTGGACACGCCCCTGGTCTGAGCTCTGCTCCATTCACAGACCTGCAGACACTCAGCATCTGTCCAGTTTGTTGCTCTCAGACAAAAACTGGTTCATCTGAAAAGATTCTCCCTTTCAAGGTGCAAATGTTTGGGAATCCTGGGAAGATCCTGCAACGTTCACTAAACCACAGTGGGACCTGCCACGATCTCACGAGACATTCATGCAGAATGGCTGCATGAATGGAAAAAGTTGGACAGTCTTCTCTCATGGTGAGCTCACACTCTCTCTGTCTTGCCCTGTGCAGATGCCAGCTGTGCCGTCCTGCTAGAACGACAGTGTGAAGAGCAGCTGTGTCCAGCAGACATGCAGTGCGTTTCACTAGAAGCCACCAGAGGGCGCTATGTGTGCCAGTGTCCAAGAGGCAAACTGGGAGAGTGTGCAGGTAAAAGAGAACAGAACAGTCTGTAAATATTAGGAAAGTGGGTGCTGAAGGTGGGCTTTACACCCCGCTTGGTGGTCGTGTGATGATCTTCAGAAATGATTGATCTCAACAGACTTTTCCATAATTGTTACAAGAGATTATGACATTGTGGGAATAATTGGACAACATGCATTATTTAGAAAGGGGCAATTGGAGTTTCATGTTTGTTCAGCAGATGTTTCTTGAGTCTGGAGCTAAAAGACCTTGGGAAGCGCTGCAATAACATGTTTTTATTACACATGCAGTATGCTACGCAGCTCGACTCTGTGTGTTGTTGTTGGTGCAGGACACTCGTCTCTGAGTTTCTCTGGTAATAGCTACATCAAGTACAGACTGACTGGCCAGCTGCAGATGGAGCTGAAGCTCACGCTGAGGATCAGAACTCTGCAGAGCACAGGCATCATCATGTACATGCACACCGAGCGCTGCATCATTCTCAAGGTATCGTTCTAAACACGCTGTTGCCTTCGCTCTGACACACGCTGCTTTGAGCCTGCACGACATCTTTATTCAGCAGCTTTCCTTTCGTCTCTGTCTCTTTGGCCTCCTGTGTTGGTGAGACCTCTGAACTCTAACCCTAATCTCTGACTCATCATTATTTCCTCGTTTTGTATCCTTTCACTCATTGTTCTGGTTTATTTAGGATTTGCTGTATTTTCAGCTTCACGTTATAAGTACGTTTATTTAGCAACTATCCGATGTTAGTAATCACACAGAGCCAGTGCTCTAATGAAAAATATTGTGCTTTTAAATCCACGGGGAAATGTTTTGAGAATGACAAAAGTCTTGGTATAAGACTGAAGTGTTTTTAGAGCTTGTTTCTATAGTTACTGAAAAACAATTAAGGACATTTAATACGTTTCAGAGGATTTTATTGATAATTACATAAAGTTGATGCAAAGAGTCAATGTCTCCTTCTTCTACACCTCTGTAGTTCACCCTGACATGCGGTCCTTCAGCGTCTGGTCCGGATCTCGACTGATGGAGCTTATTCCTCATCGTCATTGTTAGAAACTTGTGGGGGGGTTCGGTTTTCCATCTGGTTTTTGACGATTCATCACATGTGGCTGTACAGCATGTGATGGAAAAGGGACCATCTCCACTAAACTCTGTTTAGGTTTTGTTCAGATGTCGGTCGGAGGGACTGGTGGCGCCTGTGCTTAGCAGCTTCGCCCAAGAGCAGCTGTGGCCACATCGTAGCTCATCACCATCGGGGTGTGAATGTGTGTGTGTGAATGGATGAATGGTACACTGCAGTGTCCGGACTCCTCTGACTCTGAAAGGCGCTATACAAGTGCGGGTCGTCTATCATTATCTATGTGAATAGGGAGTACATGTGATGGTGAAGTGTTGTGTGAGTCAGTGTGTGTTTCTGTGTGTTGTGCAGTTGATGGAAGGGAAGTTGTGGTTCCAACAGTCCTGCGGCCACAGCACAGGGGGGTTCGGTGACACGCCGGACATGTTGGGCCCTGCTGGTCGTCGTATCAATGATGGCAACTGGCACACTGTGGCACTGGAGCTGAATCGCAACTTCAGTAGCCTGACTCTGGACGACAGCTACATTGAGCAGCGCCATGCACCGTTGATGATACAGACATTCTCTCCAGACAGAACCATCTACTTTGGTGCTCTGGTGGGTTCCAAAGCAGCACATATCACACAGGGTTATCAGTCAGGACACAATGGGAGCTTTGTGGGATTCCTAGCTATCTAATAACTCATTCAGTGCACACTATATTTGACACGTTGTATAATTATATTGGTTGAGCCAACAAAAAAAACACACATTAAACGTAGCATCTTCCATTGTTTAAAGGTTAGGTCAAAATATAATATTTGCATGTTTGAAACTTCACTGAAAATACAACTTTAAATAATTATCTGATTATAATCAGTCACTCTGAGTTTTTCATGCAGGCTGAGCATGAAATTGCCTCCTACACCTACCTCTTTCGTTAGCGTCTGATAGAAAATAGACGGTGAACTCTAGGATTAGAAAATCCCAACAGATCTACGTCACACTGTCACTTAACAATCATGAACTTACCTACGTTGACTCACGACGGGGAAGGCTGCTGTCGGTTTAGCGTCCAGGAAACAGCTGAGAACGTCTCGGCTAGCTGAAGCTAACTGTTAGCATTAGCAGCTCCACCACACAGCAGAACTTCTTCTGGCGTGTGTCATTTGTGGAGATAAAGCATCAACGTTGCAGAGCAAACAGAGTCAGTGGTACAGTTGCGTTGCTGTTAGCCAATCAGAGGTGAGATGTCCAAATATCAGGAGCTAAGACTCCAAATCCTGTCATCTGAAGCTCAACTCTGATCTGGCTCACTTTCAGTTTCTGAAACAGACGCACCGGCGTTTTTTTCTCCAGAGTACGACCTACTAGGCATTCATTCCTACTTAAGACCACTGGTAATGTATTAACTAAATGAGTAAAGTTGATCTTTGCAGACAAAGTTCACTTGTTTTTTCCTACTCATTTGCTGTGGTCTCTAGTATGAATGAATGTCGGTCTTTGAGGGAAAAAGCTCTCGCTCTCTTGCTTCAGGAACCAGAGGTGAACCACAACAGAGCTGAGCTTCAGACAAGAGGATTTGGAGTCTTATTTCCTGATATTTAGACACTGGCTTTTCTAATCCAAGGATTCCTCGTCTATTTTCTGAGTGGCTAAAGCAGGAAGTTTGGGTAGAAGACCATTTTCACATTTAGCCTCCATGTTAAACTCAGTGTTACCGATCATAATTCAAAAATTAAATCAAATGCCATCAGGAGATTATTAATGGTTACTTCCTATGTAAGCAAATGTTGTTTAAATTTTAATTCCTATTGATAGATGCAGTGTTTTTGGCAATGCAGTGAAGTTTACCCGGCTTCATCTAGACATAGATCTACATACAGATGTTCACCCTTTTGTCTGCGTAATCACACACAACTGGTGATCTCCCACTTGTTAGGTGCAACCTCCAAACTCTCGCAGCCTTGTGGTCTCTCAGAAGGACCCGCGGGTGCATGAGGGATTTCAAGGATGCCTGGACTCTGTCACCCTGAATAACAGAGAGCTGCCTCTGCAAAGCAAACGTTCACCGTATGCAGAGGTGGTGGAACTGACAGAGCTCAAGCTTGGCTGCATTCTCTACCCCGACGCCTGCCAACATCAACCATGTCGCAATGGCGCCACCTGCACCAGTTTGCCCTCTGGAGGTGAGTGACAAGGAACAGCTACTAACTCTAAGTAATAATAATTATCATAAGATGTAAAGGCTGCAGCTCTTTATTTTTACGATTAAAGTTAGTTTAGAATAGTATCTCCTCCTTCTATTCTGTCTAATGAACTTCTTTTTAGCTATTTTAATTATTTATATTTAGGGGTGCACCAATACCAGCATCGAGTATCGGGCCAATACCACGTGCATGTACTCGTATTTTAACTTGTAAATGTGCTGTAATCTACCACGGGACTGCCAGTGACTATGTTTACATGCAGCCAATATCCGGGTTATGATCGGGTTGAGGTTGGTATTCGGGTTTCTGAGTTGATCAGAATAACTTGTTTACAAGCATAAATAGAAAGAGTTACCCCTAACTTGCATAACCCGATTTAAATGCGGACGTTGGGGTAGCGTCAGGACGTATGGACTACGTCAAGACGCAATATGCGTCATATTTCGCTGTCTCTGTACTTTCGGCCGTCAACAAAAGACGTAATGTTCATACTTTTCACCAGACCGATGAAGACAGAGGCTTCCTCGTCACTCCAAAAGTGTGGTGCTGTGCCGCGACTCGCCATGTTGCTCCCAACTTGTTTACTTCCGGAGTTCTGGCGCATACAAGACGTCCCGCTACTCAAAAGACCAAGATTCCTTGCAAACAGAGCATGCGCAGAACACACGCTTTGATGGGGATATCCCAATATGCATTTACACGACCAAACATTCGCGTTAGAAAAGGGTTACCCCAGGTGTAGTAACCAGGTTTTTAAAAACCCGGTTATGAGCATATCCGGGTTTTTGGCGGTGTTTACATGGACCTGCGGAACCGGGTTATTGTGAATATTCGGGTTTTAAAAGGGTTACTGGCTGCATGTAAACGTGCTCAATGAGAGAGGAGCTTAATTTCCCTTTGACAGTATTAATTTGCACATGAACACTGTAACCCAGGAAGCAGCAACAACATGTCATGAAATGGATGCAAGCCACTTAAAACTAAACAGAAGAAGCCAACAAAGAACGGCAGTGAGCTATTCAGTAGCAGAGTAACTTCAGCAGAGGAGAAGCTACGTCAGTGGTGTGAAGGTATCTCCTGGTGAACTAAGGTGATAGATAACTGAAAGGCAGACTTAAAGGTTTAATGATGCCAGTAACAAGTAATGAAATGCATTCTGATTGTTTTGTTTGTTGTTGTTGTTGTGATTCATGTCCGGATCAGAGAGGTCGAAGCTCTGCAACATTATTTACAAACCAGAAATCAAAGTTCCTATTTAAGTCATTTCCCTTGAGAAAAATCCACATTTGGTTTGTTGTTGTTTTTCTGTCAGTGTTAGCAGTTAGCTGCCTAAACAAGCCGTTACAAAAAGTCCGTTATTGTGGCGTCACAGTAACAAACATTTGCGTAGAACCCTCTACTCATCGACGGCTCTACTCTCAGCCCCTCCCAGATATCCAAGCTTATAGCAGCCAATCAGATCATGTAAGGTGAACTTTTATGGGTTGTTAAAGTTTGTTAAAAATGTTTGCATGAAGTGCTTTTAAAACTAGCTGTAGATAGATAGATAGATAGATAGATAGATAGAGATAGAGATAGAGAGAGAGAGAGAGAGAGAGAGAGAGAGAGAGAGAGAGAGAGAGAGAGAGAGAGAGAGAGAGAGAGAGAGTGTGTGTGTGTGTGTGCACTGACTCTATTGCATTTTTAATTAGGTTCTCCTCTCTCCTGTCTGTCTGCCTGCCTGTCTGTCTGACAGGGTTCACATGCAACTGTAATCCCCAGTACACTGGTGGGAGCTGTGAAATGGAGATAACGGTGTGTGTTCCCAACCCTTGTCAGAACAATGGGGTGTGTAAGCCCATTGGCAACGCATTCCTCTGCAGCTGCAGGAGAGGCTTCAGGGGTCTGATGTGAGTTCCAGTCCTCACACATATAAATGGCATTTAGATGCTGCAGCTCACCCAATCATCACAATGAAAATTAAAAGACAAGTGTGTTTTCCCATACAGCATGCTTATGTATTGCTTCAGATATTTGGACCAACTTGCATTGTTTCCTGTGAGCCTTACAAAGAAATATCCATCCATTCATCTGATGTGGTTTAAAGTATTATAGTCCATTTTGATGAGGATGTAATAAAATATTTGATGACTGAAGTGTTGTTCCTGAAACTAATAGTAAACTATTTAACAAACATGAAGATGAATATATATATTTATTCCTCCAATGATAATGTTCAGCTATACTGTTAATGGTTGGAGTCTGCCTCTGTTAATGGGAGATGACTTTCTTTATACGGTGTGATTTTTATGCTAATCTCTGTTAGACACGCTGAACCTGATCACGCACTAATCTCTTCCCATGTCTCCCACCCTTGCAGTTGTGAGGAAGATGTGAATGAATGTGACCGAAGCAATCCCGAGGGTCAGTGTGAAAATGGAGGCACTTGTGTCAACACTCCTGGCTCCTTCTATTGTAACTGCACGCCAGGCTTTGTGGGTCAGCGCTGCAGCCTTCGGCCCGTCGTTGTTCCTGACATGCAAGCTGGTCATGCCGTGGTTGGCAAAGAGGAGCTGATTGGCATCACGGGGGTGCTTTTCGTCATTGCCATCCTTATAATCCTCTTCATAGCTTTCCGCAAGAAAGTTTTTCAGAAGAACTACTCACGGAGCAACCTGTCTCTGGTCCAGGACCCTGCCACTGCAGCTCTTCTCAACAAGGCCAGCTGTGTCCAGTTTAAGACTCTACACTGCACACCAGGAGACCCCCTTAGCTTGTACTCAGAGCCATGTATAGAGCCCACCATTGTGGGAGGAGTTGGCATAATGGGACCTCCGCAGGTTCCTGTGAGGCCCATGGCATATACACCCTGTTTCCAAGGAGAGTCGCTGACCAAACTAGAGAAGATGTCAGACGATCATGTGATGGAGCATACAGAGATGAGCACCTTTCACTCTGAATCACCAAGAATCCTCTCTGGAACAACCAGGAGGGGGGTGGTGGTGTGCAGCGTGGCCCCAAACCTGCCACCAGTGTCCCCTTGTCGCTCCGAATGTGATTCCATACACAAGAGTCCTTTGGTCGTTGATGAAGGTGAGTTTAATGCTAGGAGCTGGATCAAGAGTTGGTTTTGAGAGACACACCGTGGCAGCATATCACTGTAATACTGCCGCCACAGTATGTCTTTGAATGCTCCATGGGATGGGTGAATACTCCACCATTCCTGCTTCCAAGCTTGATTGTAATGTCACTACGATGGCAGACTTTAGAATGGAGATCGCAGCTTCATGCAACAAAGGGTGATGTCAGGATCAGTTGTGGAGTCAGCCAAGCCTCGGCTGGCAGCGATAATTTAAAAGCAGGTAAACACGATGTGTCCGTTTCGTATTTGTAAATAGAATCAGCTGGATCAATGCAGGAGCTTCTGACCTTTAGAGCTGAGTCACGCATCACCAGACAGTTGAGAGGGACTGAGAAGGACAGCCACCTCTTGGAGCTGCTCGCCAAAAATGTACGGAGCGTGGCTTCAAAATAATGCTAAAAATAATCATGACAGATGCAGGGGCCGCTCCCCCACTTACTTTATGTCGCCATTGCGAAATCTTTTGTGAAAAACAAATGATGGCGCTACATTACTGCCACGGGCCGACCACTCATGTATGACCAAAGGCTCCCTGATGCCGCCTCAGCTTTGCGGCTAAGTGGCACCTTTGTTTTCTGAAACAGGCTAATGTAAGGGGTTAATTTACATTTAATTAATGGCCCATAAGACATGAGATTCCATAATGAATATGGAATCAATCTTGTGGATCTTTGGGTTATTTTAACCAGAAGATTGGATCTTTTTATTGCAGGGATTATGTAACACTTGTATTAACTGAGAGACAAGAGAAGAGAGAGTCACCTTTAAAATGTTTAAGAAGATTTATTTCTAAACAATTTTAAACAATTTAACTCTAAATTCTAAATGATGAAAAGATCTGGTGTGAATGAGACGTGAGATGAATGGTGTATGTGTGAGTGATGTTTGTCATCAGAACTCTCGTATCCGGAGAAGCAAGTCTGAATGATGTTGTGATGTTTTGCTTTTAAGCTATGATCGGAATTGTGATCGGAGTTTCATAAACACATAAGACGCCATATTGTCGCTCTACACATACCCTTAGAATGATACCTCCATACAGATCCAGAATGCCAGGTCCTCGTACCCACCTTTCGGTACCGGAGCCGATGAAACAGCGTCAGCAGTACAACAGACTAGTCTTTGGATTGTCTCCAGGTAAAAGGTGACAGTTGGTTGACAGCGTCAGATGGACCCGGAGGGTCAGTGATTTCAGCTTTTATTCTGAAAGGAACCGTTGCTTGGTTAGTAAAATGCAACAGATTTTATCCAGCTTGTTGGTTCTTTGCTTAGAAGGAAGTCCGGGGGCCGGTCCGATGCTCCTCTTAGCATGCGGTGAACTGCAGAGAACTCAGAGAACTGAACTAAGATGGTGTGGGAACTGGTTTTATTAATCTGGATGTTTTGATTTATGGTTGAATCAAAGTTGGCAGATTTACAAACACCACAGAGACTATGCCACACTTCAGAAAGGAAGGTTCTGATTGGATGAGTAAAAGCAATGTGTCGTGCGTTTACATTACGTGTAATCGGATGTCTAGTGCAGCTAGATTAAAGTCATATTACTTATTAAAACTTACTAATCATAACATTGTCATTTCACAGATCGGTCAACATCTTATTATTGACTAACACTTTGTTTGATTAGCTTTATTAAAATAAAGTTATTTCATTTATTAAAAGGAAATAGTCCTTTGTCTTCATTCTTCTCTTGGGCTGGAAAGGAAGCAGTTTAGAAGCAAATGCATGACCTTGAGGCAGTCTCATGCAGATTAGTTCTGTGTCAGAGGCATCTGTGGAGAGAGGGTAAATAACCTTCGGTGGAATTGCTCCTTCATCACGTTACACTAACTATGTTGAAATAAAATAATCAGAGACTACTGACTTCATATTTTATATAAAGAACTATTTAGAGCATATAGGTGTTTTAAGCAGAAACATTTAGCAGTGTGTGTTATGGAGTGGTACATACTCAAGACCCAGTGGAAGGGAGGTTTTATTTCAGCGGTCTGGTTTTCCTGCTGCATTGTCTTCTGTGTTGTCTTTGACTCGTGGGTTGTTCAGGGCCGCAGACCTTTCACTGGAGTCTGATGACGGTCAGTGGCGGTTTTACCATTAGGCATAGGTCGGCGGCTGCCTGGGGCCCTCATATGTTGGGGGGCCCCCTAGACCTGACTGCTGGCACCCCTCTGTTAATGCCACAATGGACTATTCCTTTAAGATTGGACACACAAACTGGAAGTGATTGGTAGTCATTCCACTCCAGTCCAGTTGGAAGCAGTAATGCGCCAAATTATTGTTTGCCAAGTGCCATAAGACCACAAATAATAATAAGAAGAGGAAGCAGAAAAAGAAGAAGAGAGGCGGGAGCGTTCGTAACAAACTCAAAGCGATAGTCAAAACATTAAGCATGAAATGGAGTAATCCTAGTGGCTCCAATAAGAGAAAGAAGCAGCTTGCTTTTAAAAAGCTTTTATTTTCACTTCTGAAAGTGACGTCGTTTTTCAATGTAAACATCAAAAGGAAGAAGAGAGGAAAGACAATGGAAAATGTTTAAAGGGAGGAAAACATGACCAAAATGGAAAATAGAAAATAACTAAATAAACAAAGGCTAAAGCACAGGAGCACTGACAGTAAGAAGAAAGCAGAGCAAATATTGAAGGCACACAAAGAGAGGGAAAGACAGGAAAAAAGAGGACTAATAAAAAGGGAAAATAACGCATGTCAGTTTTGCATAATATGTCTCCTTTTCTAATGGCAGAAAGGTACTGAAAGTGTCAAGAATAAAGCTGCTGAAATCAATTCACGTGAGACTGATTTTATGCAAAGAGCTCCATGAACATGTTTGGTAACCATAAACCTATTTTAACTTTTTCTAAAGTAGCATTCGCATTCCTTTAAAGGAAGAACCTCCTTAAACAGCCTATAAGGGATGGGATCTAGCAGATTTAGTAATACTTCTGTTATGTCAGAAAGCTCAACAAAAATCATACCGTGACTTGTAGCAAGTATGCCAAAAACTTTTAGTAGTTATGAGCAGTTTAACTTTGTTACAAGTACTTGTGAATGTTTGAACACCCGCCCTTTCTGACTTTTCATTAAAGCTAAAATGGTCAACGTGGCAGAGGAAGAAACGTGCTTCTCAGGAAGCAACAAAGGCAGTAACTCTGAGGTCCAGTCCCTGAGTTCATTCCAGTCTGACTCCTGTGACGACAATGGTAAGATCCACTCAGTTTCCGTTTTTTGCTAAGCTCTTTTGCTTGTTTCATTATTTGGCAAAAACTGGTATTTTCCATTTATTTTGCTCACCAATATCCAGCCAACATGTCTGAAGAAAAACGTTTGTGAATGTTTTAAGCTGCACGCAGCATTTCATTAAAAAAAAAACATTGAAATCCACAAATTACATTTTTATGGACACAATTTACCAAGGAAGAAAACACTAAATATTCATTTAGAGCTTGATTTTAGCTATGCATTAAGTTGGAAGAAAATGGCAAATGGCCTGTGTTTGATATAGCGCCTTCTAGAGTCCTGGAACCCCCCAAGGTGCTTTACAACACAGTCGGTCATTCACACTTTGGTGGTGATGAGCTACATTGTAGCCAAAGCTGCCCTGGGGTACACTGACAGAGGCGAGTCTGCCGTACACAGGCACCACCGGTCCCTCTGACCACCACCAGCAGACAACGGGGTTGAGTGTCTTGCCCAAGGGCACAACAACAGCGACAGACTGAGCAGGGCTCAAAACTGCAATCTTCCGATTACGGGGCGAGTACTTAACTCCTGTGCCACCATCGCCCCAAAGAAGTCTGTTCCAGCTGATTTACACCATCATTCCTATTTTTGGTGCATTGATTCTGTGTGCTTCTTCCAACTGCATTACTAGGTTGTAATTTAACTGAAAATGGTTGTTATACCTTCTTTTTGCTGACGTTTCGACCATTCCAGCTTTTCAGAACTCGCCGCTCTTGGCAGCGTCACTTCCTTCTCCGTTTATCGGCGGGCACTAGACACCATCCTCTGCTGCCCATGCATGAACAGAGAAGGAAGTGACGCTGCCAACAGCGGCGAGTTCTGAATAGCAGGAATGGTCGAAACGTCAGCAAAAAGAAGGTAAAACAACCATTTTCTGTGTTAAAAAAGAAACAAACATTTCTATAATTACACAGTTTATCATTTATGGGAAATTTGTATAAACTTGTTTTAAATTGCAGAAATATCATTGGCACACAACTTCATTCACAAACATTCACAAAGGTTTTCTGACATGATATGCCATTGCCAACCCATTTTCATCCAGTGTATAAAATGCAGTCACTTGGTCTTTCACCTCGTTGGTTTATAAGACAGGCACAAACCATCCTTTGGCATTGGTGTACGTAGTTATTAGTGGTTTGTTTTCATCTGGACCCACATTATTTTTAAGTGAATGGTGTAGGGTGGAAAATTTGAAAACCACAAAATTAATTACCATCAGACACAAGTACCTGGTTCCTGGCGTCTTTGGAGCAATCATTTTATTAATTCCCTTTTTTGTCGAGTTCATTTAAAATCTTTGGTTATTCAGTTTCTTAGTGAGGCTCATTACCATTCAAGCCAGGCCTGAGACTCCTTCCTGCATTAGTGTCATGTGTAAGATGACCAGGCAGGAATGGGAGTTTAAGCAGATCAGCAGCTGTAACAGCTCTGAGGTAGTCACAGAGCTGAGTTGGCTGTGGTGTGTAAAGCACCATGAAAATAAGATATGTGTTTCAAGCTATATCCTATTTATTGGCATTGACCTGTTGGAATACATTTCTTTCTTCTTTTCTTATGCAGTTTAATAAAAGTTATTTGTTTACCTGACATGTTTCAGCTAGTAGCTCTAGCCATCCTCAGAGGATGATGGTGGCGTCACTTCCTTTTATCCGCGGGCAGCTCTCATCCGGACGTTTACATCTGCTCACACCACAAACAAGATGGCCACAACTGTCCGTTATTCAGATCTGCGGCAGAAACAAGTTGTCATCAGTGCTCCGGCTTGGGAGTTTCATATGGATCCAAACCATTTGTAATGCTGGTTTTGTCCGTATACCGGTCCCTGGCTTCCATATTTAAAGTATCCTTTTGGGATTTTAATCTGTTGTTTAATGCTTCCTTTCTCCCAAATCTGCTTCTTCTCCGTGATGTTTTCACATTTTGTTTACACGCGTTAGGCCACCAACATGTCTGTGCACATCCCAGAATGCAACGCATAATCACGTGTGATCCCAAGCCCTATTACAACTAAACCTTTTAGAAAATATACATTTGAACTTGTAGCAGTAGGCTAAGGACTATGAGAATTAGCTGAAGTCAACCCCTGAGGTTGTTTTTTAATTTCTATTAAGGATGATATCCCATTTGTTCACACAAATTGAATAAGACTCAAAACCTGTACTGGAACCAGTCACTGGGGAATGCTTTTTCTGTTCTGAATTAAAATGTTGGTTCACATTCTGATGTTTACATTCTATCAATGTTGATGGTAAACACACATTGCTGTAGGATTACCAAAAATGGGATTATGTTTTTGGCCAGATTCCAGAACCAAGTTAAAAGGGCCAATAAAACAGCTTGGGAAGTATTGAGACGCTAAATGACTTTAGATCATCAACAAGGTCCTGTGATGGTTTTGAGCACTAAACATGGTGAAAACAGGCTTTGTGTTGGTATGAGAATGGGTTCACACATGGTCGTTGTGGCATGTATACAGTGGTTGTGTATTGCTATTGTGTTTGCATTTTCATTGCATCACTTTGTCGTAGACTTCAGTGGGTTTCACCAAAGCCAAAATCACATTTAATACTTTGTTTTTTGTTGTTGTTTGCTTAAGACTGACTGGATTCACATCAATAATTAAAGTAACAAGAAAAGGCAAAAATTTGACACCTTTTTGAGATTGTTTTGTTCCCACATTTTTAATACATCCTTATTTTTGTTTTGTTTTTTATTTCAAAATGACACTGAACGCTATTTTATGTAATTTCCTTTAAAACTAATTCAGCAGGAATTAGGTCAGGTTGTTGTCTCAGACAGCTCTGGTGGTTGTACGTTAGGTAAAGGGGACTTCCTCCTCAACACCATGGTGAGCTTTTTTCACTATGAATGACTGTAATTTAAAAACTTCTCTGCTCCTTGTTTCCTTCCTCAAGCCTCCATTGTGACTGTCATTCGACTGGTCAATGATGCAGTCAACACAATCGAGAGTGAAGGTACCATGTCTCATCTTCTTTGTGGCTCCTCACTCACTCCTCCACTTCTTATTGTGTTGGTTTCAATAACTTTCCATTTTCACTGATTTGCACTTTCAGCTGTTCGACAGCCAAAACCCAAGTCAGCATCATAGTTGGTTCTATTAGGGAAATGTTCTGCTTCACCCTTATTTGCACCTTGGCGCTTTGATTCAGTCGAGCAGCCAAACTTTAGTGCTGGTTCCACTGCCTCGGAACAACCGTGAGCTCCGTTCAGGAATATGCACACACAGTTAAAGATCTTGCACTGGTTTAGGCAGCAGCTGTGGCTGGTAGGAGTGTATTGAAATAAAAAAGTTGTTTCTTCATGATCATACGCCATTGGTGGACTCAAATGACAAATAATGGGTTTTCTGAGAGTTAACATTAGATTTTAAAAATGAGTCCAAATAGTAAATGGTCCATACTTTAGTTCGTGGTGAAAACATACATTTACATTGTGGCTGTTAGCTTTTGATGATTGGTATGAATGATCCGATCACGTGATTTTCAAAGGATCGCAATCGGGTGAAAAAGATCGGATTTAACCTTCTAAAACAACAAGTGTGACTTTTTAAATTTATTCTGAGATAAAAATGTGTCATAAATATATTTTAAAGTAGCGGAGATGCTTATATTTCTAATTGTTTACGTCCTCATTATGCGGCTCTATTGAGTGATGCACATTCTCAGGACGGGGGAGGCATGCGGTTCCACCGCCGGCAGGTTTTGGCAGATAAATTAAGGAAATGACAAATACAGAAAGGAGTTAAAACCTAAATAATAAAACATTTTGGATGTGTTTTATCGGATTGGGACTCAGTGTCAGCAGATACTCAAACTCAAATGATCTGAACATTCCTAATGTGAACCATTGTTTTGATTTAGTAAAACTTCAATAAAGTTGCGTAAATCTTGGCTTTTATCCTATTTTCTATCAATTGTGGGCTTTGTGTGTTTACATTCTTACCCACAATTCACAGCGAGAGCGGAACATGTCAGGCCCGTCCCGACACATCTCACAGCACTGCACCACTAAAGATAGGATTGGGTTGTATGGAATACCTCAAGTTCCTCAGTTACCTTGGGGATATACAGGAAATCACACAGTATTAGCATCCATTTAATTTCAAAATAAAAGACTGTTGCAGGTTGGCGATTCTTAACTATGTGAACATTGCATCCTTACCAGTGACTGAAAGGCTTTTGAAGAAAGCAGCGATGTGTTTTTCAGCAGGAACAAGGTTTTTATCCTGGCAGAGGGGAATTACAGTGTTGTGTGTGGCACCACCTCCAATTTCCAAAAACAACACCAAAAAGGAGAAGCATAGACCAAAATATCTACGGTTACTGAAGTGGAGGGTAAAATTAGAATGCTTGTTATACTTTAAAAAGTTAATGCCAAGGACACACCCGTTTGGGGGTTAGTTTTAATGACACAATTTGTAACAGGTCTCTACTGCCATTGGAGCATAGAAAATGCTTATATTGGAACTAAAACTGGCAAAATGGCCCAAAAAATTATGATATTTCAGAGTATTACGATGATAATGATACACATGATGATATAACATAGTAGAAATACAAAGTTTATTCATTCAGTAATTATTTGGCAGTAATGCCAGGGCCCTAAATCAGTTTTATTTTATCCCAGATTCTTCATTTTAACTGTCCTTATTTTTCTGAATTCTGCAGTTCTATTCTAACCATATTTATTAACCCCAAAATCACAAAATTATAAAGAAATGTATAAAAATTCAACTAGTCAGTAATTTAGAACAGAAAATTGCATTTTTGTTTATGTGTAAAATGAGGAGTTTTGTACTTGATGTTTTAGAACCATTAGGGCCGTGGAGGGAGAACGTGGTGAACGGTGTTGGTTTATGTCTGACATTAAACAAAGGTCACAGAAACCAGACAGGCAGGCTTGACTTGATAACGCTGCACCTTACTGCCAACGACGCACATCTGTTTGGAGCATTTTACCACAAACAAACAAATCTGCAATATTCAATTAAACAAAATAAACTGGCACTTTGCAAATTTATCAGGAGCCAGTCACGGCTGCAATAATTAAGCTGAATTTCTGGAATTAGCCGGTATGCCTGGCTCCCGCTAGCCTCTTCTTCTTCTTCTCTGTCTCTGACTGTAAGCGACTGTCACATTTGTTCTTATGCATCTGCTCAATAGGGTGCTGACAATACTTACTAAAAATCTCTGGGGTATTTTTATTTCCTAAACTTTGCACTTAGCATTGTGGTTTTTAATTTGGAGGGACTTTGGTGTTTCAGCGGGTCTTTCGCCATGACTGTTCGGTTTTTGGTTTTCCTGTTTGTGTTTATCAACAACCTGAAAATTTAACACAAACTTTCAGGCAAAATAGCATCTTGCCTTACCCATTTCATCGTTGTTGAATAATTTTAGAAACTAAAAGCTCATTTTAGTGAAAAAGTTTCATATTTTTGCACATTTAGCTGCATCTCTTGCCACAACTTTTACTCCTTTTAATTCCACCCTTCTGCTCACCACCCTTGCTGTTTCTGAGTCCCATCTTTCAAACACCGGGTGCACTGATGCATTTAAATCTAGGTGTGCCTGCACAAAAATAAATCTGCCAGTGGAGACAGCGCAGATAAGGCGGTATCAGTGTATGCAACCAACCCCAGTGCCATGACTGAACACTGGCCTTTGTAGCCCAAACGTCAGATCGGCCAACCAGGAAGCGTCCCGATCCTCCCGATCAGTCCGGTGTGTCAATAAGAGAAGGACCCAAAAGACATGAGATATGGTTTCTGATTGGATAAACCAGACTGACATCAAGCCTCTGGAATAGACTCCCCAAAGTCCTGACATCAACCTTATTGGAAATGTGTGGAATGATGTTAAAAGCTGATGGGAAATGTGTGGGGCTGCATGAAGGTGCAGTTGGTAGCACTGTTGCCTCACAGGTAGAAGGGAGATGAGATCCGCCTGGAGTTCCTTAAGACTCTGGATGTTGTGGATGATGTGGGGCTGATGCGGCTCTGCAATCCTGGACATCAGGGACAGTTCCAATGGATTGGCAGACTGGGGTGGTGGTCCTCCATTTAAAAAAAAAAGGGGGGGGGGGTCTTCTAACTACAGGGGAATCACACCCCTGAGCCTCCCTGGTAAGGTCTATTCAGGGGTTCTGAACAGGAAGGTCAGTTTCATAGTTTAACCTCAGATTCAGGAGGATCAATGTGGTTTTTGTCCTGGCTGTAAAACACTGGACCAGCTCTATACCCTTAGGGGGATCCTGGAGGGTGCGTGGGAGTTTGCCCAACCAATCTACATGTCCTTTGTGAATTTGGAGAAAACGTTTGACCGCTCCCCTCAAGAGGCCCTGAGGGGGGTACTCCAGAAGTATGGGGTACCAGGCCCTCTGATACGGGCTGTTAGGTTCCTGTATGACTGGTGTCAGAGCTTGGTCCGAATTGCCGGCAGTGAGTCGAGCTCATTTCCGGTGAGAGTTGGACTCCGCCAAGGCTGCCCTTTATCACAGATTCTGCTCATACCTTTTATGGACAGGATTTCTAGGTGCAGCCAAGATGTTGAAGGAATCCGTTTTGGTGGCCTGAGGATCAGGTCTCTGCTCTTTGCAGATGATGTGGTCCTGTTGTCTTCATCAGAACGTGATCTCCAGCTTTCACTGAAGCAGTTTGCAGCCGATTGTGAAGCAGCTGGGATGAGAATCAGCTCCTCTAAATCCAAGACCATGGTCTTGAGTCAGAAAAGGGTAGAATGCCTTCACCAGGTCAGGGATGAGGTCCTGCCTCAAGTGGAGGAGTTTATGTATCTCTGGGTCTTGTTCACAAGTGAGGAAAAATGGAGCGTGAGATCGATCGATGGATTGGTGCTGTGTCTGCAGTGATGCGGGCATTGTACCAATACGTCGTGATGAAGAGGAAGCTGAGCCGGAAGGCGAAGATCTCAATTTACCGGCCGATCTACGTTCCTATCCTCATCTATGGTCACGTCCTTTCGGTCGTGACCAAAAGAATGAGATCGTGGATACAAGCAGCAAAATGACATTTCTCTGTAGGGTAGCTGGGCTCTCTTTTAGAGATAGGGCTAGAAGCTTGGCCATCTAGGACGGACTCAAAATATATCTGCTGCTTCTCCACATTGAGAGGAACCAGTTGATGCGGTTTGGACATCTAGTGAGGATGCCTCCCTGGTGAGGTTTTCAGACACGTCTAACTGGGAGGAAACCTAAAGGAAGACCCAGGACACGCTGGAGGGACTATGTCTCTCAGCTGGCCGGGGAACGTCTTGGCCAGCTGAGGAGGAGCTGGCCCAAGTGGCTGGGGAGAATGTAGTCTGGGCCTCTCTGCTTAGGCTGCTGACCAGACCTTGGGTAAGCAAATGAAAATTGTTGGATGGATGGATGTTGCCTTGCAGGTAGAAGGCGGCAGGTTGCAGATGTGGCCTTTCTGGGTAGCGTTTGTGTGTTCTTCCAATGCATGCATGGGTTTTTTGGATGCTCCCCTCCACAGACCACAAAAAGGCATGTCTAATTAGTAATTCTAAATTGTCCCTAGGCATGAGAAAGTGGTTGTTTGTCTCTGTGTGTCCCTGTGATGGACAAGTGACCTGTCTGTATATTTTTTAAATTGAAGTAGTCCATTGTATAGTCATTCTACACTGGACAGTTCAGGTCAATCATTAAAAGCCCCGAATTGATACAACATCCATGCTCCTGATGAGTAAATGTGAACTTCTGACCACTCCTGTAAATAGCAGCTATCTAATCACAGGTTGGCTCTATAAAGTACAGCTTGTTTCTCACATAACCCTGGACACAGCAATTTCATGTTATGTCATATGTTTCATTAGAATAGACTAGAAAATCTCTTTATTGTACCTCAGTGGGGCAAGTGTGGTACCACCGCAGGAGGCAAAGCAAAGACAACCAGTGCAGATACACAACAGCAAGCAAAGGAGAGTAGAAAATAAAGAGTAGGGTTAAAGAGTAAACAACGTGTCATCCAAACGTCAATAAGCATGAAGAGAACAGAGTACAGTACAGTGTTCTGCCAAAGGCCATCTGAGCTCATGAGCAGGCCTGTAAATCAAGCCGCTAATCACTGAGCCAGTTACACTGCTATCAGTACACTGTCACAGAAATACAGTATTGGCCAATAGGTTTGAGAATGACACCAATATTGCTTTTTACAAAGTTTGTTGCTTCACTGTTTTTAGATATTTAGTTCAGTTTGTTCTGTGATGCATTTAAATAAAATTACAAGCACTTTGTAAGTTTCAGAGGCTTTTATTGACAATTATATCAAGTTAATGTTGTCAGTGTTTGCAGTGTTGTCTATAAATTCCATCCTGACATGCTGCTTATCATCTGCTGGACCAAATCTTGACCGATAATTAATGTTTAGTTAGTGGGTTTTTGTTTGTCCACCTGCCTCTTGAGGGTTAACCATAAGACTTGGATGAATGAATGAATAACTTTTATTTGTATTAGAGAGGCAGTTTGCATTGTGCAGTGTGCACTAGTTGACTTAGTTCTCACTTTGGCCTTGTGGCACGGTGCTCCATCATGCTGGAAAACACATGGTCCTTAACCAAACTGCTCTTGGATGGCTTGAAGAAGTTGACAACTGAGGTTGCTTTGGTTCCATTCTGGACCAATGGGTAAACAGCCCACTGAGACATGCCTGGTATGACAGATGGCCAGTCCACCCCTGAAGGGATGGATCTAGTTGTCCTTCTTCATAACATGCTGAAGTTTATGCAAATTGCCATCATAAAAACTGAAGCAGCAAACTTTGTTAAAACCACCATTTGTGTCATTCTTTAACCCTCCCACTGTCCTAATGGGTGTGACCCTGTGAGGAAATTTGACCATTGAGTAAGGTTGATGGTTTATCCCTTGGGTCCACGTGGCAGAGGTGAGGAGTGAGCACCACCTCACCTCTGCCACGTGGACCTCAAGGGATAAACCATCAATCCTGCTCAATGGTCAACTTTCCTCGTGGGGTCACCCATAAAAACAGTGGGATGGTTATACTTTTGGCCACTGTATGCCTCATTATCAAAGACTGTTAAATGTATGCATTAAAAATGATCAATTAAAACACTCTGTAGGTAACCTTGATGGCATTTTCATGCATAGAGGTTAAGTAAAGAAAATGCCTTGCAGTGGTCACTGTGATGTCCCTGGGAACTGTTTGTGTTGCACTCATTTATTACCAAGTAGCTGTAGCAGCTTTCTCCATCAAGATATGACCTGCTGGTTTGACACACTCATGGTCCAGTGCTAAAGGCTACGCTGTTTTCTTGTTCTTCCACCTGACAGTGTCAGTTATGGATCGAGGTGAATCCTACAACAGAGGTGACCACAAGCCCCCCACCCACCCTCATCCCTCCATTCTACTTCTCCACTACTTAATTGTTTTTCCATCTATGTACTGTGTGTCCGAAAAATATTCACGGCACATCACTTTTTAAAAAATGTTCTAATGTTACAGCCTAATTTCATAATGGATGGATTTCAGTTTTTCCTCAAAAATCAAAATTTTCATTTAAACAAACTGAGAAATCATGTGTTCATAAGTATTCACAACCTTTGCTTGATACTTTTCTATGCAAATTTAGCAGCAATTAAGTCTTTTTGAGTATGATGCCTTTTCCTCTTTGCAGCACCTCTCAAGCTCCATCAGGTTGGATTGTAAGTGTTGGTGCAGCCATTTCAAAGGAGCAATATGTAAGAGTTCCGCAGTAAAATAATCACAAAACAGTCTATATCACAATCACGTTGGAAGGAAGGTTATATTGAAACAGATTTCATTCTTAGGCGGCTGGGGGGTTGTCAGTTTTTCTTCCTTCAAAAACACAAATATGGGACACAGTGACAGTTTACAAGCAGTGAGCCTGCTGTGCTGCCGAGTTTACACCAAGCTAACGCAGCGGTGTCGCCATTGTAATTCTACACCAGCTGGCAAAAAAGATCCACAGTTGTTTATAGAACCAAAGCTATTAAACAGAAGCAACCCAGAAGTTAATTCTTGTACCTCTAAGAAGCCATGGCATCTTTTTGTTTTACTCTAACACAGGGCTGCCAACTTTTGAACTTTTCGATGCGTGAGGGGTGAGGGTTGTGCGCGGACCGTTCGCTGACCATCACAGCATGGGGGGTATTGATTGCTCAGCGTTAGATATTGGAAGTGTGGCATGTGAAGAGGGTCAAATAAGAGTGTCTCATGCTCAATGTGTGAGAGTTGGCAGCCCTGCGGTGATGCAAGCTAGAGGCTAACATTGAGCTAACAATGCTAATAGTGGCCTCTCGTACACATTCCACCGCAGGTGGAAATTGGCTATGTGTACCCAGGTGCTTGTGTCCGTTATCTGTCATTTACATACAGGAACGCCCTCAACTAACCATATTTGGTCACACTACGAAAAGAACCAAACAAGTTGCAGAGGTTATAAATGCGGTCGAGACAGAGGAGAGGTTTCCCATCAGGAATAAATAAAACGTTCAATCTGATCAGTCGTAGACTAATGGGTTGTCATTAATATTTAAGGAGTGGTTCTGTTTGGAGTTACTTTTATTTGGAAGTGTTGTCTGAGAGAGCAGCCGCTTCTGAGCTGTCATTCAGTCTGGTTACCTTGACAAAGTGGCGTGTGTGATCGGGGAGCGGAGGAGGTTTTGGGGGATTCTCGTAGTTGTAAAATAAAATATGAAGTGGAATCGGATTTGTGTGGTTTATCTGGCACTCCACAAAGGGTCCCAAATCACAACAAAGCTCTAGAAGGATCTCCTTCTGGTAGATCGGTGCGCTCACGGAGCATGTGTTCCCTCCAGAGAGCATGCTCTGCCAAATCCTCTAACACAGACCAGCCACGATATAATGTCAGATTCCCATTGGTCACATGAGTCTTTTATTGGTCTTAGCACCAGTTGTGTGAAAAAGCAGTTTTTTTCATTAACATGATTATTTATCGGGTAAAATACTTTATGGATGATGAACATGTGGACGACTGAGACCTTCAGAACTGCTGTTCCCCCGTTCTACTACTAGGTGCTGTTCGTACACACGGTCAGAACTGTTCTTATATTTAGGAACATTTTCATGCACAAGCACAAATTAGTAAATACCACACAATGCGTAAAATCTGTCCTACACACAAAATACACACAGATCTGTTCGTAATTCCGGTTGATAAATGAGGGCCCTGATGATTTTGAACTTCTTCCACATACAGCCACTGATTTGTGCCTAAAGACAGTGTTGTCTCCCATGTCTACAGGCATGTTCTCTGACTTCATGCTCGCATTGGGCTCCAACATGCACTCAACAACTAATTTTACTACAGGACGGACTCCAATTTAGCAACAAAACATCTCAAGGAAGATCAGTGGAAACAGGAAACACTTTTGCTCACTTTGGAGCTTTATGGCCAAGGCTGTGAATACTTATGTACTTGTGATTTTGAAGGGTTTTTTTTCACACATTTGCAAAAATGTTGTTATTATGGGGTGTTATTGAAATTAAAAAAAAGAAATGGGAATTTAAACAGTTTTGGAATCATACTGAAGTATAACACAATGGGGAGAAAGTGATGTGCTTTTAGACTTTCCAAATGCATCAGCAGTGGATAGACAAAATAACAACCAAAATAAAATCAACTCCTCTGGAAGCAGATCTGATCGCTGAAGTGGAGTAGTGAAGTGGTTTTGTCTACCTGCTGCACACCATCACACATTGCTGCTGGTGAATTTATTTTCTTGTTTTTTCTATGTGAGATTTGTGCTGACGCAGCCTGTTTTCTGTGCCCTGCTGATCTAGAAACTAGAACAGTGACCTTTAATGTTTTCTTCCCCTAACCTCATCTCCAAGTCCTGTGCAAGTTTTTATGTGATTTACAGCCCTAATCTTCTAGTGGTTGTGTTCATCTGTAATGCATGGATTTATATATGTTTTGGTTGTGTTTTTGTTTAAAATTCATCTAATTGTTGCCTTTAAATTTAATTCACTTTCAGTTTTGAGTGAACTGTACCGGGGTGGTTTTACATTCGTTTGGCTGTAAGCAGCATGACTCAACAGAAATTTAACCATTTTCAGCCAAAATGGTGTTAAAAGTGTTTCACTTAATCAGAATAGTGGTTGTTTTACAAGGTACCTAAAATCTGCCTCATGTAATCTGCCTCTGTCTTATATAAAGGATCTCTCACAAGTGGGAGTAAATAACCCTTTAGGACCTAGGCCTTTTTTCTTTGGGCCCTGGCGCCTCCCAATTGGGGGCCTTTGGAGTTTCATGTCCCAAGTGTCAGTGATTGTTTGCATTGCCCGAGCACAGCTACAGCTACAATCAAACCAGTTTAGATGGTAAACGAAGCAATTTTCGGTTTCTCATACATTAGGATAAAATAATACTTGAACTTTATTTTAGAAGAGCTGCTCTGTGTGAAAGTGCTGCCAGGATGGAGGTTGTGAGTTCAAATTCCGTTTAGGAAATTTAGTCAACTGTTTTATTTATTCCAGGGGTCCTCAACTAAATTTGTTCTAGGTTTCTTTTCCAGCAGACACCAGTGAAGGCCAGATGCTCTTCTAAAATTAAGTTCAAATATCATTGTATCTTAATTTATCACTATTTAAAATGGTCTTGTTTCCCATCTGGACTGTTTGATTGGGGTTATGGTTGTGTTTGGAGAATATGGACAGTTGTAGATGTTTGGGACATGAAACTCTAGGGGCCCCCAATGTGGGGGCATTAGGGTTAAATAGGATAAATAGGTCGTGTGTGTGTGTGTGTGTGTGTGTGTGTGTGTGTGTGTGTGTGTGTGTGTGTGTGTGTGTGTGTGTGTGTGTGTGTGTGTGTGTGTGTGTGTGTGTGTGTGTGTGTGTGTGTGTGTGTGTGTGTGTGTGTGTGCATTGGGGGGGTGGTTGTACGGGGTAGAAGTTCTAAACAAGTTGGAACCACCATGAGTTCATAGTGACGTCTCTGTATTGACTTCTGTTCATTTTACCAGTTCATGAAGAAGGTCTTCTGGCCTGATTTACGCCACTGTGAAAGATTTTCTAAGCATGAGAAAGCCCACATGTGGTGATAGGTAATTCAATTCAACCAGTTTTATTTATAAAGCGCCAAGTCACGACAAGAGTCATCTCCAGGCACTTTACATAGTAAACATTCCAATACAGGTCAGTTCATTAAGCCAATCAGTAAAAAGTTTCCTATATAAGGAACCCAGCAGATTGCATCAAGTCACTGACTAGTGTCGGTGCCTTTACAGCAATCCTCATACTAAGCAAGCATAAAGCGACAGTGGAGAGGAAAACTCCCTGTTAACAGGAATAAACCTCCAGAGAATCCTGGCTCAGTATAAGCAACCATCCTCCACGACTCACTGAGGATGGAGAAGACAGAGCGGACACACACACACACACACACACACACACACACACACACACACACACACACACAACATATATGCCAAGTAATGTTTTTATGGTTACATTGTGATTTCTTAGTAAATATTCTATTTGATGAGAGATAAGCTTTATTGTTTTTATCCTAGTGAATCTATAATTAAACGGGTAAACTAGTAGTAGCACATTCAATGTCAAAGAAATTTTTTTTACTGTAATCAGTGGTCCTACAATGTGTCTGGGCAACACAGCAAAAACTACAAAAACACAAGAAATCTCGCTGAACCAAACATTACTTTGGAGAAAACAAACATGGCGGAGGATTAGCGTGCAGCGCGCTTCCGTCACCTCACTTTCTGAATGGCTACATGTCGCATTCAACAGGCAGCAAGCTTGTTTTGTCCTTGAGAATCAGTCCAAGAAAATCCAACACCTTTAAAATCCGGATTAACGATTGGAGCATTCCCAACGTGCTCTTAGGCAGACCAGAGCACTCTTAACACCTCGCACACAGAAGAAATGTCTGATCAGATTTTCTGTAGAGCCATTACGGTAATTGGGTGCATCTTTAACATTTAAGAAGGGAAAGGTGAAAAAGAGTTCAGAGTTGAGGGATGAGAGGTTATACTGGAAGGTGGGACTGTCTTTATAAGGATGTTCTTTTCTGTAACAGGTGTTCATTTGATGCCAGCATTTCAACTATTTTTAATCCTCCTTGAAACTTTGCCTTTATTGACAAAAGTTGAAATTACCCTCCCAAGCTGAGCAAAGAGAAAGGCAGTGACCTCTGAAGCCAGAGTTTATGGACCTATCTTTCTAACTGAATTTGATCATGTTTTGCTTTGCTTTTCTCTCACTTTTTGAGTTCTTTGTACAATACATGTGCTGTGTGTTCATGAAGCATGCTGCCCTGAAGATTTTTGCTGTGCATGCCAGTTACCCCCTAAAGCCCAACACCAGCAGGTTGCTTCTCACAACTTTCAACTCTTGTGAATGTTGGCTTTATTGAGAATGACATTCCTGATGCTTCCTGAAAGCATGCCTACTGTACACCTCATTTCATCAAAACAGACGAGTTAAAAAAGGCTTTTACAATTGTTGCTAACCATATTTACTTCTGCTGTCCAGCATACCACTGGGACACGTCCGACTGGATGCCGAGCACAAAGCTGTCAGATGCTGAAGAAGTGGAAAACTACAAGACAGATCCTGGCAGTGAGACAGCTGGCTTGACCCCTTGTCTTGTAGGAGCCACCCATGAACTAGAGTCAGACTACTACCTCGGAGGCTATGATGTTGATAGTGACTATCCATCTCCTCATGAAGAAGAATTTCTAAGCCAAGACCAGATCCCACCTCCGCTGCCAACTAGCGAGGACTATCCTGAACACTATACACCACTGCTTGCTGGTCTGGCAATGTCCAAAGAGACTGTCCTGAACTCTTGCAGCACAAGACATCAGCATGCCAGGCCACACTTCCACCCCAGCCAGTATCTCCCTTCCCATCAGCTACCCCAAGCAGAGGTGCCCCATGGGGATTCTAGCACTTCAGTGAACCAGTTATCTCCAGTGAATGGTGATGTTGTTGACTCTGTCTCACTAAATATGCACCTGTCAGGTGGTACATCATCTGCCTCGGACATATCAGCCAACTGTGGGCTGGACTCTGAACATGGCAGCAGTTTTGAATGTATAGGTGAGGCTCGTCGAGGGGTGACCATCACCACTGACTCACAGCAACAAACTGAGGTGTGACTGTCTAAACGGATGGGTGTAAAATAGGACCCAACAATGACTTTAGTATTTCACACTTCACAGATCTCATCGTCTCGTTCAGAATCACCTTGTGGGTGTTTTGTAGACATTAATGGTGGCAAACAGGAGTTTTGAACCCCGATGTGTAGATCAGCCAAGTGGTCTTCCAGGTCTTACTGGGATTTAGATGCAGTTTGATAAAAAGATGAATAATTTAAAAACTAATTCAGAAGAGATTTAAATATAATAATGCTATACAGAGTATTTGGAAGAAATAAAATGTTTTACCATCCGCTTCGTTTGACATCAATGGTGAATGTAACTTATAGAACTTATGATGAGCATTGGGGTTAAACTTTACCTCAGACTGGTATGGCAGGTCATTAAAAAAAATAATTTACATTTTTGTTCATGATTTGTAAAGTTTATAATAAAAATACGTCACACCTCACTGTTCCCAAATGTAAACCCCATTTATTAAAATGGATTTTTCTCCTGTATGCTTTTCTGAAATCTGACCTCATGTTTCTCTTATGTTCACACCGACTCACCTTAAAACTGCTCCACATTCCTGCACATATCCCAGCTTGACAATATGGCTTGCATCAATTTTTGTAAATTCTACATGAAAGCATCGTCCCGATGACAGTTTTCAACGTATCCGCCCTAGAAATGACTGGTTATACCCTACATGTTGCAGCTGGACTCCTGGCATCCTTTTTCTTGTAAACATGTTTTTTCTGTTAATTTTTGTACAGTGTACATAGCTGGTTGGTAAAATGCACATTTTGTAGATATGAAATTGCAGTTCCAAACTGCCTTTAAACTTTTGGTGGACAGTGTGGAGAGTGAAGTATGAACTTTTGCCATTGCATTCTGTTCTGTGGCGAAGATTAAAATTGTTTTTACGTTTTTTAAGATGAATGCCATTTCATGAATGTAGATTCCTTGTAAACAGTATTAAATCCTGATGAGCGCAGTAGAAACTTTAATTTGGTTTTGTTTACACGATGAGTATGTTTTTAGGGTATCGTTTTGTACATTCTTTTCATTTTTATGTTTGTTTTTATTTGTTGTTTGGGTTTTTGCCATTTTCAAGGCCAATCAATGTGAATAAAACTGCCACTACTTGACAAAATTTTAATAAAAGATAAAGACAAGAGGATTTTTTTCTCTGTTCTAGTAAAAAAAAATTCTCAACACTTGTAGAACCGCCATGGCAAAAAACAGAAACTTAGATCTTTATTTAACAGAGGTGTGGACTCGAGTCACATGACTTGGACTTGAGTCCGACTTGAGTCATTATTTTAATGACTTCTGAATTGACTTGATAAAATCTATAAAGACTTACGACTTGACTCGGACTTGAACGCCAATGACTTGCGACTTGAATCGACTTGTATATGTTGACTTGATGATGACTTGAGCATATTTGATATTTTAGCACAAAAGTGACACGACATGGAAAAAAATCATAAATCGTTCTTGGTTCTGGGTTTGATCTTGTTCTGCTAAATGCAGCAGCCCTTTGTTTAGAATCAGTTTCATTTGCTCTTTCTGCTTGTTTAAGCAAATAAATGAAGCTTTAAGAAGCTTTATTTCTGGAATTTATTATCATTGCCATTAAATTGAAGTTGGACAGTTTACTTGATTATGACTTGAAGATTCAAAGTTAAGGACTTGGACTTGATTGTCTTTGACTTGGACTTGACTCGAGACTTGACTGGAAATAATTGTGACTTGCAAAGCAGTGACTTGGTCACACCTCTGTTATTTAGTCTGAGTTCTTCTGATACACTGATGATTAGTGTTCTAGCTGCAGCTGCGGCAAAAACAATGTTTTTATGATGTGAGTTTGTATAAACTAAAATGTTCTAAAGCGTGACCATAAATGATAATAACATTACCCCACAAAAACACCACTTGTACTTCATTATGAAGAAGATACCCAAGGAGCACCAGGATCGTCTTTTCCTCAGATGAATCCCCTTTCTGATTGGTTGAAGAATCCAGAAACAAAGCTGTCAATCATCGGTCATGTCAACAGTAAAGCATTCCGACTTTAGCCCTCTGGTCTGGTGCTCCATAATACTGGTGAAGATATTGTTCATCATCAAACTGTTGTTGGATGACTGAAGGAGTTCCTCTGGAAGGATGTTTAGGTACCACTCTTTATCCATAGCTGTTCCAAGTCTAAAGTGTGAGTGAGTCCACTCCCTTGGCTGAGAAGCACCCCCACACATGAATGGTCATACATTTCTTCTTTGGGCTTTTCCCTTTGGGAAATTCCACAGAAAAGCATATGTCTCAGTTTAGTCCTATCCAGTGCTTTCACTGATGGAAAGAGGTTTTTGCCCAAAAATTCACAACACATAGCATTTGTCAGATCAGTCTCCCTGTCCCCTTTTCAGAAAAGCCTTCCCAAATCATAATTTTTCCACCTCCATGCTTCACAGTGGGTATCATATTTTTATGGTGAGAACTGGCTACCTTTGTGTTAGAACAGAATAGAAAATCCCTTTATTGTCCCTCAGTGAGGAAATATTGGTGTAACAGCAGCAAATCAAATTCGCAACTGGAGCTAAGAAGAATGAAAAATAAAGAATAAAAGGTTGTACAGTGAACAAAAAAAATGCAAGAAATGTTGAAAATGTAATTGAATTGTATGATTTTATTCATTATATAGAATAATAATTAAAAAAACATACTATATTAAATGACTAGCAGATTATTGTAGGGAATGAGAACATGAATGGAGAAATACAGCCTTACTGGTTTGAAGGACATAACGTGAAATAACGGTTCTGCAATTAATATGAAATGAATTATTTTTCCACAGTTTTATTAATTTCTTTTTTATGTTTTGCTTAATTAGAAGTATGAACTTTTTTTACTTGGCGAAAAGTGGTTACCTCTAAAAGATTTGTTCTGACTCTTGCAGCATGTTGTCAGTTGTTAGAAGACCATGGTAGCACAGCACAGATAGAACACCGTAAAATAATAGACATGTTTTAATTCAACGCATCACTGGAGAGACATGCCTTTTGTGTTTCACTTTTGCTGTTAAATAAAGTTTGAAGATTTAAAATTTACTGCGCATGTGCAGACACTGCGCGAGATAAGTTTTTTTTTTCTCTATACCTGATGTAATCAGTCATTGCAACCGCTACATGAAAAGACTGCTGCTTTATTAAAACTGTTGCATTCGTCAAGACGCTGGATGACGCTGCTATTGGTACCGTTGGTACCGAGAATAAAAAAATAAAAAAATAAAAAAAAAGGTACCAAGAAAGTGTTCCGGGGAGGTGCTAATGCCGTCACCATGGGAACGTTGCTGACGTACAAGGAAACTCCTCCTACAGCTAGCCCTTTGAATGAAGAGCTCAGCATAATCTATAAAGCGCTCGTTCTGTTCTGGTCAGGGTTAAGAGTTACGCTCTGTAGTTTTAGATGCTATTTTTTGTTCGCCTGCGTTGAAGCTTCTGATTTTGAACGTTAAGGAAAACACCTACATACGCCAAACGGGATTGATTTGAACAAAAGGGGACTATATTTTTTCTTCCTGAGGCTGTAATCAGCCTGGCGGAAGGATTCAGCTAAGTTTCGTAAACATCGTGAAAGGCAACATTGTAGTTCCGCATTTTATTTGTCTTCACATTATTTCATTTTTTCCTCCTCTTGCTTGACGTGTTTCCGAGGTCTGTGTCCGTATTTAGATGGCCAGCTTCCCAGACTCTGTCAACGAAAATGATATAGGTAAGTACTCGCGTAGCTTAGCCGAGGCACATCCACGTAGCATCATTTCTAAACGAATGCTACACCACATTTCCGGGAGTGATAAATATAGCCTGATACCACGAACTAGAAACCTCATGTTAGAAATGAGGACTTTCTGGGTGGAATAACGTTTGGATTGTGTAACACCCTCTTCTGTCTGACGGGTTGATTTTCCGTAGCTTCTGTCATACATATTTGGGTGGATAATAGATGTTCCTCCTTCCCCCACACGCCCTGAACTACGAGCATTCCTGCACGCACAAACCCTTGCAGCTTTTGTAGGAAATTATTTTAAATAACACGACTGTGTCTGAAGTTGAGTTCTCGAAATTCGGTTTGTTGTTACGCTCAGATGCAGTTTGAGATCTGTACCTTAGTCAGATGGATTTGATGCGTTATGAATGCTGTTGCAGGAAGTCGTGCATTTGCAGTAAAAGCCTTTTTACAGGCAGACTGGACATATTTGTCACACTGCCTTACTGACCTCAACAGCTTCTTAACAACATGTGCTTCAGAAGCAGCAGCATGGGTTAACCATCATTAAGGGTGGACAATATAAACGATACAAGGTAGAAACGATATAAAATTGGGTAATACGTTTTTGGATCTACCGCAATATCGCGATAACACATGATGTCACTAAGATGTGCACTGACATTGGAACAAGGAATGGCAGTGACTGCAAGCATGTAGCGGGAGGAGGGGGAGCATTCTACACTTTTTGGACGTCTTTATTCTGCTGCAATATATTTTCCATATGAGGATTTTTTAAAGCATGCCATTTTGACATATATTAACAAAGGAAAAATATATTGCAGTAAATATCGTAATCGCACATGCTTCAGATTATATGGCAATATAGATTTGAGGCCATATCGCCCAGCCCTAACCATAATAAACTAGCTAAGCTTTAGAGGACAGATACATCTGTACAGACTTACTAAGGGTGTGTTCAAGATTCCCCCCACAGACTTTTTTAAGCTTTGAATTTGTTATGCTGTTAAGCTGCAGGCTTATTGGACTGTTTGTTTATGTTGTGCAGGACCACGCCTTCTGATACAGCTTGAAGCCAAAACTTGTGCAGTATTGTTTCTTCTGTTTCAAGCGACGATTAAAATCACCATTAAAGCTAGGGTAGTGTCCAGGAAGGGAAAGGTCTGGTTTAAACTAAAGTAGTTACAGTGCAATGTAGGCCAAAGTCATTCACATTCAGTTCCATAAAATCATCAAGCTTGGAGTTCAAACTTGTGACATGCGTTGGGTACCGTGCGCATTACTGCTGTGAAGTAGCCTGTCACCATTTCTAGGGGAAGAGAAGCAGAGAGGACAAGGTTAATGGCTGCAAACGTTCCAGATAAAAACTTGTAGAGTTGGTGCTGGGCCCAGAGACGGAGCAAAGGGAACAAACATTTGGACCACACCCAGCACTGGCAGCTGGGAGAGCAAATACAAATCCAAAACGTTCGTTTTTCCAGCTGCAGCTAGCGCGTATGTTGTAGAAGTGCATTCACGGATGGGAAGGGAAATGGGTTATTCTGTAAATGGACAGCCTCCACATTTATGTTGGTCTGAAAAGACCACTATGGTTTTCAGGTACTGGCATGAGTGGCACAAAAACAAAGCTGTTACAGCTTAATAAATGAGTGACCAACATCTTAAATACAACAGAAGTTTGTGTTTTGCAGGTAAGGCTAAGTTCATTGGTGAACTCCTGGTCCCCGTTGCTCCGTTTGACCAGAAGTCTGGGCGTGAGGCTTGGACAGTAGCCTTTGCTCCCAATGGTTCCTACTTTGCTTGGTCTCAGGGGCATCGCATCGTCAAGCTCATCCCATGGACTAAATGCCTGAAAAGTTTGTAAGTATTACTCAGGATTTTATATGTTCCAATCCACGGAGCCAAGTATTTACAAGTTGTTTTGTTCTTTTGTACAAACTCCAGCACACTGGCGTACAGAACAATTATCATAGGAATGTAGAAACAGTGACTTGTGGTCAGAGCAGGCAGGGGAGGCACTGCTTCCCTTATCGTGACAAGTAAAATACTAATAATGATTTAATATGAAGTCGGTGTGTCCACTGACTGCTCTATATATTAGTTTTCTATACGAGTTAATCATTTTTATGGTCAAACTTGTTGAATTTACCTGTTTCCTGATCAGATTTATGTGGAGGCAAAGATGAGAGCTGCCTCCGTTCTCATGGAGCAGCGCCACAAACAAACAGGAAGTTGGCAAATGCTCACTGTTGTCTGTCATTATATCACCAGCATACATGTTTTATTTCACATGATGACGTTCTACAATCCATCTGATATATTTGATGACAAATTTAGGCATTCTGAGTAGCCATAAACACGTAGAGAATATGTAGTGGGGGAGGCAGGCAGTACCCTGCCTCACTGGTAGGGGCAGTGCTTAGCCCCATAGACACCAGCACACAGGGTGGGGTGAGATATTAGAGGATGCTGTTTACAACAGAGTGATCATGGAGATGTCAGGTTCATGGCCTTCATTAAAGGTAAGATTACACACCATATTTAAGTGTGATAAATGAGCCATGCCAAGAACAACGGATACATTTTCAAGTCAAATTTGGCCAAATATTAAATATTGTTTCACTTTTCCTGTTTTATTGTTGAATGGGGTGGAGTTGATTAAATTATTTAATAATCAGCGCCTTGGGCTTCCTGACAGGGTTGCAGAATATTTCAATTTTAACTAAGATGCACTAAAGTGCCAAATTATTGACTACACGTGTTTACAGCACACTTAGACACTTGTTTATATAGTTTATCAGCAAAAACAAGTTGATTTGGGGGTGACTTGCTCTTTAAAGTAGAACCCAACTGTCCCTTCTGGAGGGTGTCACTGCTGCATGTCTTAATCTAACGTCGTTTTGTTTTAAACGGTTGACAGTTTCAGCTCCTTTCTCTGGGGACAGCGGTAGCTCGCCGACCCTACATTTAACTTCTGTTAAGCGACTTCACGGTCGCTAGGTCACAGGACACTCCCCGAGAAGAGGGTAGTAATAAATCCTATGTCTAGAATGTGTGCCTTCACACCTGTTCACTTTAGGGTTGTCACGGTAACCGGTGTAGCGGTAAACCCCGGTTTAAAAAAAGTTGACAATAATAATAACCGTCTTGTTTTTAAAAAACTATATTATCTCTGTGGGTTTACCGTGGCTGCGGTCTAGGCGCGGTGACCCTTACCAGCCACCGTATCATCTGCTGAAGTTGCCGGCGACACATGCGCACTTTGTTGTTTACACCCAAAACTTTCTTGAAGCTAAATCTGAAATAATGGCCAAAGGAGGAGACGGCAGCGCTCAGGACATTTTTTATCCATCAAAGAAGACAAAGTGGGAAGTACGGGCATCTTTGGGATATTTGAAGAATGCCGAGGGACAGTTGATAGAAGACGGCTATCCTGTTTGCAGCATGTGCAGAAAAAGTGTCTGTGAAAGGCAGCAACGCTTGAAATCTCATGACACATCTGCGTGATCGTCACCCACAACTCTACAGTCAACGCAATGCAAGCTAGCGTTAGCGTTTTAGCTAAAATGCGTGATCCGAGGATTTGGGTTGAGGGAGAATGCAACGCGTCGCTATATAAAGCAGCCGCAGCGCCGCTACCTGCATATAAACCGTGTCGCGGACACCCCCATGTTGAAATGACGCTATGCATTACGGAGCTCCCAGGGGCAGATAAGAGTTGGTCTCTCTCCGAGAATAATTATGAATTTAACAATGATTACTGCCTGATGACATTTTCCCACATCTGCAAAGCTCACTGGAAGGACACAAACCGAGGACAATATTTTCCTGATATAGGGTTTATTACTCTAGTAAGGGTAAAAAAGTATCTGATTAGAAGGCTACTTGAGTACTGAGTATCATCTGATCTAATATTTATTAAATGATGTAGGGCTGCAACAAACGATTATTTGGATAATCGATTAATCGGATGGGGTCTCGACACGATTAATCGATTAATCGGATTACATGGGGAAATTTTTAAAAACTGCTAGGGAAACGTTATTTCTCTCCTTCCTTCACTTTATTTAACACAACATTATTAGAAAACACTTCAATAGCAGAAAAACAACATGCCATCACCTAAATTGTCTTATAAGGTGTATAGACAGAGACCCTAAGCTACATCTATCTGTGACCTAAAATGCTTGGTCCAAGTTAAACAGCTTAAGGGCAATTCTCATCTGTTTTGTTTGATCTCATCTGTTAACATTTATTTTAAATGTAATTAAACATAGGCTGTGAATTAATCAAAATTGATCACTATTTCCAAAACTGACTGAAAAAATACCAAATAAAACAAAAGTAAATGAATGCCATTCTCCTTGCGATGATGCCCTGGGCAACTGCCATAAAGTCACATCAAGAAATGCTGCTGATCATTCCAATGATCCCAAATAGACTCACATTAGGCCACATGAAAGCAACTGAACCCAAAAATATATTAACCAGTATATAACTGCACTCTCACACAACACGCCTGCAGCAACAGTTAGGACTCCTCCCTCCCTTTTAAAAGCGTTTTTGCTTCTGAGGACATTGTGGTTGTAAAACCACATGCTAGTAGTCTGGCCCCGGTGTGATCAACCAGTTTCTGCGGGAATGTGACGGCGGAACCAGGGCCAGATTAACACTTTGTTGTACCCTGGGCAACAATATTCAAGGGCTCCATCATCACGACCCAAGGATCACCATAATGTGGTCACATACAGAATATTTTACTGTAATATGCGGTAAATATACTCAATACTTGAATGCCTGACAACACGTAACCCGCCCAGAGTAACCTTTGACCCACCTCGTGTGGACTGACCAATGAGGAGAGGGTCTTAACTTGAGGCCCTCTCTTCATTGGTCAGTCTGCATGAGACTGACTCTCAACTGACATTCAGTCGTAGGCAGCGAAGCGTCTCTGTGCAGCGCAAAAGCCCGGGTGGACAGTTTGTTTAATGTAGGGTGACCATATTTCCATTTCCAAACAAGAGGACAGGGGATCTGTGCCTATGACGTCACACTATGGCAACGCCACACAAACCATGTTGGGACCCATTTTTTGTAAGAACTAAATTAATATCAGATTCTGCCAATTAATGGGCTCTAAAACAATTCATATGTAAATATTTTGCATATTTAATGCAAAATCTAATTTTTCTGCTTTAGTGCTGCAACAAGGTTTTATTAATAATAAATTATTATACCTTTTGTTTTACTACAGCATCGGTAAGCTTCCTGTGCACAGATTATTAAGGATGCTTGTTTCAGCTGTGAGATTAGACGATAGGGTCAATGAAAAAATAAGTTGTCACACACTCCATGGAAACTTTCAGAGAATCCACAAATAGTGGCTTTCAAATGGTTTTGTTACTTTTAGCAGGTTTAGAAAAGCAGCAGATGAGACAGCATGTCTGATAATTTAGTTTTTCATCTGATAATATTAGAACATGTCAGTAATGTCTGAGGGGCTTTTATAAACACCGTATAACTAACACTCCTGGAGAGGGCATGAATTACACAGAGGCTTCTGGGGAGCCCAGTTATTGGGGGGGTGGGGGGGGGGGCATTTTGCCTTGGCCCCCAAAATGTCTTGAAACGGCCCTGGGTGTGTGACTGAGTTTTGAAGGTGATCTGAATTGTATCAGATGTATAAATATGACATGTGTATAACTTATTGTTTTTTACTGGTAAAAACGTGTCGTGGAGATAAATCTACCTACATTTGACTTTTCAACACTTTGTTTTGTTTTCTTGTTTTTATTGAACTATTTTCCTGTCCTGTCTGTCTCTCATCTTCCTGCATCTCCTCATAATTCTCCCGAAAATCTGTTGCCTGGATTCTTACCTTTTCACCTCATCAGTTACTTTTGAGCAGATCAAAGGGATCTCCTGACCGAAAAGCGCAGAGCGCGTTTTCGATGCTGCGTGAGGTGACATCACCACAGCACAGGTGATGAGCTCCACAGTAGCGAGCTTCAGGCACAAATAAGACAGAAAATAGAGAATATGTGCGGACATGAACGATCGTGTGCTAATTATAGTTTTTTGGTTGCGCCACTTTGAGAATGGACCGTGCGCTGGAAGCAGCTGCCTGGATCGCTGTGCAACAATGCGGAACCGGTTCGCAGCAGCGCAAGTCTGCCGGCTCTCCATCGCGCTGATCTGCCGGTACCGGCTCTCCCTCACGCTGATCTGCCGGCTCTCCATCGCGCTGATCTGCCGGTACCGGCTCTCCCTCACGCTGATCTGCCGGTACCGGCTCTCCCTCACGCTGATCTGCGGCTCTCCCTCGCGCTGATCTGCCGGCTCTCCCTCGCGCTGATCTGCCGGCTCTCCATCGCGCTGATCTGCCGGTACCGGCTCTCCCTCACGCTGATCTGCGGCTCTCCCTCGCGCTGATCTGCGGCTCTCCCTCGCGCTGATCTGACTTGCTCTGGTCTGCGCGCAACGGCGGGCAGGAAGGGGGGGGGGGGCGCTTTTGGAAGAGTTGTGCGACACAACGAATCGATGACGCAATTCGTTGCCAACGCTTTTAGTAATCGATTTTCATCGAATTTATCGATTCGTTGTTGCAGCCCTAAAATGATGACATTAAACAGACATGAAATAAGAAGTTATGGGCAGATATTGGTATTTTAAAGACTAAAGGGGGAAAATGTTGGGCAGATATTGGTATTTTAAAGACTAAAGGGGGAAAATGTAAAAAAATAAACAACATAATTACAAAATAGCACATTTTAGGCAAAATTTAGACACAAACTGGGGACAATATTTCCTGACATACAGGGTTTATTTAGTTGTGTGAAAATGTAGCATGTTTAAAAAAAATACCACGATACCGAAAACCGTGGTAATTTTGGTCACAATAACCGTGAGGTTAAATGTTCACACCGTGACAACCCTAGTTCACTTCCGATCTTTCCATTTGGTGAAGTATCAGGTGTTTGATACCTACACCAGCCTACGTAGGTTGGGTCCTTCAAAGGATCCAGCCCTTAAATTTGAAAGCAGTCGCTTGTGCTGATGGCTAAAGCGTACAGTTAGTGTCAGAATTCTACACACCTGCCTCATACCGAATGTTTTGCGCCAAAAAATACAAATGTGAATAAAAGTACAGTTTCACCCCCATCTTTAACCCCTTTTCTGCTTTTCTTTAGTTCAGTTGGCACAGATGGAGAGGGCACCAATCTGTCGAGCCCTCGGCACCTGTCTCGTCAAAACAGTGATGGCAGCGTAGGAAGCCCGGTGGCCGGTGAGCCCCGCGAGCACACAATAGACTGCGGGGACATTGTGTGGGGCTTAGCCTTCGGTTCGTCTGTGCCAGAAAAACAGAGCCGCTGTGTCAACATTGAATGGCACCGCTTCACGTTTGGCCAGGACCAGCTCCTGCTGGCAACAGGCCTCAACAATGGTCGCATCAAGATCTGGGACGTTTACACTGGTGAGGTCCTGTGTGTGTATGTGTGTGTGTGTGTATGTATGTGTATATATATATATATAAAACATGATCAGGTCCGGAGCTGTCTCATAGGAAACTAACATGTACATGCAACAGTCCGTGTTATTCTTAGTTGTGACATGTTTACACTCTGCTGTAAATGCAGGACCACATGGACCAATCGCTGTTTGGTTCTTAGTTTGATTTATTTCTGTTTTGATGGTTCAGGAAAGTTGTTGCTGAATCTGATGGACCACACGGATGTTGTTCGAGATCTGACCTTTGCTCCTGATGGCAGTCTCATGCTGGTGTCTGCATCAAGGGACAAGACCCTTCGAGTCTGGGACCTCAAAGATGATGGTAGGCACTTTAACTTAAAGAAAAGTTCCCCAACAGTGTGACCATTGGGGGGCAACATTAACAGGAGGACCTGACCCACAACGAAGAAAGACCTTCAATCTGTTCATATACCGGAAAGAAAAGAGGGTTGAGGAGGTCCTTCTTGGAGGTTCAGGATCATTTTTACAAATTGCAGTGGGAGTTGATCTGAAGAACTTGAGTTCTCCTCACTGATGGTTAATGAGCAGCTCCCTGAGCTGGGGATGGTTTCTTCATACTAATTATTTCACACGCCTAAATGAAGTTGGTTTCTGGAGACCGTTTGTAAATAGCCTTTTTAAATGTTTATTCTGCAGTAAAACGGGCTGTTCTGCTCTCTTTTGGCCCTTACACGCCTCCCGCTGTAAAACGTTTCTCACCTTTCTGTGATAACAATGCGTGTGTGATGTTTTTCTGCGACAACGGTGCGTGTGTGATGTTTTTCTGCGACAACGGTGCGTGTGTGATGTTTTTCTGCGACAACGGTGCGTGTGTGATGTTTTTCTGCGACAACGATGCGTGTGTGACGTTTTTCTGCGACAACGGTGCGTGTGTGACGTTTTTCTGCGACAACGGTGCGTGTGTGACGTTTTTCTGCGACAACGGTGCGTGTGTGACGTTTTTCTGCGACAACGGTGCGTGTGTGACGTTTTTCTGCGACAACGGTGCGTGTGTGACGTTTTTCTGCGACAACGGTGCGTGTGTGACGTTTTTCTGCGACAACGGTGCGTGTGTGACGTTTTTCTGCGACAACGGTGCGTGTGTGACGTTTTTCTGCGACAACGGTGCGTGTGTGTTGTTTTTCTGCGACAACGATGCGTGTGTGATGTTTCGACAACGGTGCGTGTGTGACGTTTTTCTGCGACAACGGTGCGTGTGTGACGTTTTTCTGCGACAACGGTGCGTGTGTGACGTTTTTCTGCGACAACGGTGCGTGTGTGACGTTTTTCTGCGACAACGGTGCGTGTGTGACGTTTTTCTGCGACAACGGTGCGTGTGTGACGTTTTTCTGCGACAACGGTGCGTGTGTGACGTTTTTCTGCGACAACGGTGCGTGTGTGACGTTTTTCTGCGACAACGGTGCGTGTGTGACGTTTTTCTGCGACAACGGTGCGTGTGTGTTGTTTTTCTGCGACAACGATGCGTGTGTGATGTTTCGACAACGGTGCGTGTGTGACGTTTTTCTGCGACAACGGTGCGTGTGTGACGTTTTTCTGCGACAACGGTGCGTGTGTGACGTTTTTCTGCGACAACGGTGCGTGTGTGACGTTTTTCTGCGACAACGGTGCGTGTGTGACGTTTTTCTGCGACAACGGTGCGTGTGTGACGTTTTTCTGCGACAACGGTGCGTGTGTGACGTTTTTCTGCGACAACGGTGCGTGTGTGACGTTTTTCTGCGACAACGGTGCGTGTGTGACGTTTTTCTGCGACAACGGTGCGTGTGTGACGTTTTTCTGCGACAACGGTGCGTGTGTGTTGTTTTTCTGCGACAACGATGCGTGTGTGTTGTTTTTCTGCGACAACGATGCGTGTGTGACGTTTTTCTGCGACAACGGTGCGTGTGTGACGTTTTTCTGCGACAACGGTGCGTGTGTGACGTTTTTCTGCGACAACGGTGCGTGTGTGACGTTTTTCTGCGACAACGGTGCGTGTGTGACGTTTTTCTGCGACAACGGTGCGTGTGTGACGTTTTTCTGCGACAACGGTGCGTGTGTGACGTTTTTCTGCGACAACGGTGCGTGTGTGACGTTTTTCTGCGACAACGGTGCGTGTGTGTTGTTTTTCTGCGACAACGATGCGTGTGTGTGATGTTTTTCTGCGATAACGATGCGTGTGTGGTGTTTTTCTGCGACAACGATGCGTGTGTGTGATGTTTTTCTGCGATAACGATGCGTGTGTGGTGTTTTTGATAGAAATGAATGTCTTCAGATTGAAACTGTCTCCTAGGTAACATGGTGAAGGTTTTGCGCGGACACCAGAACTGGGTGCACTGCAGCGCTTTCTCCCCCGACTCCTCCATCCTGTGCTCCGTGGGCTCAGGCAAAGCAGTAAGTGTTCCAGTTTTTTGTTTTTGGACAGTAAGTGTTCCAGTTTTTTGTTTTTGGACCTTTTTTCTTTTGTGAAGTTTGCTAGAAATCTTTGTGCAGTTGCTTGTGATCAGTATGCTCAATCAGCCTTCAAATCACCTTCCCGCCCTCCCATTTCCACTTCAGAACAAACTGCTCAGTGTCGCAGGTTATCAGCATCTACTTCCTGTTTAGATTTCTGTGTTTTGATGTGTCAGAGCAGACAAATAGTGCAGGTACATGTTCTACCAGTCTGAAGTGGGAGAGAATAAAACACTCATTTACTGCAGGGAAATGCCAGAAGATCAGTTCATTTCATTAAAACGTTAATTAACAGTTGGAGTCTTTTTGTTTGAACTTTTATTAACAGTCCAGAAGCTAACTTGGTTTACATATCTCTGCAGCCCTTAAGGCTCGCGTATGTCTGGATATGAGCTCCGGATTGTCCACCACTAGCTGAACGTCTCTAGAGTTTGATTCTAGTTTAGTCTGTACATGGTGGCGGTTGTGTTAGGTTCTGTGTCCCTACAGTGTGTGTCTTGCTCTCCCTGTCACAGGTGGTGGCAGAGCTCAGTGTGTGATTGGTTTTGAAAGGAGCGCCGCGCTGACATTTTGAGCAGCCGGTTAAAACCATGGACGCACAGTGCACAGTGCCCAAAGGCAGGGGCAGCCTGGCACCTGACCCGCAAGGTCAATCTGTACGTAGGTGCTGCTCTGTGTCTGTCTACCTCTGCTGTTGCAGTTCCTTCATTCATTTTAGAAATCGTACTTTAAAAATGCATTAATTTCACTCGAGAGGCGGTGAAACGGCCCACTAGTCTGACTCCTAAAAGCACAGCCAGCGTTACTTAACCAGCAGCGGCACACGGCCCTTCCTCCGTAGCTGCGTTTTAGCTTCCACATGCCAGCTGTGTGGAAATCACCAGTCTGGTGTGTTTACTAAGAACATAGGATTGTTGTAGCTTGTAGCGATGAAGTAAATAAAGTATTTAATGTGAATATTTCTAAAACACTAAATCAATGTAGTCATCTTCTATAAACCACTGGATGTTTGTAGTTATCATGCAGGAGTAAATCTGTAGTTCTCTAGTAAAAAAGTTACTTCAAAGTGACAAAACTCTTCTAGGAACAATTATTTATGTGTGTGTGCGTGTGTGCGTGTGTGTGTGCACATGTACTTGTGTACTTTGCCAGGGGTATGAGACCTTTGGCCATAAAATATGCTTCTCTCTTGCAGTATCTGTCTCTTCCTAGGCTTCTGCTGGAGCTGAGCCTAATGTAATCACAGAGAACTAAAACTCTGAAAGGGGAATCCAGTGGAGTAATTTATGTTATCTTAAGTTACTACTTGTTTCTCTCTTTTTTTAGTTTGATTTTTTATGTTATAATGCTAGAATTAAGTGAATTTTGTTTAAAATGTGTAGATCCAAATAGGATGCTGTAGTTTTGATTAAGTCTTACAGATAAATTAGATGTCACGTGTTCACCTAACGTAGCCTTGCTGGTTATGTAGCATGTTCTTCTTTTGATCCCAGTTAGAAAGCACCAGAGACACTGAGCATACCTGTTTAATTCTGACACAATTCTCTAGTTGTAGTTAGTTTAGCTTTTAGGTGAATGTTGAACGTAAATCCATCTGCTGTCCTCTCATTTTATCACCTTTCTTCAACTTGCAGGTGTTCCTATGGAACATGGATAAGTACATGTTAATCCGGAAGCTGGAGGGGCACCACAATGATGTGGTGTCTTGTGAATTTTCACCAGATGGGGCGCTGTTGGCCACAGCCTCCTACGACACCAGGGTCATTGTGTGGGACCATCACAAGTCCACCATCCTTCTGGAGCTGGGGTGAGACGTGTGTGTGTGTGTGTGTGTGTGTGTGTGTGTGTGTGTGTGTGTGTGTGTGTGTGTGTGTGTGTGTGTGTGTGTGTGTGTGTGTGTGTGTGTGTGTGTGTGTGTGTGTGTGTGTGTGTGTGTGTGTGTGTGTGTGTGTGTGTGTGTGTGTGTGTGTGTGTGTGTGTGTGTGTGTGTGTGTGTGTGTGTGTGTGTGTGTGTGTGTGTGTGTGTGTGTGTGTGTGTGTGTGTGTGTGTGTGTGTGTGTGTGTGTGTGTGTGTGTGTGTGTGTGTGTGTGTGTGTGTGTGTGTGTGTGTGTGTGTGTGTGTGTGTGTGTGTGTGTGTGTGTGTGTGTGTGTGTGTGTGTGTGTGTGTGTGTGTGTGTGTGTGTGTGTGTGTGTGTGTGTGTGTGTGTGTGTGTGTGTGTGTGTGTGTGTGTGTGTGTGTGTGTGTGTGTGTGTGTGTGTGTGTGTGTGTGTGTGTGTGTGTGTGTGTGTGTGTGTGTGTGTGTGTGTGTGTGTGTGTGTGTGTGTGTGTGTGTGTGTGTGTGTGTGTGTGTGTGTGTGTGTGTGTGTGTGTGTGTGTGTGTGTGTGTGTGTGTGTGTGTGTGTGTGTGTGTGTGTGTGTGTGTGTGTGTGTGTGTGTGTGTGTGTGTGTGTGTGTGTGTGTGTGTGTGTGTGTGTGTGTGTGTGTGTGTGTGTGTGTGTGTGTGTGTGTGTGTGTGTGTGTGTGTGTGTGTGTGTGTGTGTGTGTGTGTGTGTGTGTGTGTGTGTGTGTGTGTGTGTGTGTGTGTGTGTGTGTGTGTGTGTGTGTGTGTGTGTGTGTGTGTGTGTGTGTGTGTGTGTGTGTGTGTGTGTGTGTGTGTGTGTGTGTGTGTGTGTGTGTGTGTGTGTGTGTGTGTGTGTGTGTGTGTGTGTGTGTGTGTGTGTGTGTGTGTGTGTGTGTGTGTGTGTGTGTGTGTGTGTGTGTGTGTGTGTGTGTGTGTGTGTGTGTGTGTGTGTGTGTGTGTGTGTGTGTGTGTGTGTGTGTGTGTGTGTGTGTGTGTGTGTGTGTGTGTGTGTGTGTGTGTGTGTGTGTGTGTGTGTGTGTGTGTGTGTGTGTGTGTGTGTGTGAGAGATCCCCTGCGTGGTTTAACCTGTCTGAATACATTCCATAACAGCTTCTGTTTCCAAAACAGCACACCTATTTGCCACAAGGTCACCCTCTTAAAGGGGCAGTACATGCTGATTCTAATGAACGTGTTAATGATTGGAGATGGTTGAAGTTTTTCTTGGATGACGAGTCCAGACAGGTGAACCAACTCAACCAGTAAACACGCATTTAACCTGTCCTCCCTCTCCAGCCACCTCTTTCCTCCCCCGTCACCCATATTTGCTGGAGGGGCGAACGACCGCTGGGTCCGCAGTGTGAGCTTCTGCCCGGATGGCCGCCACATCGCTAGTATTACTGATGACAGGTGAGAGCTTCTGGGTTTAACGTAAGCGGTGTGTAAACTACAGGTCTGTAACCAGGCTGGAGGAGGGTTTGGGTTGTTGACTCATGTTTTCTAGATCCTGCCACTCTACTCTTGTTGTCTTGCATCAGTCTCAATCCTACAGGTGGTCTTGGGATTTTCACCACTTTCCTATAAACTTGAGGATGTTTTCAGTTAAAGCTGGCACGGTGACTTGAACTGGTGTTGCGAGCTCAGAAACAAGGTTTCAGTCGTAGATGAGATCACCAGGTCAGGTTTAAAGCTGTATCGGTCCCACCCCCGACTACTATCTCTCTCTCTCTTCTTAAATGGAAGTAGAGAACATTTGGCTCTTGTTCGTCTGGTTCTGGGTCACAGCACAGTCACATGTTAGTCATTCATCACAAATTCTGCTCCAGCGAGAGAAGTTATTAAGTAAACAGCTGGGAGAGAAGCAGACGGTGGTTTGGAGTTGAGATTTTCTTAGAGCAGACGAACAAACTAAAGCTGCAGGAACAAGTTACGTCCAGAAAAAGAGAGAGCTCCAAGCAACCCTGTTGTTTGAAACGTTTACTAGTGCACCCTAGTTCACAAGTCCTGACTCGCATTGTCACATTAACAGTGACACACACACACACACACACACACACACACACACACACACACACACACACACACACACACACACACACACACACACACACACACACACACACACACACACACACACACACACACAGTATATTCTATGTGCTACTAGTCTTGAAGTCGGGCTGCAGCTGAACCTTTAGTGTGGGTAACGCCATCACTGTTACAGATTTCTAACAACAGTCGGGCATAATTCCTGAAGGGGGAAAACTGGAATTTGGCATTAATGGGTTTTTGTGTAATCCTCTCTCTGCTGCAGACATTTTTGTGTTGAATCAAGACAAAACCCATCATCATCGTGACTAATAATGGTTCAACAAGTCGCTACGGGTGTGTTCTGACCCAGGTGTTCTCTCTCCTGCTCAGGCTCGTTCGTTTCTGGAGTATCGAGGAAAGGGCTCCTCAGGCCATCGCCCCTCTATCTAACGGTCTCTGCTGTGCCTTTTCTGCTGAAGGAAGTGTCCTTGCTGCTGGGTAAGACACAAGTGCTTGTTGACATGTGGCTATGTCTTCTTCGTTTGTTCTATTCATTTTTTATTTGTTTTCCTTCTGTGTTAGAACTCGTGATGGTAGCGTGCACTTCTGGCAGTGCCCTCGGAGCATCTCCAGTCTGCAGCACATGTGCAGGATGGCCCTCCGCCGGGTGTTGACCACCCAGCAGGTGGAGGGCTTAGGCATTCCTACACCACTCCAGGACTTTCTGGCGTATCGAGTTATCTGAATCAGCAGCAGCTGACAAACCAATGATTCTTTTTATTTTCATAAAGATAAGGAAAGAACGAACGCTTTTCTAGTAAGATTCATTTCTGGTGATGAACGAACGAGTGATCTGGGTATAAAGAGAAGAGTTCAGATGTACTGAAAACTCTGAGCCATGTCCTCTGGCTAATTCTGCATCACCTTATTTTGTATGTATTTATTTTTCTAAGTGCTTTTGTAAATGCTCCCAGTGATGCCCTCCTTCCATCCTCTGACTTTCCATGACTGTTGCACTTATTGAGGTGGTGCGTGCGTTTATTAGTATTTTTTTTCTTTTTACCTTCGGGCACCCGCTTCGTTGTGACCAAGGTTGTTTGAGGTCAGGTGTAAGAGCTACTGATGTTGGGCACGCCGGGATTTTGGAAGGAAAAACGTATTCCAGCTTTTTTTCAGCTGTTGACTTTTTCTCAGACAGTATTTACCCAAAACATTTTTTATGGATCAGCAGTTTTCTATAGAGTACTAAGGACGTGTGTGCTGTAGTATTACGGATTCATGGAGTTACTCTGCTGGTCCATATTTTTGTATTTTCCGTTATCCAATGGAAAAGAACCACTGAGCAGAGTGGAAACCAGCTCCATTACACAAACCAGCGACTAGTGTACGCTGCTCATTAATGCATAGTGGTAAAGGTGCTACTGGCTGGTGGTAAACTATCAAAAGGTGGCCTAGTTCTGGCTTCTAGACCTGGCTTTGCTGTTTGGTTCTCTTAACGGCAGATGGGCTGATTTTGGGCGACTGTTGCAGATGCGTCCCACCCACCTAAACCTGGTATTCTAAACACCATGGTACGTTTCTATAAAGTTATATCATGTGAAGAAACATATCACAGTTGTATTTCCTTCTACCTTTCAGTGCAATCCACCCTGCGTTAGAGTTGTACGTTAGTGTTTGCCACCTTTAAATGTGAATTATGTCTTACTGCTCAATCTCGTTCATTTGTACATATGTTCAAACGCAGTACCACTCTGACGTAGAAGGCCCTCGTTTAAAATTTCATCCAATCATCTGGACTCTTGAGTTCGTGATGGAAGCACACACACGAACTAGTAGTGGAGTAGTTGTGAGGTTTTAAGGACGTGGGTGCTCAGTCAGAAGTCGGGTATTCTAGGCAATAAACTCTGGCGCTGCTGATGCAACGTTTGTTTTTGTTTAATCCACGTGGGTTATAAATGCGATTGGGTGTTTTTGTTTATGGAGGGAGTGGCATGAATGAGCCTCGCAGCAGCCATGTTTTTATATCTGTTACCATTGAAACTCAATTCTGCTTCAGAAGCTGTAAACTTATGAATGTAGGAAGTTCCTGGAACGTCCTGGTAATGCATTTTGATGCTTCTAGTTTCAATAAAGACTTTTGCCAATACTGGTGTGATTGTTTTATATCTAAATGGGTTTACATTCATGACCCCAGAAGGTGGTTGAGCAATCTTCAGGATTTTGTTAATGTATGAACACCAGTATGCAGCCTTTAACATGTCTGATAATAGTTGCACGCTGGAATACAGGAGCGCTGAAGGCAAAACACCTGTAGTGGTTGGCTGCAGCACATGTTTTCAGTTCTTGATTAAAACCGTCCAAAGAAACCTCCGATTTTTTTTTTTTTTTTTTTTTTTTTTTTTTTTTTTTTACATTTAAGTTCTCGTTAAATCAGTTCTTATCTTGCTGTTGTGTTCAGATATGTTTCTGACACCTCTATCTGGACTTGGGACCGTGTATGAGAACATTTTAACAGCATGTTCCGATCCAACGAGATACAAGCGCTGAGCACAAAGGAAGCCTTTCCAAAAGGAAGTTTCTAGAGCACAGGGAAGGAAATGTGTGACTACTAATGTAATCACTAGTAACTAGTCGGGTAACTGTAGAGGCTGGAGAAGATGGTCCATGAGGAACGTTTTAATGGAACTACTCTTCAATGCAGAATAGGAGGATAAATGTGTGTGTGTGTGTGTGTGTGTGTGTGTGTGTGTGTGTGTGTGACAGCCTCTTATGCTTTTTGGACTTTTCATACACCTCATACACATCAGGTAATGTTTTACTCAAAATATATTACAAGGATTTACACAAGAATTGTTTTTTTATTTACATTTGATCAAGAAAGGCCATTCAGTGTACAGTTGGCTATGAAGGTTCAAAGGTCAGGTTATATGATCTCATTCCAGATGTGGAGGATTGCTGTTACTGCAGGAGACACAGAAGGAACCATCCAGTCCTGTGGTCTCACATCAAATATTAGCTTTTTATCCACATTTGTTTTTCTTGTCACATCTTTGTGTTCTCCACTGAGCTCCTCCAGCTGCTGATGGCTTCAGTCACATGTTTCTCATCACAAAGAAACATCACATGACAGTTCTGAACACTGAAAAGTACAAAGAAGGATTTTTATGTTCCTCTGTGATCCGACTTAAAGGCACATCGTTTATTTTTCGCTCTCAACATAGAGATCGTGGGTGTCTTCATTTATAACTGAAAGCTGGATGGGACAAAATGCCTTTGAATAAAATTAAAGTTCAGTTAGAGAGTCTAAGGAACCACCTTTCGTCAAGCTTTTTGACGTCTATTGTGACCTTTTTAAAAAATAGAAATGAATAAAGGAGCAATGCAGTACATCGCCACAGGCTAAACTCTCCCAGAGTTACCACAAGGACCAATTTGGTGTGCCACCCCAAAAATTTCTTTGGCCCCATCTGGCCACCCCTATCAAAATTTTCTGGAGGCACCCCTGGCTCCCATAGCTCCCTTTCCCAAGGGTTCACCACTTGTGGGAGGGGCCTAAGGGTTTGGGTGCAATGCAGGATGGGCAGTGGTCAAAAGTGAAGACTTTGTCTGAAGCCTGTTTCACACTGACTAAGTCTGGAGACGGTCGGGTTTCCAAACGGCTTCCAGACACACTGCCATTGGCACTGACTGTGGTTCATGTGCTGGACATCTCCAGAAGTCTGCTCCAACAAGAGCTGAAAATGTGTAGAATAGCGGTGTAAAAAAAAAGATTGCATGCGGAAACTTTCTGGCGTTCCGCATCCGGACACCGCAGCAGAAGTGAATGCTCTGATTGGACTCAATGATTTTCGATCTATGCAGAAGCTGTATGGAAACAGGACCGTATTCTTTCCGCATTCTGTATGAAATAGGCTTGATCCTCAGCTAAAGCTCACCCTCAGGAAATGCTATGTCACCTCAGGAACCAGTCTCCTGAGAGGGGTTGGACATTCTTCCATTCTCCCAAAGAAAGTTTTGGACTCATAAAACACCCAATTTCCTCTTTAAAACCCACACCCTTCCAAGAAAATTCCTCAGGTGTTTTTGAATCATACCCCACCTCCCACATGCCTACATTGTGCCATAAATGATCAATGCAAAGCACATTATGAATATTCTGCATATGCAAAGGCCAGCGGACCTTTTGCATTTCCCGGGTAACCACCGAGAGGTTTAAAAAACGAGATTTCACAGATACCGAAATCAAGTGCTTGTGCGTGGAAAATCAGTGTATTGCCTTAGAGTGGCAAAATGCTGCTGCAGCAGTGAATTTTGTGAGTGATGAAGATCTGTGTGGCAGATTTAACTACGAAGGAATCAGATCTGACAGTAGAAGCTAGAGAAACTAATGATGATATTCGAAATGGTGTTCAGGGAGAACAGAGAGATTCCAGATCGTAGGGTAACATTTAACTGAACCTAGGCAGGAAATGTCAAATATTTGTCATTGTTTGAAAGAGATATCCTGTTGGCTGATTTCTGCTGGAATGAGCTAGCTGCAGGAAAACCAAGTGGTCAAACGCTGCAGGTGGGGTCTCCACAACAAAAAGAAACCAGAGGTCTCTTAACATTGGTGCACATCTCAGACAATTCCTTCATCAATAAGAAGATTATTGTAGATTTCACCATGTTGCCGTCTCACTGGCTGCACTGCCAGTTTCTCCATCTCCAAAACGTGTTGAACTTGCTTAAAATGGAACATATTTTCCAGTCTTTCTATTTTTCCTTAAACCACAAGGTTTGTGCAGAAAATGACTGGAGCAAAGTTCAGACCCTACTTTGTGTGTCAGCAAGTTTAATAAATGACACCTCTGATGTTTGGGTGATAGAAAATATATATCTGGTTTTCCTTTAGAACCGTTAATGACCGAGGGTTCTCCTCTGAAATGGTTGTGTAACAGGTCACACACATCGTTGTAGGAGGCAAGGCGCTGTTATTTGTCTTCTACACTCGTCACTGAAACTGTTCATAAACTTTACGGTCCAGATTTCTTGGCACAGTCGAGGTGTTGAGGGGATCCGTTTTAGTGGCACAGGGATTGGGTCTGATGAGGTCCTGTTGGCTTCATCTGATCGTGATCTCCAACTTTCACTGGAGCAGTGAAATATGATCAGACACTCTGGGTTTCACATGAGGGTGAAAATAGGCTACTACCCCTATTTCCTTCCTTGCTCCTTTATACTAGAGACCACTGCAAATATATTGAAATAATAAGTGAACCTTGTCCTTGGTCATACTCGTTGGTGCTGTTTTGCAATGAATTATGATTTATCTGCACTTGTACAGCCATCACACTACAGTGAATCATTCATCCATTCACATGCAGGTGGTGATGAGCTACAATGTAGCCACAGCTACCGTACACTGGCGCCACCAGTCACTCTGACCCAACACCAGCAGGCAAGGAAGGGGAAGTGTCTTGCCCAAGGACACAACAGCAGAACTGTCTCCAGGGAGCTGGGGTTCGTCATGCAACCCTCTGATTACACAGATAACACAGAGTATAGAACGCACAGCTAAAGGTTTGGGAAGGGTCCACAAAAAAATACCAAAATCTGGTGTAATGTGTCACGATTTGGGGATGTTTGGACCCAAAATGCAGTACCCAGGATGACACGAGGCAGGAGATGAAGTAAAGTAAATAATCCTTTATTTGCAGGATGAAAACAAAAGTAAATCCCAAAGGCAGCGAGCCAAAAATCAAAAAGTCCTGACCACAGGACAAACGAAAGCTCTCTTAGAGCACCAAAAACCTGGAGACCAAAAGCTCACACGGAGCACGAGTAACGACGCTGACAAATACAAACAACAATGGACCGACACCAAACAGAGACAAGACAGGGCTTGAATACGCAGGGAGAACAATTAAGGAAACAGGAAACAGGTGTGTGGAGTGAGGACTGGAGGGAAGGCAGGTGACACCTAACTGAAACGCAGACAAAGGACACATGAGGGCGCTAAGAGACACAAAAGGGAATCTAGAGAGGGATGGAGGACACCAGGAGGCACATGAAGAAAGGGGCAGACGCAGACCGTGACATTATGTTGTCCTGTTGGCATTCACTCTTGTTCTGAGTTTCTTAACGGATTTGAGGATTGAGCTTTCCTTCAGGAGAATAAAACACAACTTGTTCTGTTTTACACTTTTTAAATATTAAAGTTGGTAATCAGCTTGGCTCCTCCCCTTCAGAATGAGCATCACCTTGGCTCCTCCTCCTCAGAATAATAACAAGCTTGGCTCCTCCTCCTGATTCTGGTCACCAGCTTGGCACCTCTTCCTCATGATGAAACAGTGGAATGATGTTGGTCCCTCTAGCACATACAGCTAGACCAAGCTGCCTATAATCTGTTGTAGACCAGAGACTGGAACATACCTGGCAACACTTTAAGCTCAAAGACTGGAAACCATCAGGAAACTATTACAGAGTATTATGGGACATTTCCATGAGGAACTACCCACCTGTTTTGCTGTGTGACTCATTCCACAAATCCAGGGAACCTTACAGGAACAATTATAGAGGATTCCCTAGCTAACCCAGGGAACTGGCCACACTCTCCATACCTTGTTATGTTATTTTCTGAATCCTAGAGCTGTTTTCCTGCATCTTCTCCATGCCTTTTAAGTCAGCAGAACATTCCCTCACCCTGTCACAACTCTCTATAACTGCATAAGGATGCGGCTATGCCCCATGATAACACCTCATAAGCTCAACTCTGATTTCCTAGACCTGAGGCCAGCATGGAGAGTCCAAATTCATGTTTGTGAACATTTGAATACCAGGATGGACATGCGGCCACTGCTCAGAACAATCGGATATCCATTATCAGTCGCTTGTCAATATACTGAGCTAAATCACAGCAAAATCAAATCTATCAGCATGGTTAGCACATGCAGTGCTGTAGGCTGCACAAGTAGACAAAAGACGGCAAAAAAATGTCTTGCTGCATGCAGACTATGCAAAGGTGTAGAGCTCCACATGGCCACTAGGGGGCCTCCTAAGTTCTTGCAGCCTACATCCTCATCTGAGAATCTTGCCTATATTATTTAAAAGATTACAAATACCTTAATAAGCGGGTGACGGTGGCACAGGAGTTAAGTTCTCACCCCATATTCTGAATGTTGCTGGTTAGAGTCCCGTTCAGTCTGTCGCTGTCATTGTGTCCTTGGGCAAGACACTTAACCCTCTTTGCCTGTTGGTGGTGGTCAGAGGGACCGGTGGCACCTGTGCTTGGCAGCCTCACCTCTGTCAGTGCGCCTCAGGGCAGCTGTGTTTACATCGTAGCTCATCCCCACCAGTGTGTGAATGTGTGTGTGAATGGGTGAACGACCGATTGTGTTGTAAAGCATCTTGGGGGGTTCCAGGACTCTAGAAGGTGCTATATAAAATACAGGCCATGTTTACCTTTTACCAATAAGGATAAAACAGCAAAATAAGCCTCAGTAAGATAAGCATTGGCTATTTTGTGGAACATTTAAGCCAAATCCAAGTGAAGCGGAGAAACGAAAAAGAAAAGAACAAAGGACAAGAGAACATCTAGGATAAAGGTGAGAATTTTTATTTTAAATGAGGGTTGGGTTTTGGTTGGTCGGTCAAGTTTGAGCTTTTTTAGGTGTTTGAGAAATGCTTATTCACTAGCCCGGATTTTGACTAGAGGCCACTTCTGACCGATGTAAGCTTAAGTGTGTCGGATTTTGTCTGTGTCTACGTAGAAATGTGTTACTGCTTTATAAGATACACGGGTCACTCACTAAGTGGCTGATAAATATAGAGCCATGGAACTGTAGCAGTGGCCAGATAGCTCATTTTGGATGAGCACTACAACCCACGTTGTTGTCTCCCCCATGCAGAAGTGGGTAGTATCCAAAAAGTACACAAGGAGTAGCACTACTTCTTGAAGTTATGGCATTTCTAAGACAAACGTGTAAAAAGATAGAAATAATCAACGTAATTACAAAATAAAACATTTTAGGCAGAAGAAACCTGCCATCAATACCTACATTATGCAATGTCTCTGCATGTGTCTTTGACCAAGGTCAAAGTACTTCACGTGACAATGTATGATGTCTACTGTTATTCACTCGTGCTTAAAGGTGTAGTGGAGGATGTTTCTGAGTTTCAGGAAAGAACCGCCCTCTCCACGTTTTGAAAAAATGCGCATGAGAGAGAACGCCAAGTTGTCCTCGTGCACGTTCTGTTTATAAGTAGCTGTCGGCTAATTTCTACAAATAGCATGCCGAACTTTAGCTTACCTGTTGAGCAGAAAACCGGCGACAGAGGCGCCTGTGGGGAGCCCAACCTTCGCTTTCAGCGTACGCCATCGTTGAAACGTGTCTCCTAAAAAAACTCTGGTCTTCCCTCTCACTTCAGAGGCCTTTCTCTTCTTAACATAGACTTCAAAGACACTTTTTCTCAGAAGAACCCGGAGAGAACGAGTAATGAAGGCGTATCGCTCTACCCAGAATAAACAGGAAGTAAAAACTAACCCAAGAACGAGCGCGCACGACGACGGCCTTGCGTGAAGGCGTCACCAGTATGATTGACAGTTGTGCAGACAAACGGTTCAGATGATGCACCCAAAAGAAAAAGATCCTTTGCTATACCTTTCAAACGCAACAAGTTCAACAGATGAATAAAACCTTACAGCAACAAAGCAGGTATACAAACAAGAGGTCTCACTTTAACATTACCTGTAAGTTTGTGTTTTTATCTGGTCCATTTTCCTGAAAATGTATTTGTTTTCATTCAGTGAATTCACTCACAGTCGATAGAGCATACAATAACTTTACTGAAGTCAGAGTAGCAATACTTTATAATGGTTCCACTGTAGTTTGGCAACATAGGGCCCTAAATATGGCTCTGACAGAAGGGCAGCAACTTAAGAATGTACTGGTTTCCAGCTGATAAAACACGCAGAAGACAAAAGTCAATGGTCATGAAGCGAGTTTGTTGTAGCCAAGGTCTCATGACAGAATCAAAAAGTAAAGTATCTGCCTCACACACAGGGGTACGGAAAGTACTCAGACACATCCATCTTTCAGTATAACTGTTATATTGCAGCCATTTGCTAAAATCAGTTAAATTCACGTTTTCCTCATTAATGTACACACACAGCAGATTCATTAAATAAGACCAACTGAAATATCACACGGTCCTAAGAACCTTTGCTGTAACATATATATTTAACTCAGATGATTTCTGTTTCTTCTGATCATCCTTGAGATGGTCCTACACCTTCACTGGAGTCCAGCTGTGTTTGATCATACTGACTGGACTTGATTGGCACAGCCACACACCTGTCTATAGAAGACCTTACAGCTCAAAATGCATGTCAGAGCAGGTGAGAATCATGAGGTCTAAGGAACTGCCTGAGGAGCTCAGAGACAGAATTATGGCAAGGCACAGATCTGACCAAGGTTACAAAAACATCTCTGCTGCACTAAAGGTTCCTAAGAGCACAGTGGTCTCCATAATCCTTAAATGGAAGATGCTTGGAATGACCAGAACCCATCCTAGAGTAGGCCGTCCAGCCAAACTGAGCTACAGGTGGGTAAGAGCCTTGGTGAGTGAGGCTAAGAAAAACCCAAAGATCACTGTGGCTGAGCTCCAGAGATGCAGTCAGGAGATGGGAGAAAGCTGTAGAAAGTCAACCATCATTGCAGCCCTCCACCAGTCAGGGCTGTATGGCAGAGTGGCCCATCGGAAGCCTCTCCTCAGTGAAAGACACACGAAAGCCTGCCAACCCTAACCCTAACCTGAAGGACCCCGAGATGGTGAGAAATAAGATTCTCTGGTCTGATGAGACCAATATAGAACTTTTTGGCCTTAATTCTAAGAGAAGTGTGTGGAGAAAACCTGGCACTGCTCATCATTTGTCCAATACAGTCCCTACAGTGAAGCATGGCGGTGGCAGCATCATGCTGTGGGGGTGTATTTCAGCTGCAGGAACAGGATGACTGGTTGCAATCGAGGGAACAATGAGTTTTTGTTTTTATTAACTGCAGAAATTTATAAAATTCAGTGCTTTCTGTCATTATGGGGTGCTGTGTATACTTGAATGAGGAAAAAAATGAATTTTATTGATTTTTGCAAATGGCTGCAATGTAATGAAGTGTGAAAAATTGACGGGGGTCTGAAAACGTTCCGTACCCACTGTATCAAGATCAGATTGATCATCTGCACAAAGATGTGTTCGACGATCTAAAATCCTAGTATTTACATCCCCAGGTTTTATTTTATTAGCATGGAGAAACCGCTCTGGACAGCAGCTGCAGATGGTCCTTTTGCCCCCCAGCGTTGTGTGAATGTGCACTATTACCCGGATATAAAACATAGGACCTTGTGCATTCTGGCTGATTTTTTGCGACAGCGTGGTCTCCATCCAGGCGAAGGGTCAAAGAGCAATAACCTGTGCCACTGAGTCTTCTGAACAACCTTGATCCCAGACTGAGGGGTAATCTGGACGTATGTTTTCAGCGTCCTGACCATGCCTGATGGTTTTACCTGGAGAGTCTTCATTGGGCGTTTTGTGGAGAGGACACACTTCATGGAACAAGAGGGGAGAAATGCCCAGCTGTAGAGCAGAAATCAAGTCAAGTCCTGACACCGAACTATTTTAAACGTACACTCCTGTACTTACGTTTTTGTAAAATCTTAATCCTTGCATACATATAGATGTGAGGGTGACTTTTCCACCACTGTTTCTAATCATTACAACCACATCCTCGTGCTCCTTGGACTCAACTGGTTCTCCGTTCACAGCAAGCAGAAGGTCTCCATCCTCCATGCCTGCTGCTTCTGCTGCACTCCCCACATCCACCTCCCTCAGCACGTGAGCTAGACATCACAAAGGTAGAGAGTTTATTTTGATAAAAAATTATCAAGTTTCATCAATCAAAACCTCTTATTGAGAAAGTAGAAAAATTTAGAAGCAGCTTGGAAGAAAATAATAAAGTTTAATTTATTTGATTTAAAACATCCGCACAGTACAACACTCCATTATACTTAATCAGTTTAAAGCTCAACAGCCAAATGCTTGGAAGGCATTAAATAAATCCGTCTACTTCCCTCCCCTTGTCTGGGTCTAGGTTGGGAGTGTTGCAGTGCCAGCAGAGAGGCTCTAACCGTCCTTGAAAACCCAACCCTGGCCAACATGAGATCAAATGTTCTGGGTCGACCTGGGAGACTCCTGCCAGCAAAACAAGCTGGAAACACCTCCCCTGGAAGTCGAGGAGCATCCTCAACAAATGCCTGAACCATCTCAGCTGGCTCTTCTCGTCGCGGAGGAGCATCAGCTCTGCTGTCCGTGCTTCTCTCCCTGTCTCTGAGGCGAAGCACGGCCAGCCTGTACATGAAACTCATTTTGGCAGCTTGTATTCATGATCTGGTTATTCTATGAAGCTCAGGGCCAGAGGTGAGAATTGGGATGAAGATGAGGAAAATTGAGAGTTTTGCTTTCTGGCTTAGGTCCCTCTTTAACACAGCAGTCTGGTTCATCATCTGCCTCGCTGCAGATGTGGCCCTGATCCACCTGTCGATCTCCTTTTTCCTCTTTCCTCAAGAGGTAGGACCTCTCCCCAGACCCAGAGTTGGCATTCCACCCTTTAATCGGTTGAGAACTAAGTTCAATAAAGTTCAAATAGCCGTCATGCAATGAGAATAAACCACTAGCCTGTTTATGTTTAATATTCACCAACAGAAAGAGAGTTTACATTGTGATTATTGCTATCATAAAAGGTAAAATGTTTCATCTGTTTTATTTGTTTCTGATAATGTGAAAATCGTGTTAGAACATCTGTTGGAGGCTCAGTGACTGGATGCAAGGATCTCCATCGGTGTGACCCACCTATCTTTAGCGGAACTCCCAATCTCTCCCGTCTCAGCAGGAAGCCAAAGCCATCCTGTCTCTTCTCCAGATGCATGGTCTTGGTGGCGTAGGGGAGGCTGGAGCTTTCTGCCATCACAGGAAGGATGGGGACCCTCCGCCTGACGTAGCAAGAATGACTGTGTCTGTCAATAACCAGCACTGTGACTGAGCCTTCACTCTTCTTCAGCTAGATAGCCAAACACACAAAATCTCAGACATGTTTTATAGCACATGGCAGATTAGACTATAGAGAGCATACTCAAACTGTTCTGCAGAGAGTGCCATGTGTGAGGATTGACACGGAGACTCCGTTGATCCAGATCAGCATGTCTCCGGTGCAGACACCAGCGTTTTCTGCTGGCCCATCAGTGACTGTGCTCACCATGTAGCAGCCCCTCTGACCTGGTGACACACCCACACCATCTGTATGGGAGCCGTATACCAATAGATCAGTGTGATCACTGCTCCCAGGCTCCATGCCCAGATTCATTTCTTTGCATTTTTACCTAAAGTCAGAATGTTCTGAATTGTATCTGGTTTTATGCATGTGTTCATCTACACTCTCTGGCCCCTTTATTGGGTACACCTGTCCAACTGCTCATTAACTCGATGCCTTTGGGCATGCTGACTTGGTCAAGACGATCTGCTGCTGTTCAAATTGAGCTTCAGAATGGGGAAGAAAGGTAATTAAAGTGACTTTGAACGTGGCATGGTTTTTGGTGCCAGACGGGCTGGTCTGAGTATTTCAGAAACTGCTGATCTTCTGGCATTGTCACACACAACCACCTCCAGGGTTTACAGAGAATGGTCCAATAAAGAGAAATCATCCATTGAGCAGCAGTTCTGTGGGGTAAAGTGCCTTGTTGATGACAGAGGTCAGACTGGTTGGAGCTGATAGAAATGCTAAAATAACTACTCGTTACAACCAAGGTATGCAGAAGAGCATCTCTGAACACACAACACCTCTAACCTTGAGGCAGATGGGCTTCAGCAGCAGAAGACCACACCAGGTGCCACTCCTGTCAGCTAAGAACAGGACACTGAGGCTACAATTCACACAGGCTTCATTGTACCCCAGTCCTCTATAGAGTAAACTGTGACAAACTGATCATTCACTGAAACTCCTGCTGTTCTCTTGTTGTATGTTTTGTACTTACAAGAGTGATTCTTTAGGTATCAAAAGATGATAGCAGTGAAAAGTACCATTTATCGGGGTAACGGTCATCCCCAGACCATGCTCCGGGTCCCTTTTGATGTGACACAGTCTTGGTCGAGACCACTGGTCTCCTTTGGTGGTTTTGGCGAGTGTGTGGAGGTCTACACCCATAGACTCAGCCTAAAAATAACACAACACCATGATTGTACTCATCAGAGAAAGAACTTTAAAAGAACATTCTTAAAGAACAACAGTAACTCATTGGTTTATCCCACCCAGGTAGCTGCTTTCACTTCTTACATTGAACAAGAGAGGGAGATTGATTTCTTCTTTATCTATATATCCTTAGGAGGTCTTGGAGGGCGCATGAGAGTTCACCCAACCAGTTTAAATGTATTTTGTGGATTTGGAGAAGGCACTTGACCTCGTCCCTTGGAGGGGGCTCTTTGGGGGGTTACTCTGGGAGTATGGGGTACCAGGCCCTCTGATATGGGCCGTGATGGGCTGTAAGACCGGTGTCAGAGCTTGGTGCACATTGCTGGCAGTAAGATAGTGAGTAATGGTCAATGCAAACTGTGCTATGAATATTCTGCATGCACATAAAGCTAATTTGTGGAATTACACAGGTAACCATGACAACTCAGACAAAAATTGGCCCTGGGACATGACGTAGGCATGGTACTCAGTCATCCATGAAAAAATGTTCCACCTCCTTTGAGCAGCACCTCGTTGCAGTGATGTGCTGTGAAGCTACAGACCACTGGGGAGTGATAACATAATGAGGCATCTATGGGTTAGCTACTTTACTATCGACTAACAGAGTTCCTAGTAAATAACGCGACAAACACTGAAGAAAGAGGAAGAACTGTGTGATCAGAGAGAAGGGTTGTAGTGTGTGGGTAAAACCAAACACAGACATCAGAGGGCTAGGGGTTGCTCGCCAACAAGACCGGCTAATACGACTAGCTTTAACGTTACTGGTAACAAGGATGGTCCTACCATTGGTGATGAGGGCATCGAGACTCATAATCATAGAATTGAATGTGTGTGAGAATATGAGGAGCTCAGGAAGAGACGAGAGCGTCAACGACACATGTGGGGCAAAGGGTGCGTGTAAGATGGGAGACAGATCGGTGTGTATGTTTGTGGAAGGGTGGACCAGCTGTATCACTTGACAAACTTATTTACAAATATTTACAAGTACAGAAAAAGTAAAAACATGCACAAAGAAAACATTTAGAAGTTGCACTTAAAAGCACAAACACAACAATGCTAGGTCTGAATCCGATTTGAATCCTTATTTGTCTCTGAGCTCTCGTGATTCAGACAATTCCAGAGGCTGATTTAGTTTGACTCCTATTTTGGTCAGACATTGTTGTTGTTGTTGTTTTTTTTTACTTTGTGGAATAAATGTTTTCTTTGTTAATTCCGAGGCTCCACCATGAACACGACACCATAAACACTAACCAGCTCGTCTATGTGCAAAGGTGGAGTTTCATAAGGCGTTACTGCTTCTCATGAAATACGTGACTTTGTGAAACTTCAGGTCACCAGTCAAGAGCGACTGAAGTTGCAAATGCAGTATTCTGTCCACAAGGAGCAGAGGGGGCTAAGGAAATTTTCATAAATTTTCATAAATTTTCAACTTGGCTTCTATTGGCTCAAGAAAATGGTTTTAAAATATGAAAAGGTAACTTGTTTAGAATTCAGATTTCCTAATCATTCTTGTAATTTCAACAAAAACAAAATAAGAATCCACACACTTCTATCTGCGATGTACAAGTTTATTGGTCAAGCTGTTCGGTCAGAGACCTTCATCAGGAATTGTGCAATTCTCTGACCAAAAAGCTTGACCAATAAACTCGTACATCGCAGATTGAAGTGTGCGGATTCTTATTTTGTTATTCCACTTTTTGATCCAGCACCTTTCCCAGACGAGCGGTGACTCCTTCTACTCAATTTCAAGAAAAATAAAAGACATTAAAATGAACTGTTGCTTATGTCCAAACATTACCTCTTCATACTGCTCTTTCCTCAGCACCAGGAGAAACAGGTGGAAGCCACATGACTGGATCCTCCTTACAACCTGCCAGGTATTCAGAGAGGGACAGAGGTGGATAAACATGCTTTTTTACCGTAGTGTCCCATTTATTAGGGACCTGATGCTGTGCTATCAGGGCCCTTTTTGTTATGCACCATGTGTGTGTGTGTGTGGGTGTGTGTGGTGTGTGTGTGTGTGTGTGTGTGTGTGTGTGTGTGGGGGGGGGGGGTTCAGACATTAATCACCTTTATTATTGTTCTTCTTCAGCAGACGTTGATGCAGCTGCGGGAGGTGTACTATTGCTTTTCCAAGCGTTTAAATTAACGATGGCGAAATAATTAGCAAAAAACTTTGAAATTTTTCTAATTTTGGCGCTGTGCTGCTCTAAATTTGCACAACCTTTGCATAATGATCAGCTAAATATGCACATAGCTAATTGATTAATTACATGGCACACCCTCAAAAAAGGATTTTTATGGAAAGAAAGAAAGAAAGAAAAGAAAGAAAGAAAACAATCTCTTATACAGTACCTCTCACTTCACAAAAACAAACATTTTAAAATATAAAAAGCATTAAAAAGTTACTAAAATATATTTAAAATGACTGAAAAAATTCAAAATGTGGAAAAAAAATGTGAGGAAAGGTAGGGAGAAAATGAATATGAAAGAGGGAAATCGGCGGATCCCGGGAAAGGTCGAATAAGTAGAGACAGCAGAATAAGGAGAGGGTGGTTATGAAGGTCATACCAAAGCACGAACAGATTAGTATTCAGCTGCATTTAAAAGAGACCACTGAGTCCACTGATCTCAGGCTCAGGGGGAGAGAGTTCCAGAGTCTGGGGGCCACAGCAGCAGATGATCTGTCACCTTTGGTCTTTAGCCTGGTGCTGCACAACCAGTAGGCTTTGATCACTGGGCCTCAGGGACCTGCTGGGGTGTAGGCACTGAGAAGATCACCAATGTATGATGTGCTTGTCCATGTAAGGCCCTATAGACCAGAACTAGGATATTGAAACAAACCCTGAAGTTGACTGGCAACCAGTGAAGCTGGAGGAGAAGCGGGGTGATGTGGGTGTGTTTGGAGGACTTGGTCAGAAACCGAGCACAGGCATTCTTGATTGCTGGCTCTAATCTGCTTGGCTGATTGGCTGATTGGCTTCACCTGGCGGTAAGGCGTTTCCTGTTTCCTGTTTTCAGTGTTGCACTACGTGTAGCTGTTTGGTCTTTGGGGCTCGCTAAAACTGATTTAATTTCTCCGTACTAGGATATCTCTGAGTTATTGTAGCACATAAGCACGCTAAAACACACATTTTCTGTTGTTCCACCTAGCTTTTAGGGAACAATTTGAGTTTGCACGCAGTTTATTTGGTGTTGAACAGTTTGCTCGTCCAGTTAGCTTAGCCTCAGCACGGCTATGGCTACTTCTGTCTCTGCTTCTCCGTCTCCTATCTCTTGCTCTCTGTGTCAGATGTTTAGTTACTCCTCTGCCTCCTTTAGCGATAATGGTACGTGTAATAAATGTAGCATTTTTGTAGCTTTGGAGGCGAGGGTGTCGGAATTGGAGTCCCGGCTCCGCGCTGTTGAAAAAGTCGTAAACAGCCGTAGCTACTTAGTTAGCGCGGGGCTAACTAGCTCAGAACCACCCCGTAGTGATCCTCCAGCAGAACCCGAGCAGCCGGGACCTCAGGCCGGCTGGGTGACGGTACGCAGGAAGCATAGAACCCAGCCCGTGGGCCATCACCAACCCGTCCACGTTTCTAATAGATTTTACCCGCTCAGTGACACACCCACTGATAAGCCGACTCTGATAATTGGCAGCTCCATAGTCAGAAACGTAGCATTAGAGGCTCCAGCAACCATAGTTAAATGTTTACCTGGGCCAGAGCGGGCGACATTAAATCTTATTTGAAACTGCTGGCTAAGGATAAGCGTAAATACAGTAAGATTGTTATTCACGCTGGCGGTAACGACACCCGGTTACGCCAATCGGAGGTCACTAAAATTAATGTTGCTTCGGTGTGTAAGTTTGCCAAAACAATGTCGGACTCCGTAATTTTCTCTGGCCCCCTGCCTGATCGAACCAGTGACAACATGTTTAGCCGCATGCTGTCCTTCAACCGCTGGTTGTCTAGGTGGTGTCCTGAAAACAACGTGGGCTACATTGATAATTGGAAATCTTTTTTGGGGAAAACCTGGTCTGATGCGGAGAGACGGCATCCATCCCTCTTTGGATGGTGCAGCTCTTCTTTCTAGGAATATGGCCAGTTTTATTAGTCCTCCATGACAACCCAGGGTCCAGACCAGGAAGCAGAGTCATAGTTTAACACACCTCTTTGCAGCTTCTGACACTTTGCAGTGTCCTGCCCACGGCCAAAATCACACAGATTAAATATCAGGCTTAATAAAGCAAATCATGGAAATCTCATAAATATTAGAACAAATTCAACTGAGCAGAAAACTAGAAAAATTAAATGTGGGTTGTTGAACATTAGATCCATTTTTTCTAAGACTTTGTTAGTTAATGACTTGATTTGTGATAGTCAGATCTCTTTGCTCTCTCTCTCACAGAATCCTGGCTGCAGCAAGAGGACTATGTTAGCTTAAACGAGTCGACTCCTTCTAATTATTTAAATCATCATATTGCTCGAAGTACAGGGCGAGGAGGAGGAGTAGCAACCATTTTTCATTCGGATTTATTAATCAGTCCCTTACCAATTAATAGCTACTGTTCGTTCGAACATCTCATTCTTAGTTTTCTTAATCCAGATTGCAAAACTGTAAAACCACTCTTGTTTGTAGTTTTATATCGTCCACCAGGCCATTACTCTGAGTTTTTGGATCAGATCTCTGATATTTTATCTGATTTGGTGCTAAATACTGATAAGGTCATTGTAGTGAGGGATTTTAAAATTCATGTGGACATTGAAAATGATTGCCTCAATGTAGCCTTTAGTAATATCTTAGACTCAATTGGTTTTACTCAAAGAATACATAGCTCCACCCACTCCTGCCATCATACATTAGACCTTGTGCTGACTTATGGCATAGAGTGTGAGGAAATAACGATCTTTCCACATAATCCAGTCCTCTTGGACCACTTTTTGATAACTTTTGAGTTTTTTATAACTGAGTTCTCGAGACATGAAAGTAAATTTCACTATAGTCGGTCTCTATCTGACAACGCAGTTGCATCTTTTAAATCAACTGTTCCATCTTTACTGTCCTCAGCATCTCAGAGGCATGTAGCAGAGGGCAATATTTTCAGTTCTAGCCCCTCACAAATTGATGCCTTAGTTCATCATGTTAATTCCTCTTTACGTGTGGCATTAGATGATGTTGCCCCTTTAAAAAATAAGGTAATTAGGGACAGGAAGTTGGCTCCCTGGTTTAATTCTCATTTACGAGCCTTAAAACAAAACTCTAGGAAATTGGAGAGAACATGGCGCTCTACGCACCATGAGGAGGCCTACCTATCCTGGAAAAATAGTCTTGTGCTTTATAAAAGTAAGCTTAGACAAACTAGAACTGCTTATTTTTCAGCATTAATTGAGGAGAATAAGCATAATCCTAAATTTCTTTTCAGTACAGTTGCTAAACTTACACAGAATCATAGCTCTGAGCCATCTATTCCCTTAGCCCTCAGCAGCAATGACTTCATGGGATTTTTTACAAGTAAAATTAATTCTATTAGAAATAAAATCTTTAGCATCCTCCCTAATGCGATTTCTTCTTCCTCAGTAAGTGAGGCAGCATCAGAGGTGACTGTAGAACCTCATCTGTGCTTGAACCGTTTTGATCGTGTTGAGCTTTCAGATTTATCAAAAATATTAGCTTCATCTAAACCTTCAACTTGCATTTTGGATCCAATCCCAACCTAATTATTTAAAGAAGCATTTCCTTTGGTTACTGCCCCCATTCTAGATATAATCAATCTATCCTTAGTAAATGGATATGTACCACAGGATTTTAAGGTTGCTGTAATCAAACCTTCACTTAAGAAGCCTTCTCTGGATCCAGATGACCCAATGAATTTTAGACCAATATCTAACCTTCCATTTTTATCCAAAGTCCTTGAGAAAATAGTGGCCATCCAAGTATGTGAGCATTTAAACACTAATGCTCTGTTTGAGGAATTTCAGTCTGGTTTTAGAGAGTATCACAGCACTGAAACTGCATTAGTGAGAGTTACAAATGATATTCTCATGGCCTCAGATAAGAATTTTGTGTCTGTTCTAGTCTTGTTAGATCTCAGTGCTGCCTTTGACACAGTTGATCACAATGTTCTTTTAGAAAGACTTGAACATGTTGTAGGGATCAAAGGAACAGCGTTAGGCTGGTTTAAATCCTACCTGTCTGACAGATTTCATTTTGTAAATGTACATGACAAATCGTCTTCAGGGTTACTTGTGGAGTACCACAGGGTTCAGTGCTTGGACCAATTGTTTTTACTATGTGTATGCTCCCAATTGGTAAAATCATTAGACAGCATGGGATAAACTCCCACTGTTATGCTGACGATACTCAGTTATATATATCCATTAACCCTGATGAACCAAACGGTTGGGTAGATTACAGGCTTGTCTTGAGGACATAAAAAATTGGATGACTAAACTTTTTGCTTTTAAATCAAGACAAGACGGAAGTTCTCATCTTTGGACCAGAAATCCAGAAAAGGAAATTGCTTAGCCAATCGCCTGACCTTAATGGCATTAAATTAGTCTCCGAGAACAAAGTAAGGAACCTTGGTGTTATTTTTGACCAGGACATGTCATTCAAATCCCAGGTTAATCAGGCTTGTAGGATTTCCTTTTTCCACCTTCGGAATATTGCTAAGATTAGAAGCATCCTTTCCAGGAGTGATGCTGAAAAACTAGTTCATGCATTTATTACATCAAGAATGGATTACTGTAATTCATTACTCTCAGGAAGTCCACAGAATGTAGTTAAAAGTCTTCAGCTTGTCCAAAATGCTGCAGCTAGAGTTCTGATGAGAATTTAAAATAGAGATCATATCTCTCCTGTCTTAGCTTCCCTACATTGGCTACC